TCAGATACGTGTGCGTGAGGAAGACCAGGATTCTTTGAGGTTCCTGCGGTGGACAAATGGATATGATAATCCCCCTGATACATACGTCATGCAAGTGCATATTTTCGGAGCGGCTTCTTCCCCCTGTATTGCAAACTCAACTTTGCGCCGTGTGGCCGACGACAATGCCGAAGAGTACAGCTCTAGTGTTATTACAGCTGTAAAAAGAAATTTCTATGTTGACGATGCTCTTCCCTCTGAGAATGATGAACAGTGCGCAATTCGCCTAGCCCATGACATGGTAGAACTGCTCGCTCGAGGCGGATTTAACTTGACCAAGTTTACGTCGAACTCCAAGAGACTACTAAGTGCTGTCCCAAATGATAAGCGATCTAAGCCAGATCTAAACCTTGACCTGGTCGAGCTACCTATAGAGCGTGCACTCGGAGTACGTTGGTCTGTTGGAGATGATACGTTGGGGTTCGAAATAAGAAGCCTAGTTCGCCCTGAAACAAAGCGCGGTATACTCTCCACTGTTTGTTCATTGTTTGATCCTCTGGGTTTCGCAGCACCAGTGGCTTTGTCTGCACGACGCCTGATTCAAGACCTATGGAAGGCTAACATAGGATGGGATGAGCCCCTGAGCGAAGAATTTCTGTCTAAGTGGAGAGCATGGAACACTGAGTTACCCTTGTTGTCCGAGTTGTCCATCCCTCGGTCCTATTTCCTGTCGGACGGTGACCCGCGTCAATGCAAGTTACAGCTTCGTGTGTTTTCAGATGCGTCAGAGATTGGCTATGGCGCATCATCATATCTGCGAAGCGAGTACCCCGATGGACGAGTTCATTGCGCCTTCATTATTGGTAAGGCCAGAAATGCACCTGTGAAATTTGTTAGTATTCCAAGACTGGAATTGCAAGCAGCTGTACTCGCAACCCGGATGTTTAAGATGTTGCGAGAGGAACTTGAACTGAACATTTCCAGGACGTATCTTTGGACTGATAGTGAAATAGTGCTGCACTATCTGAGAAACGAGAAACGAAGACTTCAGACTTTTGTAGCTAACAGAGTGGAAGAAATAAGGGAGCACACACTTGTAGAGGATTGGCATCATGTGCCAGGATCCTTAAACCCGGCAGACTATGTGTCGCGAGGAATGAGCCCGTCTTCGCTAACTGCTGACCATATGTGGCTTCGTGGACCTGACTTCTTGTGGGAGCCGGAAACTTGTTGGCCCACAGACAAGTGCCAATTCGTACCCGATGAAGGTCTGGAGATAAAGAAGGAAGCTCTCGTGCACTCCGTCCAACTTTCCCCTGATCCGTCCGTGACGAAGAAGGAAGATACAAGGCCTACGGCCGTCGAAAGCTGTGAAGAACCGCCCCTCCGAGTGTTATTAACTACCTGTTCAGATTGGTCCCGCCTCAGGCGCAGAATGGCCTGGCTCCTGCGTTTTGTACAATTTGTTAAGGACAAACAGAACGCCAAAGCTGGACGTCTCAGTGTTGACGATTTTGACGCGGCAACTGCAGCAATTGTGAGGATTGTCCAAGGATTGGCGTATGCACAGGAGATTAAAGATTTGAAGTCCAACGGTGCGGTCAAGCCGTCAAGCAAGGTTGCGTCACTGAATCCCAAACTTGACGAAGGCGGAATCCTGAGAGTTAATGGCCGTGGTCAGCTCAAGCCGACCTCCTGTACACTCGGCCAACAAATGATTTTTCTCAGAGACCATCCGGTCGCCAAGTTGGTTGTACGTCACGTTCACCACCTTATTGGTCACTTGGGACGGGAACATGTTATTGCAAAGTTGCGGGAAGATTTCTGGATCCCTCAAGTGCGTGTATTGGTTAGATCGGTCCTTAATCGATGCCTTACCTGCAAGAAACTTAACGCCAAACCTATGACCCAGCAGATGGCACCCTTACCCAAATGTCGACTTACAGCCTATGAGCCACCGTTTTCGTTCACTGGTATGGACCTCTTTGGCCCGATTTATGTGAAACATGGCCGAGGGACCGCGAAACGGTGGTGTTGCTTGTTTACCTGTTTGACCACCCGTAGCGTGCATCTTGAAGTGGTTAATTCTATGGATACTGATGAGTTCATCATGTGTTTAAGGCGTTTTATAAATCGAAGGGGAGACGTGAAAGAGTTACGATGTGACAACGGTTCTAACTTCGTTGGGTCCGAACGAGAATTGAAGAAGAGTCTCCAGGAATGGAACCAAGGGCAGATAGAGAGAGAGCTGATACAACGAGGCTGTAAATGGATATTTCAACCCCCGACTGCATCAAGTATGTCTGGTGTGTGGGAACGTATGGTTCGAAGTGCAAAGACAGTCTTAAAGTCCATTCTGGGGGCGCAAACTGTGACAGATGTGGTTCTACGAACACTCGTTACTGAGGTTGAGCGTATCCTTAACGGAAGAGCCCTCACAGCGAACTCAGACGATCCGAACGATCTCGAACCGCTAACACCGGCCCACCTATTGATGCAGAGGAAGATCATCTGTTTGCCTCCTGGAGTCTTTGAGAAGACTGACATTTACAGAAAGAAGTGGAGGCAGGTTCAATTTTTGACTAATTTGTTTTGGGAAAGGTGGTTGAAGGAGTACATCCCAACCCTCCAACAACGAGGTAAATGGCGAAGAGTGCTGCCTAACGTCAAACCCGACGCCTTGGTTCTTCTTGTTAACGACAACACCCCTAGAGGGCATTGGAATCTCGGTAGAGTGTTGGAGACGTACCCGGGTGCAGATGGTCTAGTACGGACTGTGAAAGTCAAGACCAAGGATGCTGTCTATGTTCGTCCAATACAGAAGTTGTGCTTGCTTGAGAACGATGTGAAAGAAGTAGATGCGGTGTAGATGCTGAGTTTAACTGTTGGGACGTTCTACGCGATCGCCCCAAGGCGGCCGGGATGTTCGGGACAAATCTAATTTAAAAATCGGACACGAAAATTATCCGAAAACTGTTAGGTTTTTTTGATAGGGACCTGAGCACTGGTCACGTGACTTCTTTTTCCATGTGACTAGTGTGTTGATCTGTGATAGTTGTTGCGTTGTTTGTATGGTAGAGAGAGCACAGAACTTGTAAGTATTTGGTTCGTTTTTCAGTTCTATTTTTGCTCTCTACCTACATGTTTTGTATTTTTGTTTTAGTTTTCACGTTTGAGTCGAAGAAATCTGTGCTTATCCCCAACAAATACAGAAGAAATTAAATCAATTCCTGCTCTTCAAAATTTAATACTTTTTTCTTAGCCACACCTCTAACCAGGTGTATAATTCAGTTTGACAGTAACATGAAAGCTATGAAGATAAAATTAAATGGCAGGGGTTGGTTTCCGCAGGCCACGTGATTTTACACATTTTACCTCTTATTGGTCATAATTTGTTGTTGGCATTTTATCGGTTTGAGTATGAAGGTCACTTTTACAAATACAGCCTTCATTACACTTGGGTCCAAATGTTATTACAGATTAAGGACGTTTATTATGCCTGGGTTCAAAATGTTATAACAGATGGGACTTTTATTACGCTTGGGTCCAAATGTTGTTACAGATGGGACCATAATTGCACTTGTGCCATCTACACACCCTGTTTTGGTAAGCAGGATTAATATTAAATTAATTGATCATTATTATTCATTCAAAATATTTCCCCAATTGAGATTGGCTACAAGCCAATAACTAGTTACTGATGAACAAATTTGGAAGAATTTTGTGTTTAACGAGGAAATGACATCAAAAAATGCAGCGTTTTACAGGTTAATGAACTGTTAACCGAGAAGACCTGGGGACCAGATTGAGTTGTTTTTGATGTCAAAACTAAAATGGCGAACACTTCACTCGTTTCAAGAGTAAGAACTACAGCTGGAACTAGGCGAAATAATGGCTAAAGACATAGCAGAAACAGCAAGAAGACAAAGCAATTAATGAATTCGGCTTCTGTAGGATAATGAAGAATTAAGCAGATCTGGGAGGATGTTATCCACCTCGGCCTTCGGCCTCTGTGGATAACATCCTCCTCGATCTGCTTAATTCTTCATATCCTACTCAGCCTCACTCATTAATTGCTAATTACTTGTAAATTGATTACACCGCTAGTTTATCAATTATTTGCATTACTAATTCATTGTAACAATAATATTGTAATAATATCAAGAACAGCTTACAATCTTAAGCTATGAGCAAATGGCTGCAACAACTCCACTGTTGGCAGTGGTGTGCAAACGGATGCAACGCCTTCCAACAATATTGGGACCTGTAGAGCATTATGGGAAGGTTAGAGCTCATAAGACTAAACTAAACTCTAAGGAGACCATGTGTAATGCACTTGTGTGGCCTCAACAATGTTGGAATTAAGCTGTGCAAACAGATCCAACATTGTTGCAGTATGTACGCTTTGGCGACCACGGAGCATAAGAAATGTTGGGAGTTGTTGGCTCAAAAGTTTGTACAGTTTCAAACTTTGCACAACAACTTCCAACAACATGCAACTGGATGGAATCTAACTAATTTTTGGTTACATAAGAAGCTGAATGACAAAGACACCTGACAATGACATGAAAGTAACGTAGACACATCTATAACTGAGCAGACGAGTATTCATGGGTGCTTGAAAGAACTGCTTATATTTTTTTATGGACCATAACTTGTTGACTGGATATTTGTGTTATCAAGTCAATTGTGATCTCTCTGTGTCTAGGTACAAAACATGAGAACTACATATACAGTCAACTCTTGCCTTACGGACACCCCACTAAAACGGGCACCCCAATAATACTGGCAGCGGCTAAATCTTACGCAAAAATAACTTACATCTATGTTTCACTGATACAAACTCCTGCTATTAAGCGCTCTCACCAATGAGGACACTAACTCAAAGTCCCCATAGTGTCCACTCTCAAGGAAGTTGGCTGTATCAAGAAAACAAAACCTCTTAAACTAAATACATGTGATCAACAAAAAAAACTTAAGACCTAGTTATCTTTAGTTCACCATATCAAATTTAACAAGCATTAGGTATAAAAATTTAAAGTTTCAAAAACTAAATCTGTAAATTGGGAAGCAATGTCTTGTGAAACCACATTGCTATAATATACAATGCTCCAGAACAGTTCATCATTAATGGTGACAACATTGCTTTCGAACACAGGACCAAAATTATGCCCAGCACTGGCAAAATATGCTCCGCTACACTCAAAATACTTTTTACCACTTTCATCTCCAAAATTGTGGCAACCTAAATTGGTTATGTTGATCAAAGTATCCAAACGCCCTGCTGTTTTCTTGTTCTTAGAGATTTTGTACATCTTCCTTGCATAGTCTATGCTCAATGTGCAAAGTGACTTCAACGTAGAGTGATGATTGCCTTTAGAAACAGCTTGGTGTAAATCTTCTGTGCATTTCTTGGCTAAGTTCCAAAAGGGTTCCTCTGTTTTATTGCTTGCAGGCACAGGAATCTTAAGGTCACAATCTAATGAGAAGCAACCCAACTCATTCCCCATCACCAGTGGCTTGCATTCTTGTCTGACATTGACACTAAAACTCACAGGAATTGTTGTTGGTATTCTTATCTTGCCATTTTGCAACATGGTTGCCATGGCAATGGTTGTTGCAGCAATGAAAGCTCCGTGAACAGAGCACCTGTTCTCCTTGCAGTTTCTCACAAGCATTGAAATGGCTTCTTTGCGCAAAACTTTTGTCAGAATGCAAGTTTTCTTAATTATACTTGGATCTTGCCAACTTGTTGGTGGAAAAACTCCAGTAAACTGATGTCTTGGCTTACCCATGATCCTTTTCAACATTCGTGCCAAGATTGACTTGACGGCAAGAAATACTTTTTCCAGCTGTGAGAGAGTTAGATGGCCTTTAATAATCTCTGTTAGAGAAGGCCTCAAGGGTGGAGTATTTAACAGCAATTTTTCATCCCAGTCTTGGGAGTTGTTTTTGTGCTTAGTGTTCAAGAAGTCTAAGAAATCCCTGGAAAGATTGAGAAGAGAGGTATCATCGGCAATGAGATGATGTACTGTGAAGACCAGAGTATTACTGTACGACCCCTCCCTTGGGTCATATTCTTCCCGGAGCATTCTAACTCTCCACAGGGGGCCCGTGGAAACCTGGAAAGGACTCTGAAGTTCTTTTTCAAACGTAGATTCCCAGTTTCGAGCAGGTTTATGGCCTTTGACAAAAAAGTCTAAAGTACAAGGTTCCTCCATCTCGACAAAACATTTCAGCGGTCTCCCTCTTCCTTTGATATCGATCTCTTTGACTCGCATACGGAGAATAGGATGTTTTCTTGGCAAACGTTCCAAAACTTCACGAACCTCACTCGCTTGAAGCGGAACTCTCGATTTCAGCAAAAGAACAATCGTTCGTATACTTCCCCCATAGCTATGCAAATCATCAATCACGCTTTCAAAGACTCCCAGTCGCCTACCGAGCTGATCTTGGTCATCGTAGGACTCTTTTTCTTTTCTCTTTTGCCGTAGACAATCGGAATAGAAGCCAACAATCGTTAATATAGCGACCGTGTAAACACCAGTTAAGCCAATCTCAGGGAGATAATTACTCAGCAGCTCCAAAGTAGACCAAAACATGCTTTCCTCATGCACAGTGTCGAGTTAAGTTAGTTGCAGATAAATCTAAATCGTGTTATCCAGATCTTGAGAATAAGAAACAATTAGTAGTTACACAGCGTTTTCAGTCTTTCAGCAGCGCAAGGACATGCATGAAAAGACTGATGTTCTACACCACGTGCGCTAACGTCACTTCCTGCTGTTGCAAAAACAAACTGGCGAACCGAAAAAATTTTTAATTAGCACCATATATTTGATATATTTATAGAATGCCCTGAGGATATGTAAATTATGAATATATAGGACCTCGTTGGGCCCAACTCTTGCACTCTACGTACTCTTAGTCTGCTACACAGCCGTTTTTAGTGTCGTCACGCAACACTCCTCCCAACAGTACAAACAGTTGTGTAGCAGACTACTCTAAAGCCTCCCACGCATACGTTCTAAGGGGTTCGTCACGCGTTCCTGCCCCACGAAAGCAGGAACGCGTAACGAACCCCTTAAAACGTCTGCGTAGGAGGCTAACTACTCTACTCTGACGCCGCTGTTAGATCAGATTTAGCGACCCGCCCTCCCACCCCGCGGGGAATCCATGTTGGATTTACAATTCATGGATAACAGAATATTATACGTAATTTACGTGATTAATCGATGGAAATTCAATTTCACAATATAGGTAATCGCATGATTTCGAGTGCAATTTGCGATAATAAATTTCTAGAGCCAAAAATGAAAACTTAAAATTAAAAAAAGATTCAAATGCAACGCAGATACAGCCGTATGAGGAATGCTTTTTGCTATATGAAATTTTTATTAAAACGTTTTACCGTGCACTATGTTTAGAATAATAATTAACATCTGAGCATGGGAGGGTATTTCGGCAAATTAGTGACTTTAACATGTTGCTGTTGCTTAGTTATAGAGTGGGCCAAGCTACGCAAATTCTATGCGTCAACTCTATTTATATAATTAAAAATTGAAATTAAGCCTCCTTTGGTTGCTTTCGACTCCAACTTCTCGAGCGCGGATTACTCTGCCGCACCCCTTAACATAGCTGAATGAAGGACGTTTTAAGACATATACATCAATTATTTGCCTTGCATGATTTTGGTTGCCCAAAAAGACTTGCATTTTTCTAGTCCCGAGATGACATTGGTCTAAGTTTACACTAGAATGGATTAGTACCATTCGTAACGTGTCTGCTTAACGGCGGCGATGATAATTAACAGGTTCGTTCTTACCACAGGGCACCCAGGTATTAACGCTCATCTCAAAGTATCACTTGCGGCAACATTTTGAAACTGTTATGAAATCTTAAAATTTAAATTTTGGACACCGAGTCCGCTGGTCATTTGATGAAAGTTTCTTTACCTAAAGGATACGAGTCTGTGTCGGATTCCGTAGTGCATATAAATTTTACGACAGGAAAAAAAGCGGACTTGTCTTGGTCTGATTCCATATTCAAAATTCTCATTTCCACCCCCATTAATTTCACCGAGAAATAACATGGGAAAGTGATTGGACATTTATATCGATCGAAACATGTTGTTCCATTTTTAGTTGATTCGTTCTACTGGCTATGTGCTGAGAAGAACCAATAGTTTGCGAAAGGGTTGCGTTTTAGGCATATTTGGGCGGAGTTCACACGTGGTGCCCAACATTGGTATTCGCTGCTTACTAATGTGAACACACCCTTTTTTCACACCCGCTGTAGAATTCGGGCTCGGTGCTGCGGTGCTGGTGGCCCAAGTGGAAGGTTGGGACTTTAATTGTCGGTGCTCACTTTTGTGCCTAAGTGGAGTTACTATGTGTACAGTCACATATCGGATACCCAGCAAGTGTGTACAGTCCCTTGAAAGGGCTGTGATTTAAAGCTATACATGTACCTTTCACGAAGTTACAGCCATGGTATCCACGTGAAAGGCCAAACCCAGTCCTCGGGATTTCCATCATGCAAACCCGAGCAGCTCGCTTTGCTTTTTCAAGACTAAAGGGCTGTTTACATGCCTTGGGAGGGAAGAAGACCCGAGCACCAGAAAGATCCTAGAAGGTGGACCATCCTTGCGTCATATGTTTTCCGTACATGTATTCGGTTTACATGCAAAGGGTTGTAGTTGTACCCAGCGCTAGGATCTTCTATAATTCCTAGCTAAGAGGTATAGGAAGATCCTAGTACAATTACGAAGACCCTAGAACGATGCAAACTGTCTTCGGTAGGAAGATCTGAGGACAAACCAGACAAAAATGGCGGCGGGTCGGTAATAACGGCTATAAAGGCCGATCATTTCGTTTGGCATTAGCACGAGCTGGTTATTATGATAATTGTGCTGAAAAGACGTTACATGTATTAATGCAATTAAACAGAGCAGAAGGGCACAAATTGCATTTTTGTTTTTTAATAATTCCTTGTCAATCCTTTTCTACTTGGGCACCACACGGACCGAAATTTCTGCACGTAAACCCAACGATGAGTTGTTACGCCTTCTTCACGACCTTCCTCCCTCCATATTAAACAGCCCCTAAGATGATCAACACACGGAAGCGACAATGTAAACGGCTTTATTGTCATCAAAGCTATTACTGTAACCTCATTACAAGAAACAATCTAAGCCAGATTGACTACACTTATTGATAGCACAGTAATTTACAACCTCAGTCAAAGCTTGCAGTGGAAAGGTACAGTTTAACATGTAACAAATTAACATTAAAGCTGTTTCAAAAGCATGTCATGGAAGAGACGACTTCCAAATAAGAATGAGAAATGCTGGGAGCTCATTAAAAAGGGGAACAAGTGGTCTACGCGCTTTTATGTGTGGGACTGACATAGATCTGTTGTTTCACAGTGCAGTCACGTGAATGAACGTTTAACGCTCGAAGAATTCACCCCCTGTAAGGGAATCCGGAATCCGGAATCCGGGATATTTTTCTTGTGGAATGCGCAAACCTGGGCTTAAGAATCCGGAATACAGCTCAATGAATCCGAAATCTCACTAACGATTGGAATCCTGAATCCAAGTTCCACTGACAAAGAATCCGAAATCTAGGACCCGGAATCTGGAATCTATGGCGTGGAATCCAGAATCCAAGACTGACTTGGATTCCCTTACATGGAGCGAAAAAATGATACGTTTCACAAAAATAAAAATAATAATATAGGGATCGCTTTCATCTTCAAAGTAACATCTTGAGGGCAGAGGACAAGTGCGAAGGCCAAGGTTTGTTTGTTCTTAAATAGTTTTTTTTGGCTGTTTGTCGAAACATGAAAAACTGCCGTACGATTCATACCTTTTACACGACCTTTGGACCTGAGGTCAAAATAGAAAGGCTTAAAACACAAAGTTAAAATCATTACTTATATCTCCCTTACATCAAGCTCCGAGATTTTCCATTATTCTTGCAGTCCGTGTTACTCCTATAAAAAGACACAGACTATATGGACAGCGATGATTGCCAAGGTTTCTTTTCGTTTTTAACTGTTTAAATAAGAGCGCCTTTTCTTCCTTACAAATCCTTTTGGTGTCTAGAGATTTATACAGAGTTGGAAAATGGGACAGTTGTCAAGAATTCTGCGGTGGTTTACTGAGCGCATAATACATCTCCAATGGCTTGTTTACTTTCCAGTACTAAAAAAAAAAGGTGTTGTAATTTGTTAGATATGCATGAAGAGTTCTGTATAATTTGTGGAAAAATTCACTTCTACGAATAGGTTATTACCTTCTCGTTGACGTAATCCAGCGTCATTGAACCAGGAAGTGGCTGAAAGAAAAAGAAAAAAAATGGTTAAGGGATTCAATTTATGACGGTGAGAGTTAAAAAATATGGGGCAAGTCCAGTTCGGTAGTCTTTTCCTGCTGGACAAGTAACATTTTTTAAAAAGCTCACTTGTCTAAAGGGTAAGGGTCTAGACAAGCCCTCTTCCAACTAAGTCATTAACTAACGCCTCCGTCACACCAAAGTTTCAAGGTTTTTTTCTTTCATAAACGCTGCCCAATCAGTTTTTTTCAAAAACAAATTTGGCGCAAATGGAAGCCGAGTAAGCCCAAATTTACTTGAACCCTTGGAAAATCCACTCCTTAAATTTTCTTTCCACTTATTGGCAATAATATTTTTAAACCTGGTTTCACCAAACACGAGGCTTAAGACAAGCAATTGGTTGACCCCAGGCAAGTAAAACCCAAATGGCATGGGTAAGAGTTTGGAATCGTTTCTAGACACTTCTGAGTTCAATTCGTTAAGTGGAATGCCAAGTTTAGTTCTACTATAAACAATGCATTTTGATTTGAATACCTTTAAAGGGACAGGTTCACGGTTCAGCGCATGCTCATTTATCAAAATGCTGTTTTTCTGCTGGGACATGCTGTATCGTCTATGCAAGCAATATGATCATGTAATAATGTTCTCAAAGAACCAATCTGCACCCTCCCCTGGCAGTCACTTGCACTTTATCAACTTAAATATTTGCAAATAGCTGTAAATTAATCAACCATGGAATAAAACCTTCGGGTCAACAATAAATTCAACGTTCGTAGTGTTGGCATAATCCACTAATTTTTTCTGCGATTTTAGTACTCCCCCATCCTACTATAGGTTTCTCTGAAATACACTTCTACTTTGAAATGCACTCTGAGATCGCTGAGATACATGTGAGTGGGATTATTAACCGATAGAATAAATAATAAATTGGAAGAAAGTAATTTAATTAATAAACATGCGCTTAACCGTGAACCTGTCCCTGTAATACTTACCGTATACTGCCCAGGTGTGCTAGCAATGTATATTGTAAACTGTGGCACTTCCACTCCATCCTCTGATGAACTGGCGCCTAGAAATTTTGAAAAAAAAAAGCTTCAAAACTATCAATGGAATATGGAATTGCTGATTTGCAGCTGACTTTATGGCGGTCATGTTGGTTGACAAGAACAAAAGAGGCGTTTCCCCACACCGGGAACTATTTTTTTTTTTCATGCATCTTCTGCCAAAAAGGAAAAAAACCTTATTTTTTTGTCAACCAACAATTATTACTATCGACCTAAACATCTGAACAGCAACACACACAAACTCATACTTGATAACTGAAAATTTAAATCGACAAGAAACTGCTTCTTCTTTAACTTTATTTTCACCGTGTTCCTTATCTTTTTTCTTGAGCTGTTTAGACAGTTTTCAGGAAATAGTACAATTCATTATTCAACAACACAACGGGCTATTCCCGGTGTTAAGAGACATGTACATCTGAACATGCAAATAAATGAGTTCCACAGATTTCACTGACCTGTATCTTCTTGAGACTCTAGTGCAAGTCTCATGGCCAAGTATTTGGCCAGATGATCAACTACAAAAAAAAAAAAAAGTATAAAGATAAATCAATATATAAATAAATAAAGTAAAGGTAAAAATAAAGCTAGTAAACTGAACCTATAGTACTGTATCATTTTCCAAGACTGTTAAAAGCATTTTACTGTGAAGTATACAGCTAGCACACCTGAAGCATTTGCTGTTGTCTTGATGTAACGAGTTTGTTGAGCCACCGTCTCTGGATCGTGATCTTTAGGGTGTGGTTTAAAAACAAGTTCGATTTCCTGTTGATAAAAGCAGTGATTAATGCACTGATCATACCAGAGCTTGATAAGAACACATTTGAATCAAGATCATGTCAACAATGACACAACATAACTCTACCATTCAAAGAACACAGTTTTTGTCTTTTTCTTTTGTTTTTTTATGGTCAAACTACAGCAACAAATGACACTCAGCCAGTCAGCCATTACATGGGCAAGAGTCGACTTGCTTGTCAGTCAGTCAGTCAGTCAGCCAGCCATTCAGTCGAATGTCAGTAGACAAGCAATGAGTCATTCAGTTAGCCAGTCAGTTTTTTAGTCAAACTGTCAGTCAGTTATTCATTCAGTCAGCCAGTCAGTCAGTGACCATACTCAGTCAGTAAGTCAATCAGTCAGTCAGCCTGTGAGTTAGTCATTCATCAAGTCAATCAGTCAGAAATTGACAGTCACTTGGAACGTCTAGTTCTAACAATTTGATTGCTCACCCACGATAATTTGACACTTCTCTAACTCTAAGTTTCACTATTTTTCATTGATAAAAGTAATGTATTTATTGGTTAAGATAATCAACAACATAAACAAAACATTGCTAGATAAGTAACAGTCATGCATTTCCCAACATGTATCTGGTCAAATTAAGTTTCACAGAACTTAATAGGCATTGGTAAGCATCAACATTACTACTCAGTATAGCTACAGCTTGCCATGTGCAGCATGTGCAGCAGCCCTTTCTGTACTCACATTTTGAGGCTCCGATGTTTCTGCTGCTGCTTCTCCAGTGGAGTCCAAAGTGTCTGTTAAAATAATGGTAAAGAACACCTTTAAAACTGCATATTTTTACTGCAACAATGGAAGGAAACTTTCAGTATTGTTCAGAGTTCAATGCTCTGGATGTTTTGGTTGCCATAGCAAATAGCCAAAATAATTTTCACCTTAGCTATCTGAAAATTATTACCCTTGATAATTTATGTTCTGTGTACCAGCATCCTTCAAATTCAACTACGATAGCTGGGTGGCTATTTTGAATAATTCTGTTACACTTTCTCTTGAGAGTGTTTTCAAGCAGAGGTTCAACTGTACTCCCAAAAGAAGTTGAGCCTATGACTTTCTGGTTACCATTGTTCAAAAACTCACTTTCACTGGCATCAGACTCAGGATCAGAGGACGTTTTCTGTCTTTTTCGCACAGTATTGCTGCCTCCCTCTCCTACAGATGGCTGCCCTGTGGAACCTGGTGTTCCTGGTCCCCCTGTTCCTGCTAAATAGGAAAAACAGTCTTTTGCGTAACAAAAGTGAACACGACATACAATGAACATAAATTAAAACCAGGGAAAAACATGACAGAAACACTGTAAATAGCAAAGCTGATACTTCCAACAAACTCTTTACACTCAATTATGTATGTGTACCACAGCTGTGATGTATTATTTCAACATCTGTACAAAAACTACAGCAACTCTATAACCACTTTAAATGAGAAGATAAAACAACCAAATACCCTTTTCTAACCAAAACAATATCTTTGTCAAATTTTGTATCCATTGTTATGTCTCAGAAACAATAACTATGTGGTTCACACATTTTTAGGCTTCTCAAACAAAAAAAGAAGTAAAATAAAATAAGGTTGTTGTACACGATTTCTCAGTGTGCAAATTCATTAGGAAATAATGACTGGATTTGGGTCAACCTGATTTATTCAAAATTTTGTGCTTGTTTTCAATCGACTACATTGTAATGACAACCATCAAATCTTACATTTTAACCCGATAAATTCAGTGTCTTATAAATAATAATATTATTGTCTGTGCCAAATTTGAGCTTTATTCCTGCAACAAGTCTTAAACAACACCAAACCCCATGAAAGGAAACCATCCACAACCTATCAAACTGTGTTGAGCCACCTTAAGCTCTAACCGCTGGGCAGGTTTTGCTTCACAGTTCTATCAGTTGTGTTAACTAATTTTTACCCGGATGTGAAAATTTACCATACCTGTACCTGCATCATTACCTGGGTCATCTGATGACCTCTTCCTCTGAAATAAAATAATTAGCAACAAGGAAGGCATTAAGACGACTCAGCTGAAGGGAACATAAGATGCATCTCTGCCAAATCAGCAAAAAGCTTTTAAGCAGTTTATTGCTGTTGTGTGCATGTAGAGTGCTGAGGTCCAAAAAAATCCATGGTCTGTATCAGTTCCACAGTTGACATGATTAGAGAATAAATTTTTGCTCTGACCAAAGTTGTGAGAGCAGTTAGGAGTGCACACAATTATTTTATCACCAATTCAAATGCTATGAAAAACTGATTTGTTTTTCTACCACAGGAGGTTTGGGATTTCAGTCGTGTTCCCTGAGAAAGAAAAGTAATACACTAGACTTTTAACTTACAGTGTAAGAGTACTGCAGCTACTTGTACAGTGTATGAGTCATAATTTACAAAGTTAACATAACTTACCACCCTCTGAGCTCTGTTAATTGCCTGAAGTTTAAGCCCTTCTTCAATGCTACTTGTTAATGCCTGTTGATTGTGATGCTTGTTTAACCTCTGTAAAACCTTTTCCTGTAAACAGGTGAGTAAAATTGATTAGCATTCACATGAAGTCAAGAGTTCCAATTCAGTTTTAAGACATTTTTAGTTTCAAGAACTTTTGTACATGTAGGTACCACAAATAACTTTAGTTATAAAAATGCTCAAACATTACCAGGGCTGTGCTCTAGTAGAGCCCGGTGGCCCCTGGCACCTAACTTTTGCCCTTGGGTGACTAGAAAATCTCAGATTCTTCATACAAATCATATGCTGGGCACCCTAGATTTTACAGTTTCAGAGCACTGAGCTCCCTTCAATAATATATTATATTATAATATATTATATTATTATTTTCCTTAGAGCACAGCCTTATTACAAAACTGAAATCTGGTATTCCTCAACTTAATTTGTACAATGTACAAATGAGCCTGAACATAACTGATGACAGCTAATGGTGAAAGTTGCTGTGTTGTTCAGGAAATTAAATCACTTAGCATAGGATCTTCCCTGGGGCTGTCATTAAGATTTCAACTTGCTGGAGTTTTGCAATAATTATTATAAGTACCGGTAAGTGCAGAACTGAACATCCATGAAGATTTTTATGTACCCTATTTTTTGCTTTTCTTTCCAGCAAAAATAGTTGGGGATCATGCTAAAGGTAGCTAGTGGAATTCCTTGAAGAACTAGCCATTAGATATGTTCCTATTTTCCTGTAATGTTTTTTGCAAAGGGTAGTTTTCAAGGTAGTGCAGTGTTATGCATTAACACCCCCATATTGATTCTGTACAATACAAATTAATGATACTCAACAGTCTACAGGTTGCAGTGGTTAAAATTGTTTGCATTTGCTAAGCTTTACACTGGATTTTACCGAAATTATGCAAGAATTTTATCCATGATACTTACAGTCTTGTCACTGACAATGAGAATTGTGTCCTGCACTACATGTTTGAATTGCATTATGCATTGACTAAAATTGCATAGCCCACAAGGCAATTCGCACTTTATGTGAGAAGATGGTAAATTGCTTACTTTGGATCAGTAATTTTTCTTTCTTTTTCTTTTTTAACTATTTTTCCGTTGTTAGTATCTACATGTATTTAGATTTTCTAGAGTTTCCTAACCTGATGTGCTTCATATTCGTCTCTGTCTGGGTAAATCTAAAAAAAATGTTGTAAATGATCATCACGTTATGGGAGTAAGAAACCTTTACACCACATACATAAAAACAGGTACAGTGTATATATTCTTTAAATAACATAAAATTACAACTTCAACTTTATTTAATAAAAATAGTAATTACAATAGACTGGCCCACAAAATAACAATTGCCAATCTAGGCTGCCCAGTTAAAAGAAAAATAAAGTGAAAGGAAAGGAAAGGAAGGAAAATATTTTAAGTTACAATAATTCTTATTTCTATCATTATAGTTTTATTTTAATTACTTTACATCTAAGGAAAAACGAAAAACAAAGGGATCGAGAGATCGGAAAGCACATAATTTTGTACACAAATCACTTAACTGTTAATCCGACTTTTTACAGTGTGTGCATTGTTTAAAATAACTCTTGAAAGGAATCAATGGCTTGACAATAATTTAAACAATACAGCAACAGTTACTAGAAATGGTACAGTTCACAAAATATTTTTAAAAAAGTTAAATTGAAATCTCTTACTTTCGCTATGAGGGCATCAAAATTGGGATCAGGACGTAAGGACCGTTTTGAAATCAGCTTTTTCCTACATGTTGGACATTCCTTGTTTCTGTGAATGCAAGTTACAGAAACATATGGATCTCATAAATGAATCAACAAAGCCTCAAAAATGTTTAAAATCTGCTCTACTTCTCATTCTGTTGATAAATTTATCAAACAACATGGTTTTATCCTCAAGAAACACAGCAAACAGTAATCAATGTTGAGAACCATGCTGCCATATGCCTATCTGTTTGTTACTCTAATGTTTTAGTCCTTTCTGTTGATTTAGGTTTTGTGTCCATACAGGGCTGTCAATAAGCGCCTGCAGCTGGCCAAAACCGCCAGCTAGTTAGCCATCTTTAGCTGGCTACTTTCATCTCCTTCTATCATAGCTGCTAACAAAAAATAAGCACCATTGAATAAAATTGCAAGGTATTCATTTCCCAGTTTTGAATGGCATTGAATGCATATTCTTTTTTTTAAATGTGTGAATTTACACCAGTGCGATGTCTTGGAATGCCTGGGACATGTCCACGGCACTGTTCTCAGTCTTGAGTGTATTCTGACAAAACAACATGGCGTCCACAGTGGAAAACACCCCGGAAACGCCATTTCCAAGACTCTAAAATTTGAATATGTTCCTAGATGCCTGGCCCTCAAGAACTTGTGCTTTTAGTGTGAGTTTAAAAGCCACCTGCTATTCATCATCAGTCTCCTACTTTTTGACAGCCCTGCCATGTTCAATTTAGTATGTACATTACAGGTCAAATTTGATTTGAACTATTGTAGGTCGATTCTCAATTCCTTTGCCTCCTAGTAGCTCTAAGAGACCAAGGAAATTGAGAATCAACCTAGGTTCAAATAATTTAACCTGAAATCAAATTTGACCTGTAACATGAACATGATTTATTTACCCTCTACTCCATTAACTGATGTGTGCTTTTAGTTCATTATAGAACTTGCATTGCATTTACATGACTGTTCTCACTAAAAGGTCTCTGCATACCCTGAGTACCTAGGTGAAGTGCATACACGTGTCAAGAGGTTGCTTACCATAAACGTGTTGCCCCAATAAGTGATCACGGTTGCTTTCAAGAGATGGTTACCAGTTTATGAGAGGTTTTAACTATACAGCTTTAACCGGGACAATTTCGGTGTGTTGTGGTTACATGTTGAAGTTCCATTATCTCCTAATACACCAGTATTTTAAAAATCTGCTGTTGGTATTATGCTGCATTGTTACATCTTCTCCTATATATTGCACGCAACTTTAAGCTAAAACTAGGAAAAGGAACTATGTACATGTTTGTATATGTACATGTACAGGGAATGACAGACAGTGAGGGGAAGAAAGAAACTACACTGTCTTAGTCTAGGAAGACATGACTTCATATACGTACCCACTCCTCAATGCTGTTATTATGCACTCCTGACAGAATCTGTGTAAACACTATGACATTCAAAAAAACATATGCAATGAACATGTATGTACATGTGCAGTCCCAGTGCAAAAAAACATAAGAGAAAACTGATCTATTTTAATATAAGAGTGCATGTAACATACACTTGAACAAACTTGCACACCCACCTCTTTGGTTGTCATTGTGTTCTTCAGCATGTCTAAGCAAATTGGGCACATAAGTTCACTGTGGAGACTGCGAGGTGATATGGAAATCTCTGTTCCATCAGTGATGGCCTCTTGAGGTGTGCGATGAAGCTCATACAAGCTTAGTTCTAAAAATAATGATGACACAATGTAATTACGCAAACTCCGCTTTTCAGCCTCCCCCTACCTAATAAGGCCTCTTTTCATAGCCCCTTCTACCTGTAAACAACAACAACAAAAAAACACGTCCATTTATAAGCTACCCCTGCATATAAGACCCCCTCTAGCATGCGTTGAGATGAAATTGATTTATTGCGAGGTTTTGAAAATTAATTAAAAAGCAGTAAAAAGTCCTACGGTATAGTAGAGAAAATTAGATGTTTCCCAAACTTTATAACATTGATGATTAGCAAACACTCTTCCCCAAACCAGCTGACCCTCGAGGCTACAACTCACTTTAAGCATTGACCATGCAAGGTGTGTAAGCAGAGCTTTTGGCCTAAGACTACAACTTGCCTTTGAGGAAACTAAAGTGGACGTACTAACTTGTCTCGAGTTAGCTCTAAACTCTGCGCTGATAACCGTTTGAACTCCTTTTTACTGTACCTCTTAGGGGGTGTTTACATGACACCGGGCCACTTTCACGGCGGCGCCAGTTCACTCTGGCTCCCTCTCATGGCTCTATATTTGCTTACATGATACTACCACAAAATGTCATGCATGGTTGTTGTACCAGAGTGAGAATTTCACACCGGTATGAAATTTCACACTAGTATCATGTAAACACGAAATGACCACCGTTTGGGTGTGAAACTGGTCTGCGGGTGGACTGTGACAGATAGCGCATGCGTAATGTTTGCGATCTTGAATTGCACATGTATTTTATTAACATGAAGTGTACCTTCAAATAAGCAAGATATGAAATGACCCATCATCATGTAAACACGATACAAAATCAAAGAGTTATCCCGGTATGAAACTTGTGCCGGTGCAAGTTTCCTCATGCAAACACCCCATTACAATAGTTAACATTTTAGGGCACCCATTTTTTTGCAGTTTCTTAATGAACTGACCTGGTTATGATTTTGCTTGTTGCCACATGAACATTTAAGGGTTTCTTTCATCGGTTTGGGTTTGAAGGACATGATAAATTAACTATAATATTGCAATCTACCAGTAAACTACTTCTTAAATTCTGTCAAATTCTCAAAGGACCACGTCATCAAACATGTACCAAAAATTCTACAAAGGTTTGAACAAGGAAAGGACTTTAGGGAATGCATCCAAATATCGGCATCGGGTCACACCAATGCCGATCAATTATTGGGTACCGATTTTTTCCGATTCCATTGAATGTTGGACCTGATATTATCGGTACTGAATGAAATGGAATCAGCAATAGGTCTCTTCTTTATCGGGCCAATTAACAAAAGTCATCAAAAATATCTGGCAGCTCACCGGTCACGTCACTTAAAATGTTAACAAAGCAAAAGAGAGAATGACTGTTTTTCGATGCACAAACACATTTTTCCAACTTACACATTGTAGACCAGCAGATAAAGTGTTTCTTATTATTTTTAGCATTACATTTCTTATAAATGTGTCTTGTTTTTTCAACGAAGTTGAACATAACATTTATGAACATTTGTTTATACTTCCTGTGACAGAGTATGACCAGAAAAGATTAAATCTGTATATCAAAATGGGCACGAGATGAAACAGCGAGTTATTCTTTTAGTGAAAGAGGGCGCAATGTATGTGTACGATCTCAAAATGATAATTTGAAAATAGCTTGGGCCCATGCTAACCAAAATGCGTGATTATAGGAATCTTTGGAGGCATTAACAGTTTGAGGACTTTAAGCGAAAAAAAAACATAGAAAGAAGTCAGAACATCCACGACCAAAACGCAAATGCTGTTACCATGTTGTGTACTTTAACTTTTTAATGCCACAGGACAGAGGAGGATACCGTCTGAGAATCACGCTGCAAGTTTGTTTAGTTTCTCAATCAGTTTTCACTATTTTTAGTTTCATTTCATTTCTAGTGTTTCCTTTACGTCATTGCTTTGTTTCTAAGACTCCCCCTAGATAGCTCTTATTTCAGTCGATTGCATGTTTTCAAATAAGAAGGATCAACTAATACACTAGAAGAATAAGTTTTTGTCTCATTTAGTTTCGTTTCATGATTTGGAAGTTTACTGTGTGGGTCAGATATGTAAGTAATCATTTTCGTTTCTTTTCGTAGATATTTTTGTTGATTTAGTCTTTAGGTTATTGATTTAGTACTTTATTTGTCCCCTCGTGGGTATACATGTGTACATTTTTGTGACAATTTCACATATTTCGTTATTTACTATAGTATGGATATTTCAGTTACCTTTCTCTACTAATTTTATCTTCATCAAAAGTCAATATATAAAGCATTTTATTTAGGTTAACAGATGTATTTGTTAAGTGTTTTCCATGCAACAATAAGATTCTTCATGTACAGGGTTCTGCCCCCAAAATGCACTAGCTTGTATTTTGTTATTAAGCCTTTCGTACCCAATTATGTTTTATTGTTTTTTGTTTCGATTGCTACTCGTTTATATTTTTATTTCCCCTATAAGCTAGTTCATTTAGTTCATTTATTTGGTTTTTAGTTTACGAGAATCATTGACCGTTGGCAAGAAATAAAATCAAGTTGATTACATCATTTCATCACCTGCAAGTCTTTGCACTCCGTATTTAAATATCCCTGATCAGCCAGTGACACGTTTGATCTGATAGTAATGAACATGACCGTCGCTTTGCTTTAACAAAGTTGTTCATTGGTTGCATACGAACTCAAGAAAGTGACTTAAGGAGGTGTTCAACTGGTTTTCTCTTTCTCAAATCTTCTTCTGTGACTCACAAATGTGGGAATCTTTCAATTCTTTATCGCTAATTCCCAGAGACAATCTAAGCCCATGCCAACCAATTATTGGTCGGTATTTTTTTCCTCAGATCGCATTGCATCTCGCGTTTACGATCGTTGAATGAAACATACAAATTCTCGTAAAAGTCTGTTCTGAGATTTTTTTAATCCATGGTTTTGCTCTTGCTGCACTCGCTAAGCAACTCATGAAGTCGACTTGTAGCAAGTCTATGCATCCAGTCGTGTTTCGAGAAAGTGAGTTCACATTATGTTTTTGGGTCGCAAAGTATCGAATATTAAAAAAGAACACACTACTCAGTGTGGTGTTTTGTTTGCTATGTATCAATGAAGAACAGTGGTTTTTTATGTCAAAATATTTTAACTCCTTTTAATTTTCATAGAATGAATTGTATGGAACAGCACGAAAGAGTTTCTAAGCGGTTTGTGATCGACTGAAGGAAATACCTCTGCAAAATGTCGAAAAGCATGTGTAGGCATGCATCTTTCAACAAACTTGAAACACAACATACTGGAACATACAATCCACCAAAGTTAATATTGTTATCTGTTATGGAGTAGGAAAAAAGCTATAGTCGATAGAAATTGCTTTGGAGTGAAACAACTCTTTCATCATTTGGTTTCGTGACACGTTTCATTTTATATCAGATAAAATAATATGATGATGACACATATAAACATTGGAATGTAATTTGGCTCTGATTGAATCAGAAAAGTTTTTATCATTATCGGAAATGGCAACTGCTGCCTATAAGACTGGTACCGATTCCGAACCATCGAAAAATTAATCGGGTTCGTTTCCGATGATCAGGTTCCCGACTGATATTTGGACGCGCTCCCTTACTATGACCACTTCTACATTTAAAATAAGGTCAAAATCTTGAAAAAAAGAGAATCACATTTCTTGAATTAAGCTTACAATATTGAAAAAGTGATTAATTAAAGATTAAGAATGAATCTGAGATCAAAGATGCCTAAAAACAATAGGCATTGTCTCTGTGGTGAAAAAGAAATTAAAAGAATAAAACCAAAGGAAAGGAAAATGTTTTAACGTTAAACATAACAATGAAAGCTGTTTTGACAAGTGCTGAGGGTGACACCGTGTTGGTGAAACACTGATGTAATTTTTCAAAACGAAATAGCAGCAAGAATTAATAATTTTGTCGGTTTAGTTAATTTGCATAAATTACGTGAGTACACATACATTCACCAAAATGCTCGCATATTGGGGCGAAGTGTTTTAAAAGCACTGTAAAAACATAGACTATTCAAAACATGAAAAAGATGGCAGAGATATAAAATTTGACAGCGTTTATTACATTGTGCAATGTAATAAACGCTGTTAAATTTTTTATCTATGGTAGCTTGTTCAACGCGTAGTGAACAACATCCGTCCGAGCATGTGTTGTTTTTAAGTTTCTTTAGATACTCACCCCACGATTTTGGTTGTTGGACTGGTTGAGGTGCCACTGGAATTGCCATTTCAGAAATTTCTTGAAGAAAAACTGTCCTTTTTCAAAGCACAAATGCGACAAAAATGGAGAACTTCAAACCTACGTGCTCGCTATGTGACCAGGCCTCAATATCTTAGCGTGGCTACTTGGCTGATCTCTTCCGTGTCTGAAACTTGATTACATGGAAACGAAATCGACGATCATTTTGTAAAACCTTCTGAACAATTTTAAACAAATCTGGTTACCTCAGATGACTACAAGGCGTCTTCAGTTTTTGGAAGTAGAAATATTCTGCCCGTCTGACGGCATCAAAAAGTCGTTAGAACAGGTGTTGTAAACAATGAAGCTCAACAACCGTGGTGAGAAGACGCTAAGATTATTTTAGGGAATGGAGAGATACGACGTCATCAAAACTATTGGCAAGGGAGCTGGTGGTAAGGTTCTCCTCGCTACAGAGAAGAACAGTTCAAGGTAAAGTTGGGTACACCTAGCAGAACAGACTGGAACTATCTTATTTATAAAGCAGACTAAAAGACCAGTGACTTGTGTAAGCTTATGTTTAGATAAATTAAGGCTTAAGCCGATCTAAGCCTTGATTGCAAATGATTTAAGCTTAATTGTTATATACCGTAAAATTCCGAAAATAAGCCCCTCCATGTATAAGCCCCTCCAAATATAAGCCTCTTAAACCAGTATAATTACACTAAAAAAATCCCTCCGTAAAATTGCCCAGCCCCAAATAGACTATAAGCCCCCAGGGGCTTGTACTTGGGAAATTGCCTTCAAATACAAAGTAAAACAAAGCAAAAACGGTAAATTTACTTCTAACTATAAGGCTAGCCCAATCGATTTTGAAACTCAAATTTCTCTCCATAGATATTAAGCTCCTTCGATTATAAGCCCCTCCAAAAATAAGCCCCTAGCCTCAAAAAGGGCCTTTGAAAAACATATAAGCCCCGGCGCTTATTTTCGGGAATTTTTCGGTAGTTGGAAAATTTTTCTTAACAGTGTGCATTGTTTAATTAGAAAGACCAGCAGAGACAAATATGCCCCCTCTTAAAAAACTATAGTAAGGAATTCCCACCATCTTGGTCCTTGACTTTGCAATTATTATGATACCTTCTTTTCCCATAACTGGACATTCACGTGTGTTATTCTTTTGTTATTACACAGACATGTTGCTATTAAAGAAATTATCTTAGATCCAAATAAGAAGAACAGAACTAAAGAAGCTGTTTTAAAAGAAGCAAGGTACTGCATAGCAGTGTTTAAGCTAGTCTGCCATAAAAAGAATTAAATGCCAGCCTTTGGAGATACAAAATCTGGAGACTCTGTCTTTTGCATTAGCCCCCCCCCCCCCTGCAAATATCAATGACCAACCCCTTCTGCCCTGATCAACACAAATTGACCCAGTCTCCAACATGGGTGTGACTTAGGAGGACATTATATGAAGTCTTGCATGAAGTATACGTACAGGACATCAAAATTCACTTTAATTTGCGATCATATTGATGAAATATTAATCTTTGTCAGTGATAAAGTACTTGCAAAAATGTCCCAGAAATCTTGTTACAACTACAAATGAAAAAAAAAATACTCACATTTTGAGGAAAATGGGCCAAATTCCAAAACTAAAGTACAGAAAAGCTCATAAGTCGATTTTATGTGGGAAATTTGGAATGGTCAGTGACCCATACAGGTGACCAGGAGACTGGATAAAATCAGGAGAGTTGACATTTCATTATTTGTTGATTTTTTAGCATTTTAGCTCATTTAAAACACCCACATGTTGTTTCACTGCAAGAGTCATTTTTTGATCCATCAGAGGAAAAGCTTTTCATTGTTCAGGTACTGGTTATCCTAGCTATGAAATGGTTTATAAGTTTAGTAGAAATGTTATTATTATTGGATGAGGCTGAGTTTGATGGAAAGAATGATACAGATTGAGGAGGGTGTTATCCACTGAGGGTGAAGGTTGAGGTGGGCCTTCCGAGATCTAGTCAAAAACATGTAGCTTAAGCTGTTTATAATAATGAAGAATATTAACTGGGGAGTTGAGCTAATCAGAAATGCAAAGAAATATTTTGAAAGAATAATTAATATTATTAAAAGAATAATTTAATTCAAGGACAATTTCATAAAATAAAGTTGTATCTTTTATGTTGAAGTTATTTATTTTATTATAACTGCATGTAGTACATGTACATAGTAGAAGAGCAGTGTATGGTTAAGACACAGGAAAACCAAGAAAGAGCAGACAGTAAAAAATGATTGGTAATTTAAATTAATGCCACTCAAGTTTGAAAATTAAACCATAAGTTAAGTGTAACTGATAACATCTAGTACATTTTAATGTTTCTTGCTTAGAGCGAATTAGCTGTATATCATGGGAATTCAATGTTTGTTATAAATATTTTAATAAATGTTTGTTTGAGTGCTTTTTTTTAGGATAGATTCGCAACATTTACTTTTAATCCTAATACAAGCTTTACCAATTTTTTGTTATTTCTTATTGCAGGATTTCTGTGATGGTGGAACTCTGCATGAAAAGATTGTTTCAGCAAGAGAAGTTAGTAAAAGCAGCAATATAAAAAACATTAACAGTTCAGCAACACAGAAAAATTGACTTCACCTAACATGTAGGTCTTCCACAAGCACCAGCCATGTGAAAAGAGTTTAAGCTGACTACTGAAACCACAGTGGTCCACCTCTAGGCAACTTATGGTCTTCCAGTACTTAAGTTGTAGTCTAATCTCTAACAACAATATATATATAATTCAGTGTTATATAATCAGATTAATCTTTGGAACTCAGCTTGTACACTGCTAACAGTGCATGGAATGTTTTGCCATAATAGTGGTCCTAATAACCGACACTTGGTGTAGCTCAATTGGATAAGTGCCGGTCTGCTGAGCCACTGGTTCAAACCCTGGCCCCCCTGTTCGTTAAGAGTAGGGGACATACGTGTAGTACCTGGTGTGGTGGTTGCTGTCTCAAATTCAGACTCACATTAGGGGGGGCATCATTACCCATGACTTCATTACTGGTAAACTGCAACATATTTAAGAAATCCAGCTAAAGTCCCCCAATTAGTGTTGTAAATTTTCCTTGAGGGATGTTGATAAAAAGATATTTTCAGTTTACAATTATTTTACAATTAAAAACAGACAAGAAAGTGTTACTTTTATTAGTTAAACATGCCTATATCTACTTTCTTTCAGAACAATTCTCCATTTTCAGAGAAACAAATAATGCAAGTAAGTATTAAAATTTCCTGAGACTGGACAGGAGTCGAACACATTTTTCAACATTTTTATAATACCTTTATTAACAGCTGATGTAGAAGTCCTCTGCTAATCTTTATGCTGTGTTGTGCTGGTTATAATTTTCCTCTTGGACTAACTAAACGTCCTGTTTAAACATCACAATTAAATGTGAAAAATTTTCTGGCCTGTAAACGCAGACATATTGCTAGTCATCAATAACTCTCCCCCCAAAAGGTAACTTGGTTAAGTTATATTTTGGATGGAGAGACTGAGAGGTGACAACCAGAAAAACGTCTGTGTTTGCATGCTAAGAATTTTGTTGCTGGATTTTTTTTAAATTACAGTAATAAAGTTTTAATACCAATGATTTCCTGTGCATATGACATAAGTAACATTGATATCATTCTGCTGAGTGACCTATTTTTATTTTTTCTTTGCCTATGTCTAGTGGTTTGTTCAGATGGCCATGGCTCTTCAACATATTCATTCAAAGAAAGTTCTTCACAGGTATGTGTATGAGAGCTATATAAATTTTTTTTGTTTTAATTCTGTTCAGAAACTTCAGTAACATTTCCTTAGCTAGGTTAGCTGTAAGTTCTCATCTGTTTCGAGATGTAATGGTTTCATATGATCCCGGAGTCCCATACTGTTAACCCTTTGCAGCGAGCTGGGACCCGTTTCCCGAAAGCCCTGGTAGGGACCCAAAAGCTTTTTTTGTTTTACATTAAAGATTGAGGGGTTCTACAACTGGTTTACGTATTTTGTAGAGCGCTCAAATCATTTAATTCAAGAGCATTGACTAAAATTAATAATCACAGGAGTTCAGGCTTCAGGAGTAATCATTGATCATTTATTGCGACAGTACTGTTTCGTATGGTCCGAAATTGTAGGACCACACTCATCAGACAACTTCAACGATTGACCATTAAAATTAAAAGCTGGCAGTAAAATTTGGGTGGTTGTTATAGAGATGCATTAAGAGATTGTATCTAGGTAACAGATGGATTGTGTCATACATGTAGTTACGTTACTCTAGAGTTCTGAAGTACATATCTGTTTCTGTGGGGGCGTGAACTCGCTAGTTCGTTTCGCCTGTTTAGGCTTCAAAGCTATATACATACATACATAAACTTTATTTAACCTCGAATTTAGAGTAGCTAAAGATAAGCTAGTGTCTTCGAGTTACAAGTAAGATGTTAAAACTACTAAAACAGCTAGCGAGATAAACAAGCTTAGCTAGGACCTGCACTTTTATTCTTTATTTCGTTATTTTAAATGATTTTATTTCCAGAGATTTGAAGTCACAAAACGTGTTTTTGACCAAGAAGGGTGTTGTCAAAATAGGTAAGAATGAATTTTTATATTTTAATATTGCAGTTGTAAATATACTGGAATATTCTCTGTTGTAAATGTTGCGATTTTTAACAATATACAGCATGAAATAGGTAGTAATAAAAGCAATTATCACTGAGATCTATCCTTAAGGTTATTAAAAAGCAAAGCATGCACACAGAGAAGTTCAAATGAAAACTTTGAACCAGGCTTACATGATGTTGTTCATGCTAGGTGACTTTGGAATCGCCAAAATGATGGAGAACACGTTTGATATGGCACAGACATGCTGTGGTACACCGTGTTATCTAAGCCCAGAATTATGCCAAGACATGCCTTACAGTTCCAAAGCAGATGTTTGGGTAAGTCATTATGTTTGTCAGAAAATTTTCCCTAATATTCTAAAAAAGCTCTTTTATAAATTTATAACATCACTAAATAACATATATTAATAACAGAAATGTTGATCGATATGCACATGCGGCTGTTAACCGTAAAGTACCCGTAGCAATTGGTACAGTACGCTATCATGGATTACTAACAAGCAATTGGTCATATGGAAATTAGTCTTATTTACATGCGTATTATTTTTTGTACGTTTGATGATTTTTCTGTAGAACGTTTTCACACGACGTTGCTTCCGCCATGCACCAAAACAATAAAATTGCCGACCATGTTGCTCGGTTCCAAACCATTCCTCTGGGAGATGAACCTTTTTCTTGTGTGAAAATTACACTGACCACTAGCTAGCGTGAAGACGCCCACTATCGTCAGTTGAATCTAGAAACGGTACAGATTCGCACACCTTAAATAGATTATTAGCGCAGCTACGTTTGCAATATTTTATCAGTGTATAGGCAGCATAGCATATGCTCATATGTAGTAGCAATAGCAGTAGGAGTAGTTGTTAACTGCCGGTTGCTGGTTTGATGTTATGTTTTTCAGGCTCTAGGCTGTCTTCTGTTGGAGATGTGCGTTTTGCATTACGCTTTCGACGCAACCAACTTTGTCAGCTTGTTTTACAAGATTGTTAAAGTAGATCATGCGGTGAGTCTTCATCCGTTAACTTTGGGCAAAGAGAACTGCACCCCCGGCAGAATCGCCTGCCACTATATTGTTCAAAGAATAATCTCCTTGTTACGGCAATCCTTTACGCACACTTTACGTACAACTGTACGATTTATTTATACAAACTGTTTCTAATATTTCCAAGTCATTAAAAGTCCATAGTTAAAAACCTCGTATGTGTTCTGTACTGACAATTAACTCCCTCTAGTCTCTCGGCCGTTTAAGGTGGCTTTTACGTTTACGTGCGATCTTCCATACATTGCCTCTCTGTTTTATTTACATGCGTAACATTTACGTACGCAAGCATGTAAAAATTACCCGACAATGGAAATACACCCTTGTTGACAATAATCTTTCTTCGCAAATCGCTTTGTTGTATATTATTTATATAATTTTTTCTCCCCTTAAGGATGTTAAGAACTTAACTTGACTCACTGCAAGGTTCTGTCGATACTTATCGAGATCTTGTTCTTATGGCTCTTTCCAGGAAGTTCCGCCACAATACTCATCTTCTCTGTCAGCGCTGGTTACCGTGTTGCTATCAAAGACCCCAGATGAGCGTCCATCGTAAGTGGCTTCTATTCGTTTTCCCAAGAACTGTTAAAAAAGAAATCTGTCTCGAACAATTTCGTTTTTTTTAATTAATTGATTAATTTTTTTATTTATCGGGTTTGAACATGTGAAAGAACTGTTGGAGGTAACAAGCAAACAGATTATTACGTAGTACCTAAAGATTAATTTCCTATAGGGAAAATAATTCTTCTTCACTTATTATGATGGATAATAATTGATGTTTTGAGCGTTACACCTGTTCAAGTTTGTGGATTTGTTTTGCTGCTTAAACAGTGTTTAATTCATTTATTCGCAGAGCTGGAACAATTCTTAATCAGCCTTTTGTGCAAGAGCATCTTGCCATTCTGATAAAAGAAAAGGAAAATCTACAAGAGGCTTTACATGCTAAGTGAGTAAAATGGCTTATTGCAGATATGATTCACTCAGTTATAGAGAACTACTCTTAGTTTGGTAAAAGCAAGTGCAATACAAACCTATCAAAGTAGCGTATTCTTTTCCCCCCCACTACATTACGATTATGAGCATAGATTCAATACTGCGAACGACAGTTGGCCGTTCGGCAATTCCCCACTAAAATATCCGAAGGAATGTATGCTGGGGCCGGACATGATATCTGGACAGCTACTATAATTTTGTAGTTGAAGAAAAGTCAATACAGTTGACTCTCTCTTAACAGACACCTCGGTAAAACGGACACTCAGAGTTGGCCCCTGCCTTTTTTGCTTCCTTTTATTTGACTCCCTAGAAGTCTGACGTCTCTATCAGATGGACACTTGGTGCCGTTCCCAAAGGTGTCCGTCTTAGAGAGGGTTGACTGTGTAGTGTATGTCCAGTCCTATTTTTCCGGTTTGTTCTGCTAAAACGGACAAAACGGGGACCTGGTCGAAAATATTTCCTTCCTGAAAATAGCCTGTGCCAGGCTCTCGGTCAGTGCAGACGAGCGAAAAAATCGAGGGAGCAGTGATAATATAGCGAACGAGCGAGAAACGGCGGGATGAGAGAAGGGGGCAGCCTGTAAGCATCATTTCAAATACCACAATCCACCCACTATCCCGCTCACTTCCTAGTAAAAAACCGTTTCTCGTGTCAAAATGTCAAACGTCAAACCGTCAAAAGGTGCGGTGTCGGAGGTTTAACATACTCGTGTTTGGTCAAAATGTCAAACGTCAAACCGTCAAATACCGGAATGAGGTCAGTGTCGGAGGTTTAACATACTCATGATTGCATAAGCGTCAGTCAAAAAGTTTATCAGGGATGTCAGTCAAGTTTATAAGCTTTAAAATTCCGCACGCATGTAATAGTGTGAGTAGGATTTGAACCATTACATGTTCAATACATAACTTCATCATGATACCACGAAAACTTCGAATTGCTTACTTTTTGGTTCTCATAATTTTTTTACTACAACGACAGAGAACTTTGCTATTTTAGCGGAAGGAGAAACAGGCAAGCCATAACCCAAATAAATCAAAATGTGCAACCGAGACGGAGAGCTTCCTCATTTTGGCCACATCCACAGAACGAGTTTTGAAAACTTTAAGTGACAGGTCCGTCGCTACATTTTCTTTGCAAGGAACATTACAGAGCTACTGGGTCTACTTCTCAAAACTCATGACGTTCACAATTACATTTTAGAAATAGAAGAATCGGATTCATTTTCGTTAGGCCGGAGCCGATCACCCGTCACGCTTTCATGATTAAAGTAAGCAAGTGGGTAATCGACAACCAACGTTTGCGTGTTAGCGTGCTATTATGTTCTGATTTACCGTTCTTTTCCGAAATGTGCTGAGATAGTGCGTTAGTAGGCTAGTAAAGATAGTTGGAACTATACCTCAAAGTGTACTTCGGTGTCTTCAAAGGCAACGCGTTACCATGGGTATAAAGTAGGCTACTTGAGGTAAAATTAGACCCGTTCACATGTTAAGTAAGATTCAAGTATACTTAAAATGTACTTACCTCGCTAGTATGAACCTACCTAATGCTTACAGGCTCCACTACTCCGTCTCTCCCTAACCCTCACTCGCTTTTCGCGCAAATTTCCTCGATCCGCTTTCTTCACTACCTTGGAGCCTGAAAAGGGCTATCCTGAAAATAACATTTATTTGCATGCCTAGTGATGCCCTTCCACCATCATTGCATGCCTTTTTATTGCTAATACTCTATACACAGTTTGATTTCAAATCCTAGCAAATGCTTTTCTGGGCCAGGTGTTGTCCTAAAGCCCGCTTTACTTGTCCAATAGTACGCTTTCGGGAAGTAGAGCTATTTTTCTGATGTCTCTGATAAGCATAAGGGAAATGCCCTGGGTACGGGAAAAGGTTCCGCGTACCAGTGGGCTCTGTGCTGAATGGTAATACTCCCTGTCCAGTGGGGGAGGGCACAGGCTAACGAAGAGAAGGAGGCGTGAAACTTCTTCTATTTTAAAACCGATTTTGGAAGAGCTTGGCCAGAATATTTTCCTGTTTTTAGACTAAACTAACTCAAAGTTATCTATCTAGTGAGGTCTCCCGGATTGGCAGGGAGACTGTATGTGTTGGGAGTCTCTATTTCGTGGACTTACAGGGATTTTTACTTCCTCCTCTCAGGCAGCTACTGAAAACAACAGGTGGAAGTAGAAACAAATCTCCCAGCTCGCACCAACGTCCCTCGTCAGCTTCCGGGATAAAATCTCCGGATGAGAACGGACGGATGTTGAGAGGACGGTGCAAATCAGCTCAGCCAATGAATAGACGGCAACAACAGGTTGCTGTACAGGAAAAGAAAGGTTAGACGCGTGCTCTTTACTTAAAACTACATTGCTCACTCAGTCAGGAATGTCAATGCTCGCATCCTGTGACCTTTCTTCTTTTGTTCTTATGTTTATGACGAAAGTTTGCAAGGGTGAATCGAGGAAAAATGAAAACCGTGATTGGGTGGGTGGGAGGGGGACTTTGGCAAGAGGGCGTTTCCTTATCTGTCTTGTACTCTCATCATTTCCCGCTCAGAGCTCAATCCAGATCTAACGGAAATAAGACTTCACTTTTCTAATTTTAGATGTCGATCAGACAAACGTTGCGGATGACCCTGGTGAGTATTCGGACGACTTCGATGAGTCGGACGACGAAGAGTATTCGGATGAATCCGACGAAGGCTCGAACGGTGATTCGCCGAAAAAGCCGGTGTCGGCAGCAAAAATGAAAGACAACGGAGAGGATGAAGAAGCAGAAGTTGAATATCCTGATGATTTTGAAGATGACTCGGAAGAAGAGGTGAGATATTGCAATTAATAATATAGTCAAACGTTGTGATCGTTGACGGCTGCTTTATTTTGTCATCAGAGGTGGCGCGCTTCTTATGTCTTTTTACGTCGCAAAAAAAAAAACTATGGCCGGATTTATAGACCTTGTCACGGTTTTCGACGCCATCTTGACGAGTAGGCAAACGTGTGAGAAATTACAGTGTTTGTATGAGAATCTAATGTCGAATAATTTCCGTAAAACGGCTGGCCTGAAAAAAATATCAATTGTAAACTAAAGCTACAAAGCAAAGGATTGTACTAAAAGAATTTGGGGAGCGTACCTGTGCTTAAGTTTCTTCAGACGCTTGCTTTAGATTTTCCATATATTTGTCTGTAATTTTTCCAGGGACTTTCTTACACACAAATGTATAGAAAATTTAAAACGGGGTTTAGGTCTTCTAGCACATGGAACGCCCTCAATTTTTTTCAGTAGAGTCCTTAGGAGTGGAGCTTTCGTTTACAATTCATATTTTTTTCAGAACAGCCGTTTTACGGCAATTATTACATATTAGATTCTCCTACAAACACTGAAATTTCTCATGCGTTTGTCTACTCGTCAAGATGGCGTCGAAAACCGTGATAAGGTCTATTATATAAACACCAGCAAAATACCACATGAGCTTTCGCGCGAAAACAAGATATCCTCACACGTGAAATACACATGCAAAGATGACCGCTGCTATGGATACAAAATAAATAGCGCCTTTCGCAAAAACATCAACAAAAAACATATAAAAGGAAATGGTTATTAAGTATTTTATTGGTGGTTATGTAATAAATACAATATTACAGGACCGCTTGGATATAGTTTTCTCTTTTCGTGTTGAAAAGTATTTCACGATTGAGCGCAACACTTGAAGAGAAATTTCGTATTTCCGCTTGGCTATATATGTAATGTTTAGTGCTCGGTGTATGAACGCTTCTACTTCTCCACGCTTTTGTTATGTTTATTTTAGTTGCATTTTACTCTGATTGTTGACATATTCGACTGTTAAGAAATATAAAAGGGTATTTTTGTATAAAGCATGGTCGCTATCGTATTGCTTAGTGTGAACCACGCACTCCCTCTGCTCCAAATCTTGGCCTATGAATGCGTAAAGCTGCATACCCCTGACTACTGATTATAGCCCTGAGATAAATTTCCATCTCGCTTTAGCGAAAGGCGTTGGTGTCAAAAGTAGTCACACCCCTTGGCCCAGATGCATAAGGTGATAATTTTCTGCAAGATTCCCTCTGGTTCTTGCGTGTTATCAAGGATAGCTCAGTCAAAAACCTATAAACGAGCCTTCAAAAAGAAGGGAACGGTTGCTCAATCAGCATCTGTTTTAAAAACTAATAATAATAATAATAATAATAATAATAATAGTAATAATAATATGAAGAAATAAAAAGTAAGAAAATACATTATCTTAGAACTTGAACTGAGATATCGCTTGCCATTTTTCTCTCAAGATTCTGGACGATATTCTCACCAACGCCCGGGCTGCTCAAGATGCTGAAGGTAATTTGGAATCTAAGAACGAATTTCAAATATCTGTTCGAATTATTAAGTGTTTGTAGGATAACATTTCACTTCCACGATCTTCTTTTAACTTCACTTATCTCATTTGGCAGTTTTATTAACAAAGCAAAGGTAGTTTCGAAAGCGTTTGCGTTTGTTTGTTTTTAAGGAATGTCGAATAGTCCAGTGTAGAATTCGTCGCCGCCGCTGTATTGAGGCACTGAGGGATCATTTATACAGAGTTAGCCTCAATCAAAGGTAAATATATTCACAAATTCCAGTCAGAAGAAGACCTGTAACTGCAACTGTATGTATTGTTTTAAACTCAAATTCCGACACCTCTCTCCGGTATTTGTGTATAAATGAGTCTTTAGTGCTTCTATTCAGCTGCCGCGACGAATTCAAAACTAGACTATTGAGGTTTAAGCTGACCTCAGATTCCAGTTGTGTATATAGGAGCTGCTCGTAAGGTCACTCCTGATTGGTCGTAGAAAACAATGACATGTCATTCTTTCAATTGTTTCAGTATTGCTTGGTGTCAGGGTTAGACACCATTGGTGACTTCTCTTCCGAGCAGCTGCTACATGACCCTCAGATTCATTGAATTGTCTTGTGCAATGTAGTGTAGTTTGGAATTTGATTGAATAGATCAGTATATCTCTCAGCTGGTGTAGAATTGTTTTCATGTCACTAATAATCATATACTGGCTCATTGCCTCAGCAGTGGAAGAAGAAATCGTGGAAGACTTGGATAGACCATTGTCCTGCAAACAGAAGCTTAAAGAGTAAGTTCTTTGGGTAACACTTTAGAATAATGTAACGGGAGGTATTCAGGAAACTTTTGATCAAGTAGGCAGAGTTAAGTACCCGCTGTAAAAGTAAATAATAACGGGAGTACCGAACACTCCACGAACCATTTCCAGACTCACTTACTTATATAATACAAGATAAAAAACAGACAAACATTAAGTGCTTGTGTCATAGAAAGTTTACAATTCGTGATAAAATACTGTTAAGATCATTTCATATAAATACGTTTTTCACAAAAAAGAACAATGTAGGAAGGAAAGAGAGGGGCATATGTATCCTCCTTTGGGAAGAGCAAATGTTTGGGGACTTTCCACATTATCGTTACAACGTTAGAGAGATTTAGAATCACACTTATGGCAAACTGCAAACGACAATTAACATACCATGTGACCAAATTCTCCTTTTCATTGTAGTTTACTGTTAATTATATCTACACAAAAATAAGTAGGTTCATACGAGGCTTATCCATAAGAATTATTGTGCATAGCGTTTTTCTGCTTATTTTCTACTTTGCCAAATTGTCAACTTGGAGCTGACGTATGCCGTTTGGCGTAAACGTGATCCTAACTGCCTGTTTACATGGAGGTGGGAGACCCCAGGCTGGTGAGGTAACTCGCTTATGTGGGGTAACCCGCCTGTTCATATAATCTCCTATTTTGATTTGATCACGCTTACATGTTAGGTACGGTCACCCGCCATATGTTACCTCACCTATCTGGGGTCTCCCACCTCCATGTAATCGTTCTATTACCTTCAGTTATCTCCCCTTGCATCAATATTCCATTGTCTTTAGCCAGCCTTTGATCTTCGAGAATGTTTACTCACCTGTTTGCTAGATGCTTGAAATTTCAAGGAACGCCTGTAAACAATAATTACAAATGTTTAGGAATTTGATAACTTTGAGCTTTTTTGTTCTTCCGGCAGGCAAGTGATAAGTTTCATAGGCGAGAAAATGTTTGAGGAGGTGCGAGAGAGATTCGCTCGAGGAGAAGTGGACAGCGATCAAAGGTATGGTCATCCCAGCATATTTAGAAACTGTCAAGGTTTTCTACTACTCGCGAAATCTGTAGTTCGTGTTCTGTAAAATGTCTGTTTAGTCTGTGACCGTGAGAGGTTTCATCGTTATCAAACGTCTCCGTTTTTTCACTCAACCGCGCGCGCTGTACTAACGATGCAGGTCGTCTCCTAAGGGGTCCTTTATATCCGACAGGCACGAAAGACGTCCCCCATTACAATGAAACCGAAAAAAAATCGGTTTAGCCAACTTAATCTTTAATCCCGCTTTAATTTAATCTGTAGGCCGATCAGTTGAGTTAAGGACGGCAATAGCAACGACGTTTGAAACGAACCTTGGATCGCACAGGAACACTTACTATTCAGGCTACGCTCTTACTAGCCCTTTTTAACTTTGTTCTTTTACGGAGTAGCTCTTCAGTTTGGTAACAATCAATCATTTTATTAACGTTTTAATGTTGGATAGGTTTACCACTATCTCAGCCGGAGGCTCATTTCAAAAACGCATAACTATTATAATAATTATTAAAAATGATCTAGCCTCGCGAGTTATCATGCTTGACTTGGCGTAGTGGTTTACCATAGTGTACTGCGTTCACGCAATGTTTTTCGTATTTACTGCAGGCCTGAATTTGAAAAGCTAAGTGGATCAGAGATGATGGAAACATGCTATCTTGTGAACGAGTTGTTCATCGGTCCTGAAGATGACAACTAACTCACGACAAGTCGATAAAGATGGAAGGGGTTTTCATGCAAGGGTCATAAAATTGTACTGAATATCGCTACCAAATCAGGAAAAAAATAGACATTGACAAATCATAAACGCAGACTCATGCAGATTGAGACTGGTTCAGGTTGTACTTCTGATTGGTTGAAAATGGGAAGCGAAATTTCAGAATCAGTGAATATTTTGAGATACGGTCGAAAGCTGCATTGCTAAAAAATTTTAGCCCTGGAGATAAGAATTATTATAAATTCAGGAATGAACATTCATAGTCTGTGTTACCTGAATTGGGAGCTGCTTTTGTGAAAAAGCGAGTCAACATAAGTTATTGCCTCATGTATAAACAGCTTTTAGCCTGTACAATATAAGTAAATAAAATAATAGCAGTGTCTTAGGGATTTCCGGAATAAAAGCAAATGCATATAGTCATTTTTTATAGAATCTTGTTGGAAACCCGAGATAGGACGAACGTTGTTAATTTGAAATCCATATATTTGGTAAACAGATCCAACTTCCATTAGATTCTTAATGTATATATTGATTGCTTTTGGTGTGAAAATGCTATTGATTTATCTGTGTTTCAAGGATTTACCCTTAAAGATGTGAAAACACGATAAGCAAACTTCAAAATAGAAAACAAAATTAAAATTCCAAATGTTTTGAGTGAATTCTTTTCGAATGTACAGTAAGTGTTTTACATTATAGTGATGTTGGTTTTTCAGAATCGGGAGATTTTATCCTAACCCTTTCTGATTTGTCGGTGCTACAGAAAACCTATGACATTTGAAAATATTTTTGTATATTTCTCGCCATAATTTGGCGTGATGTGTGAAAGAGTGTATTTTAGCAATAAAGGTCAGTTCCATTGAATATGTACGATTTTGTTGTTGTTGTTTTCACATTTCGTTTCTGAGTCAGAGTTCAGGAAGCGCATGTATCCCAGGGTCCAGTTTCACCGCCGAGGACCGATAAGCGCGTTAAACCGTGAGGCATGAAATTTTACTCAGGATTGCGTTTACTAATGACTGGTCTGGACCTTGTGCTCTGGATTTCAAGTGACAGGGATGATCGAAGGATTCTTTTGGGTTTGAAATTTTCGATTTTGGGATTTTTTTGGTAGCTTGATTTAAGTAGGGATTTTTTTGGGCATTCAAAACTAGTGTTTCTATTTTCCGTGTTATATCATTTTATGCTTCCTGGAAATTTTTGTTACGGCTCGAAAACTCGGCATGGGATTTTTTTATTTGGTCCAGGGATTTTTTTGGGTTTTGATTTTTGCCCCCATTCGATCATCCCTATCACTTGAAATCCGGAGTTCCCCCTCTGGGCTTGAGTTAGCTGAAAAGTTGTATGAGGACGCTGAATTTTTCACACTTTTCATCCCAAGTTAATCTACATTTTTCTGAATGGAAACTGTGTGGAGGAGAGTAATCACCCTGAGTAATGAAAAAACCAAACCTTCGTAAAGCCGTTAAATGCATCTAAAATTGTCGGGGAAAATATTACTGCGGAAATTCTTGCTCTCCCGGGAATTTTGGTGGATTTTAATTCCGGCCCTAAAGTCTCCTTTCCTGGGGTTCTGGATATTGGCCATTTCCATTCTCCTCAGATGAAGCCTTGCAAATCGGCGGATTATTCCATCAAGGCCAGTTTCCATATTGTAGTGTATATTAGGCAAGGCGAGTCCAACATTTTCCAGATTTCGACTTGAAAAGCATTCCTATCACTAAAAATATATTTATTATGAAAAATCCGATCGATTTCGGTAAAAGGGTGGAAACCGGTGTGGATCCGTGCCTGCCCAATTGTCCTCTTGCTGAATCTCCAACAACTAGCCATTGTCAGGTTGAAACGGTTGGCGCCCATTTGTGAAAGGAGAACTTCTTTTATTATGAACATCTTAAACTTTCCTAGGTGAAAGTCGAAAAGCTGGAAAACTACTCTTTGAGACTCAAACGATAGCAATAAAACTGGGATGGGATTCGCAATCTCGCGGGATTTATTTTATTTTGGTTTTTTCGTAGCAGCAGGCGAGTTCCTAGGTTTCGGTCGATGTTTCAGTAAGGGGGCACCCAACGACAAGTTTTGGAAAATATCTGTTCGGAAGACGATTTGAGATCTAGCCAGTAGATTTTCGGAACATTTGTTGTTAAATTTCTTGCTTGCCTGCCTCTCCTAGGATTTTCGAACATCTCAAAAATGGTATAATTGCCAATTTTAACGGATTTTTACCCTAAAAAGGTCACCTAGAATTTTCGGGAGCCTTTTTTTCTGGCTGAAATTTTCGAAAAGGTAAGTTTTGATCCCTATAATTTTCGGATCACTAGACTTTCAGCTAGGAAATCTTGAAAAACTTTCAAAATATGCCTATATCTGTATGAACAGATGAAAACACGGAAATTTTTAAGGGAAAAAAATTTATGCCGTGTGGGAATCTATATCTACTTGTTTAAATACTAAATGCAGCGTTTTTTAAGTTTTTAGCAACAAACATGGCCCCGCTGTAAGAGAAGCTTCGTTTCAAATAATTGGTGCTTGGTTTGGACAAGGTCAGCCTTCCCTCAGAGTTTCTTAAGTTGTAAGCAGAGTGACGCTGAGAGAAAAGACTTTGCAGATATTCTGGAGCAAGGTCATTCATGGTTTTATACATCATTACGGCTTTTACCGTAATGATTAATCTACCGTTTAAATACTAAATACGTTCAACAATGCTATGTTTAAGTAGTTTTGAACTATATTCGCGTTGGGTGCCGCTGTTTATAGATAGGATTTCGTGACATGTTGACACTAAATAACATCCACCGAAACCAACTTTCCTCGAAAAGACCATAAGCCGCATCGTTCAATGCAATACAGCTGAGTCTATTACAGATTTAACATTTTTTTAAGTAATATAAACTGGAAACGACAATGTTAACCGTTTTATAACTCAAACTAACTCAAATTTTGCGTCTTCGCTCTGATCGATCAAGTGAGCGGAAGTCGAGGTATTGTTTCAGTCATTTTGTAAGACGCCGCTGACTCATCTGGTTTAGGTCGATGTTCAAGTGCTTTCCCTTCCGTGATCGCTTATTCCGTGTCTGAAACTTGATTACATGGAAACGAAATCGACGATCATTTTGTGAACCTTCGGAACAATTTTGAGCAAATCTGGTTACCTGAAGACTGAAAAGCGTCTTCACTGTTTGTGGAAGTAGAAATATTCTGCCCGTCTGATGGCATCAAACATCGTTAGAGCGGAGGTGTTGTAAACAATGAAGCTTAACAACCGTGGTGATAAGACGCTAAAGTTATAAGTTACTTTAGAGAATGGAAAGCTACGACGTCATCAAAACTATTGGCAAGGGAGCTAGTGGTACGGTTCTCCTCGCTACAGAGAAGAAAAGTTCAAGGTATAGTTGGGTAAACCTACAGCTGTGGCAGAACAGACTGGAACAGCGGACTAAAAGCCTGACTTACAGCAGGGGTGTCTTTTTGAGGAGGTCTAATGTGAAGGCTAGCAGAAGTAAAAGAATGCAACCCTCTTGTGGGGAAAGTGGGGCAAAAAATGTGCTGGATGAGAAAGCATTACAATGAGACCTTAAAATAAGCTAACTACCCCATGACTTGCTACGTTTATGTCCTGGGATAAAGTTCATTTAGACAGACCAGTAGAGACAAAATAATATGCACCCTTTTAAAACACTATAGAATTCCCACCATCTTGGTCAAAGTTATTATGCCTTTCACATCAATGCAGCACACATCCTCTTTTGCCATAGCTGCACATTCACATGTGTTACTCTTTTGTTATTACAGACATGTTGCTATTAAAGAAATCACATTAGATCCAAATAAGAAGAACAGAACTAAAGAAGCTGTTTTAAAAGAAGCAAGGTACTGTTTGATTAAGCAATAGAAAACATAGTTTCGGTGTTTGCATAGCGTGATATAAAAACGAGAGGGGTTGGGAGAATTAGAGACAGTTAACCCGAGACGAAGTCGAGGGTTTGCATAACCGTCAAGAATTCTCCCAACGCCTCAAGTGTTTATATCAGACTATGCAAACACAGGAAAAAAGTTTTCTATTGCTTGTATTAAATAACTTTCCCGAGAAAAAAACGCAAAACTCTTTGTATGGCACTGATTAAAAGAGAAATTCTCACCAGTCGCAAAATCTTGTCCACGAAGTCTTACACGCGTAATCGGTTCTTGTTTTGCAAAAAGATGCTTTGCAAAATACGGATTTTTCTCGCTTAAGCGAAGAAAAATTGACTCGCCTTCTTTGTAACGGTTTTCCATGTCTCAGCCGAAGAAGGAATGGGTAAACAAAGTAAACTTGTCGAGTTTTGAACTCGAAAACTTTTTCAAATTCGTGCTTGCGTGATTACCGCGCGAAAAGCCAAACAACTTCTCGCCACAACCATGTTTACATACTCTCGTGCAAACACTCGGCCACTCGGCCACTCTCGTGCAAACACTCCTCTCGCGTACTATCTTAGTTATTTTGTAAATAGTAGTGTTTAGGCTAGCCTGCCATCATCTTTCTCAGAGATGCCAACCTTAGGAGATCTAAAATCTGGGGACGAGTCTTTCTTTTGAATAGTTCCCCCTGCAAATATCAACTCGGATCAACCCCCCCCCCCCCCCGATAAACACAAATTGACCCAATCTCCAATGTGGTAGTCACACTTCGCCATCCGTCAAAAGGAGGTCCCGTCGGAACTTCTTCCGATGATGTGTGGTTGGCCTAAAATTAGCTTTGTGTGAGCTCGTCGGCTAACAAACTGAACAAACCGTTGTAGAAACGTACGTTATAAATCTATTTTTAACTAAAGAATACGTCTAATCTAAAGAAAAATTATCTTTCTTTTTGCTGGAAGCTAGACTTTCCCAAAAATTCTAAACCTCCCTTTCATGGACGGCTGATTACAACTGTGACGGCGCGACATCGCTTGGCAATCCCTCAAAAGGAGGTTGTCTAAGAACCGGAAATTGAAGATTCAAAGGGCAAACAAACAGTCAAAACGTGCTGTGTTATGTTTGGTATGTGTATTAAAAAAAACACTTCTCATTGCTGAATAAAATGTCAAAAAGTCTATTTCTTAATTAGGAAACCCGCGCTCTATTCTTTTCAGTAATTCACATTACTTTGAAGATTATTTCGTTCTGCTGTCTTTATAAAACAATTTGCCCAGGTCTTTATTCTTATTCTGAAGACATGAACTTTCAACAAAAACTCAAAACCTCCCTTTGATGGATGGCTAATTACAACTAAAAGGGCGCAACATCGCTTTGCAATCCCTCAAAAGGAGGTTGTCAAACTCAATCGGAAATTGAAAGGTCGGTTATGGATGATTGAATCTCGCCGAAGAGCAAACAAAGCCGGGAAACTGGCGGGAAATTCGTCCTCTTGTTGTTCGCCGGGGTTGTTCGCTTCCCAATTTCAAAGCTAGACAAGGAGATATATGCGAGGAATATTATCAGTCATGCTGTGTCTGGACGTATTGAGAGATTTCGTACGACAATAGGATGGCAAAGGAATATACTTTAAAAGCAATAAGTTCATTGTTTGAAGAGAAACTGTCAGAGAGACTAGAGAGGTCGTTTCTTGTGAAGTATGTCAAAGCCGCGGAGTCAATTCTCAGAGAGTTTGAAACAACAACCACTACGAGATAAGCTTGTTTCAAAGCAAGCAAAGGATTTGGGAACACAGGTAAGGGGCTTCCTATTTTATTCATGATAGCGTGCAACCGCTGATATGGCAAATCGAGGAGACCTTGCGCTTCTTGAATATAAACTCCGAGGAAATATCAACTATACAGCTCTGTGATATGCGTATATTTATATTTAGGCTAATCAATCGGGCCAACTTCAAATTCTTATAAAGCAGAGTTTAAGTGTTTAAATGTAATATAAATTATTTCTTCAAAAGGAAATGAAACGCATCTGTGTACATAGAAACAATAATGTGAGGGTAGGAGTAAGGAGAAGGTTTAGGGAGGGTGTGTGGTTGATTTCACAAGTGAACTGCTAGATCAGAAAAAACCTCTGGTTTCCCATCCAACAACGAACATTTTAAGGAGAACAGGTTAATAGTAACAAGGTCTCTTAGTTCAAAGTGTAGGGAAATGCTTCAACATAGACAGTGGCGGATCCAGGGAATCCTTACTTTTACACCAAACTGAAGCCGACCACCCCTCTTATCTAAGGGTCTGGATGATCACCCCCCCTCCCCCCCCCCTAATCTGAAGGTCTGGGTCGGCCACTGATAGGTTTTCTGTCTATTAACAGATATTAAATCCCACAAGCACAAAGTGTTATGGGAAGACGGTAGCCTGCGAGCAAGCTCTCCTATTTGGGCGAGCGAAGCGAGCCGCGCGAGAACGCCCCCCGCAGTCGCGTTTCCCCTCTCCCCAAATGGAGAGCTTGCTCGCAGGCTAGCGTTTCGACCGCATTCCATTTGTTGTGGTAAATCACAAAGTGTACGCCTGTCAGCATGGTGTGAACAGACATGTTAGAGAGAAAAAAAGAAATCAAACGGTTAGTTTATTTTTCATATCGATTTTCCAATTTTCGCTTGTACCTCCGCCTGACATGTGTGTGTGTTCTTTCCTGTAGGGTGTTGACCATGCTTATCGAAAAAATGGAGCTGGCAAACTTCTTCAAGAGTCTAGAAAGCTCAATTATCCTGCACCAGTACATTTGAGAGAGATCATCAAATTCCCAGAGTACAAGGTAAATACCAACAACAGCGAGAATTACGGTAGTTACAAAATTAACCTAATAGAATTAACCTCTCGTTAAGCTGCGTTTTTTGTGCTTTTATGTTATATAGATACCAGAAAAGACAGAGTGGCGTTGTAAGAGCCAGTCCAAGAAGCTACGGCAGGCCATAGAAGAACCTCTGAAAACCATCCGACGGTTCTATCCCTCCAAAGCGACCATCCGCAGCCATATTTACAAGTCAATTGTTAAGGAAAGGTTCTCAAAATTTGACCAGGAAGACCTTTTAAAGAGAGTACAGCTTTGGAAAAAAACCTCACCCGATGACTCTTTCGCATATCACCCATACGCCACCTACGCCAGTGAAGAAGAGAGCACGCGACCTGAAGAGGACAGTGACGGAGAGTCTGACAATGAGGGAGAGGATGAGCGAATAATTAAGACATCAACAAAGGGGTTCTTGTTTGTTCATCAGTCAAAAGATCAGAGACGACTTTTAGAGCGCCTAGCGATATGGAAACGAAATTTGTATGCTAGACGCAACTTACAAGACCACAAGATACAACCTCCCTCTTTTCTTTGTTGTTGTCAAGACTAACGTTGACTATCAGATTGTAGATTCTTTCGTTGTTCAAAGTGAGACGACTGATGCTATCTTTGAGGCGTTGTCCGTTCTGAAGTGGTGAACCAAAAATGGAACCCCTCCTGTTTCATGGTTGACTATTCGGATGAAGAAATGTCAGCAATTGGGAATTTATTCCCAGGTAGTTCAATAAGTAATTGCTTGAAAGAGTGGCTCATAAATATATGGGTACTTAAAAACATTGATGGTGATGTTGCGCTTGCAGCTGAAACAATACTGACGAAAAAGTCGCGTATAATCACTGTAATTTCCAAATGAATAACTGTTCCGTGAGGGGGGATTAAATAAAATGTTACATTACATTAAGAAAAATGTTACATAAAATGTTACATTACATAAAATGTAACGTCCGATCGGACGTTACATTTTATGCCGCTGACCCAAGGAGAGGTTTTTTTTACGTCATTACTGCTGAGTATCTCTCGGTGGCGGCTTTCGATATTTTTTGGTCATTTGGTCAGTTATGCGAGAGAGAAGATGGGTTACTCTCCCTCTCATTTCTCGCGCACTAGTGAGGCTGGGCTGAACGTTAGACTTTTGCGGCGTCCGATGCACTTGGTCCCTGCAGACACCGACGAAAACAAATCAACGTAGTGTCCCTCTTTTGTTTTTATATTCACTCCTATTTTGGTGTTAATAATTATTATATACTACTAATAATAATGATGATGATGATGATGATGACGATAAGGAGGATGATGATATTAAAGATAATAATAATGTTAATGACGTTTATAATAGTTAAAACAACAATACTAATAATAAATATAATAATAAATCATGATGATGATAATCGTAATATAATAAGAAATAATACAAAGCTATCAGAATTTGAAGAGTCGAATATAAAGCTAAGAAAACAAACGGCTTTTTACCCTTTGCAGGTACGTGAAGTTAAACACAAAGTTGCATGCAACCTTTCGCCGCTATAACCCAAACATCCCAGCCTATTTGACATAAAGACCGCACTACACAATTAACCACTGCCTAGAGAAGCGCTCGATTGCGGAATCGATCCCAAGCAGTCATGTCGAGGCTATTGACCTTACAAATGGCGTGTTTACGGTGAGAAGCCAGAGTAGTATGGAGGACAAGCAGAGCTACAGAGTCCAGTTTGGAACTGATCAGCCCAGCTGTGAGTGTTACGACTGGGAAAGACAGAGATTACCATGCAAGCACTTCTTTGCCGTATTTCGTCACTTCTCCTCGTGGTCGTTTGATAACCTGCTAGGTCCATATAAAGACTCCCCTTTCTTTACTCTGGACGAAGAATTGTTTATGCCCGAGTATGCGAGTGCACGCGAAAATATCTTGCAAGAACCTTCCGAAAGTAAACCAGCAACTAGCACACAACAGCCAGCACCGGCACCAGCGCCAGCACCAACATTTAGCACACAAATACCAGCACCAGAACCTGGCAAACAACCTGTACCAGCAAGTGGTACACAAGCACCAGCCAGTTACCGATGCATCCTCTTATGTATATTCTCCTGCCATGGCATCGGCAACGTCTAAGACACCCGCATCTCCTTCCACATCACTTGGCACTTCCTCACATACAAACTCAATCTGTGATGGGACACTCCCCATTATAGTTCTTGATGACAATGACTCCCAAGATGCAACAACGTGGCTCACAATCAATAGCTTTTCCTCGGATGACCCTAAGCTTACCCTCTACATGGAAAGTAAATTTGGTATAGTAAAGCCCACATACTGGCTCCATGACTCCGAAATACATGCAGGACAAGTACTGCTGAAGAAGGAATTTCCATTCATCGATGGACTTCAGGATCCTGCTGTCAAAGGATCACTTGTTATTCCGGCCACATCCGAGTTTGTCCAGATAATTAACGTGGGTAAACACTGGGTGTGCATAAGCACCATTGGTTGCCTGGCTGGCATAGTAAAAATATTTGATAGTTTGTTTTGATTGACCACTCTTGCCGCATGCTTTTCTACCAACAGGACACTGTAACATTCTGCAATGAAAAAGTGCAAAAGCAGCTTGGCGGCAGTGACTGCGGTCTCATGGCCTTAGCTTTTGCAACAGACTTGCTGCCATGGTTTAGATCCAGCAACACGGAGGTACAGCTAACTCGAGATGCGCCAACACTTTGTTAGCAGCCTAGAACTCAGGGAAAGTGAAACCTTTCCCCAAGACCAACTAAAGAGTGCACTGCCATCTATCTTATAACCGGAATTTCTCTGCCAATCTTGTCTTTTAGGCTCCCAAATAACAAGCATGAGTACATACAGTATTGTTCATGCCGTGGTTGGTATCATCCTCAGTGCTCCTTAGCCCCACAATGGGCCATCACATCAAAGCTGCCATGGAAATGCCCAAAATGTAAACTACCTAAGGCAAAAAAAGGAAAGAGAACCATCTTGGGAGCAGTGAACAAAGATAATTAAACAGTAGTTTATTTAAAGGGGAATTGTCACTGAAGTTGTATCATTTCGGTCAAAGTTTAAGCGTTATCTTTGACTACAAGCACGCAATCCTTGCTCTAAAAAACGATACAATTATCTTGAAATACCTAACAGAAAACCCAGACTCGTTAACGAGAAAGCAACTTATAATCCAGTTTACTATCATTGAATATTTTTGTGGGAGTAAAAGGCCCTGGTTATTTTTCATTTCTTGTTTTTTTGGCCTTGGTGACACTGCCTTTTTCTAATATCAATGCCGTTGAATCCCTTGAAAGGAACCATGTAGTACGTGTGGGCAAATGAAATACAATGAAAGGTAAAATGGCAGCTTGTCTGTACATGAAAACCGTTGATGGCTGTAAGGATACGTAATTGTGCGAAAAACTGTCTTTATCTGTGTTGTATGTACAAAATAATAAAAACTGTGGGTGCTGGTAATCAGATATCTAAGTGACGTCTATATCATGATTAGTTCCTGTTCAGAGGCCAATTTGCACCACTGAAAAAAATACAACCGTGCAAATAAAGCTGTTGTTGCTGTTTTTAAAGGGTCACTGCAGTTGCTGTTGTTATTCAACAAGGGTTACCGTAGCAGCTGTTCAATGCAATCAACCATGATACAACAGATCACCCTCATAATATATAGATTTAGCCAGGGCTAAAAGCGAGGCTCCATTAATACATTTATAATTTAAATCAAACAATAAACTTGTATTCCACAATTCAGTTAACTTTAGAGCACATAGTACATTCATGTGACTTTTGAGGGAAAGGTTAAGTGATTTTAGAGGAAAATAATTTGCAAACAGCCTAAGAGTGAACAAAGTGTTACATCGAGTTGATAGCCTTATATGTACACCCAAAAACTGGTAATCATCTTCGATCACATTTAAGAGCCATAATGGCCCTTGATCACCGTAAGATTAATTAGGCCTGGAAAAAAAATCAGGCCGAATTTTTTTGCGTTCGACAAGTTTACTTTACAAAATCTTGCCAGCAAATCTGGGTGCGTGTAAACCAACCTTTTATACCATTTATACATCACATCTGAGGTGAAACAGTACTATGAGGTACTGTTTTTGTCATACAGACCTCGGACAGAATGCAGTATTTCACAATTTTGCAACAGAAATTGCATTCATTCAATATTCAGGATGATCGAGACACGCGTGGGCTTTTACCTAAACCGTTAAAAAAATTTCCAAAATCACATATACGGCTAGCCCGAATTACATCCGATTACTTCGAGTCGTTATTACTCCCTCAGTAGTTGTTGAAAGGAGAAAACGACTCGAAGCAATCGGATGAATTTCGGGCTAATATACGGCCAGCCGGTTCTCACTTTTGCAGTGCAAGCTGTAGCAAGTGTTTGAACGAACATACTAGAGTTAAGCTCTAACATAATAAAGAAATTATTATGTTTATTTTTTATTTAATGGTTTTATCGATGTGTAATCTTTAACAGCGTTTGATACACGCGGAATTTTGAGCACTTCGGGAAGCGTTGTTCACTGAACGACTGAAAACAATCGGCACAGCGATTAAAATTACAAGAGAGACTACCAACAATCAATTAAAAGAAATATAATTCGATGAAACATATATAGAGACAACATTTTTCATTCACGAAGACAAGTATTAAAGTGTCTCTAAAAATCTTGAGTCTTCAAGCTTAAAGCTTAAGTTTATGTTTTAAGCCGGCTTCCCGGTATTTACTCTTTTCAAAGATGAACTCGAGGCAAGAAAATCGCTCAAAGCTTTCTTTTACAGCCAGAATTATAACTAAATGTTCTTTGGAACGTTTTCTTTCTATTTGCGGTGAGAAAATGTCTAGCTAAAGGCTTTTTAAAGTTCTGTAAGCTTATATCAAACCTGATTCTTGGCCAGATCAAATTAGGGCCATTTATACGAGGAAAAATAAGACGCGAACTGTACCATTTATACGAGAATGTCTTATCTAAGACGACAACAGCTCGTTTAAATTGTTCGCGTCTTATTTCTGTTCTTGACTCGTTTTCATGTGAATGTTGCCCGTAGCAACGACAATCCAACGTGGCGCGCCAAAAATTAACGCATGCGTACTATGCGAAGGTCATTTAAACGAAGTTTTTCTCGTCTTAGCTGAGACGCGTCTTATCTTAGAACAGGTGTTAAGGGCTGTTCTAAAATAAGACGCGTCTTAGCTAAGCCGTGTCTTATTTTAGATGAAATGTGCCGTTTATACGGAAAGTTCGCTTCTTATTTAAGACGCGTCCTATGTAAGACGCGTCTTATTTTTCCTCTTATAAATGGCCCTATTGTCTCAAATCTTACTAACGTACGCGTGCATAAACTACACGGCCGCATAAACTACGCTGGACTTCATTAAATTAGATACAAAAAACAAACGTCAAACACAATAATTACTAAGGCTTACCATTCGAGATGCAGCTCCAGAAAGGTATCAAGTAAGGCCAGTATCGCTTCAGAGTTTTTAACCCTTAGGCATCAAGCAAGGTGAAAAACGAAAACGATGCCATCCGAAATCGGATTTCCGACTTTAACAAGTGATTTATTAATTTCTCAACCAAAACCAACTGGCCATCAATAACAGAAGACTCCTGATAGCAGCTGAATTTCATTTTGAGTATCCAGTGGAAAAAGAGAGTTAAAAACATCACAAGTTGACAAGAAACTCTGTCAGCTTCAGCTGTCAAAGTAAACAAGATTCAAGATGCTGCATAAATTTTCCCCATGAGCTCTCCTGTCAAATTTTGACCAACCAGAGCATAAAAATTGGAAGTAGAGCGTGACCAATGCGTGACCATGGTGAGCAAAGTCAAAGGTAACTGTCTTCCCTACCTGTAATAGCTGGCTGAATTTTCGCTTCGGAGGTCAGTTTTAAATCATTTACTTGTCAGTTTTAAATCATTTAATTGTGCGGCACAAAAACAAAACATATTTCATATGAATTTTAAAAAAATCAAACTTGAGCCTGCGATCATTTGAAAACCAGTAACTTGTCAGCGGACAACTTTGAAAATATACTTGACCTCGATGCGTCAACACCTGAGCCCGCGATACGGACAAGTCATACTGGTCTGATACCCTGTTTTGACAGCTGTCAATTGATCACAACATTGATGTTCAATGGATGTGTGCATTATAATGTGCATTATAAGTTTTCCTGTGCTCTCAAACTAGCTAGAAAAGTATGAGATTGAACATTGATCGAGATCGCGATCTAGTAAAACAATTAGTCAGCAGACAGCTTCCAAATAAATCACGTCACCTTGATGAGTTGGCACATGAGCCCTCGATATGACAATGTGATACTGGTCAGTGGCTATCCTGTTTTGACAGCTGCCAATTGACCATATTGTGAATGGCCGATATAAAAGATGTGGCTTTGCCAAGACACGCCTAAGACACCCCTCCCTTCCTTTTGATAGTCTCCCATACCCTACCCGTTTAATCTGTAGACGCGTACGTACGTACGCTCGGTCAGTCACGTGATAACCAAACAAAAAGAGATTGACCATATTCTATGAGTATGGGGCTCTGTCCCCGCTATTAACTTAGTTTTAGTCATGTTAGAATATATATCTATGCAAAAGACATTAGACTGCAAGTGGAGTGGCCGAAAGGCAAGTTCATCTCCTTGCTTTGAAATTGGGAAGCGAACAACCCAGGCGAACAACAAGAAGACGAATTTCCCGCCAGTTTCCCGGCTTTGTTTGCTCTTCGGCGAGATTCAATCATCCATAACCGACCTTTCAATTTCCGGTTGAGTTTGACAGCCTCCTTTTGAGGGATTGCAAAGCGATGTTGCGCCCTTTTAGTTGTAATTAGCTATCAATCAAAGGGAGGTTTTGAGTTTTTGTTGAAAGTTCATGTCTTCAGAATAAGAATAAAGACCTGGGCAAATTGTTTTATAAAGACAGCAGAACGAAATAATCTTCAAAGTAATGTGAATTACTGAAAAGAATAGAGCACGGGTTTCCTAATTAAGAAATAGTCTTTTTGACATTTAATGCAGCAATGAGAAGTGTTTTGAATACACATACCAAACTTAACACAGTACGTTCTGTTTGTTTGCCCTTTGAATCTTCAATTTCCGGTTCCTAGACAACCTCTTTTTTAGGGATTGCCAAGCGATGTCGCGCCGTTGTAGTAATCAGCCATCCATGAAAGGGAGGTTTAGAGATTTTTGGGAAAGTCTAGCTTCCAGCAAAAAGAAAGATATTTTTTCTTCAAATTAGACGTTTTCTTTAGTTAAAATTAGATTTATAACGTTTTCAGTTTGTTAGCCGACGAGCTCACACAAAGCTAATTTTAGGCCAACAACACGAAGGCGACTCGGGTCAAGTCGGATTCCATCATCGGAAGAAGTTCCGACGGGACCTCTTTTTGACGGATGGCGAAGTGTGACTACCAAAGCCCCCAACTTATAATGGTTGTGGCTTAGGGCATTATACGAAGTTTTACATGAGGTACAAGTCATCAAAACTCCGTTTTGTTATTGTACTGACGAAATATTATTGTCAGTGTTAAAATACATGCAAAAACCCCCTAGAAACCATACTATGAACAAAAAAAATCAGATTTTGAGGAACAAATAAGCAAATTCCAAAACTAAAGTACATAAAAGCTCAAAGGTTGATTCTATCCAGGAGATTTGGAATGATGACCGGCAGAGGAGACTGGAAGATTGGTGCCTTTTCCAGGAGACTCCCTGATAAATCAGCAGGGTTGGCGCTTTCTTTGGATACTTGACTGAGCCATTATGGCTCTTGTTGACACATATTACTTTACTTTATTTTTTGTTTTCTTAGCATTTTAGCTCAGTTAAAACACCCACATGTTGTTTCATTTCAAGAGTCATTTTTTGATCCATCAGAGGAAACGCTTTTCATTGTTCAGGTACTGGTTATTTGGTATACTAGCTATGAAATGGTTATGTTAGTAGCAATTATTATTGGATGGGTTGAGTTTGATGTGAAGAATTATACAGATTGAGGAGGGTGTTATCCACTGAGGCTGATGGTTGGGGCGGACCCTCTGATATCGGTAGCTAAGCTGTTTTAGGGTGCAGTTATTTATTTTATTGATGGTAGTACATGATAGAAGACCTGTGTATGGTTAAGACACAGGAAAACTAAGAAAAATCAGCTGACAGATGACAGGTGCAAAACATGACTGGAAAATGAAAACAAAAATGCTTCTCAGGTTTGAAAATTAAACCATAAATTAAGTGTGAACCATAACATGTAGTGTTTCTTGCCCTCTTGAATAGTGTTGTTGTATATCAACGCATGGGAATTCAATGTTTCTTATAAAAAATATTTGGTCTTATTTCTTATAAAAAATGTTTGTTTGAGTGCTTTTTTTAAAGATAGATTCACGACTTTTACTTTATCATTTACAGCAAGGATCAAGCCTAAAAGTGTGACAGCTTTTGATTTACCCACATTCTGTCAAACAGATTTAATCCAATCTACTTCTGATCCAGGTTAATGTGTGCATGAAAGAATGCGAGTTAATCAAAGGAGGTCACACTTTTAGGCTCCTTGCTGTAATCCTAATACAAGCTTTACCAATTTTTTATTATTTCTTATAATGAAGGATTTCTGTGATGGTGGAACTCTGCATGACAAGATTGTTTCAGCCAGAGAAGTTAGTAAATTGTATACTTTTTAATGAGCCCTACACATATTAATAAAAAACAGCAATGTAAAAAACAATAACAGTTCAGCAACACAGAAAAGCTGACTTCATCTTAGATCTTCCACAAGCACCAGCCATGTGAAAAGAGTTTAAGCTGGCTACAGAAACCACAGTGATCCACCTCTTGGCAACTAAAAAGGGTCTTCCAGTACTAGTTGTAGTCTAATTTCTAGCAATAATTATATATTATCAATTAAAGATCAATTCTGGGAACTCAGCTTGTGCACTGCTAACAGTTGATGGAATGTTTGCCATAATATTGGTAAAAAGGCTTCTTGCTTTAGTTCAGTTGGATAAGTGCTGGTCTGCTGTGCCGCTGGTTCAAACCCTGCTAAAGTTGTTGTAAGTTTTCCTTTAGGGATGTGGGTCATCATAGATATTTTCAGTTTGCAATTTACAATTAGATTAATTCACAAACTGGTAAGAAAGTGTCACTTTTGTTAGTTTAAGGTGGCTCGACTGGATTTTTTTGGGGGGATACCTCCCAAGTTTGAGGATTAACTACGTCGCCATACTTATAGATATTAATTGGCAAATAATCTCGGGATTATCAAATTTATAAAGAAATTTATCGAGCGGTTTTTTGAAAAATGCGAAATTTGTAGGCGTGGATCAATTACGTGCAAAAACTGTAACAAAAGCAGCTGAATGCAAGTTATTAAAATTCTTCTTACTCGCCAACGCCCAGAGCAATTCCCCTCTTTTTTTGTGTGCAGTTTTCAGTGGAGTCAAACCACTATGAGATGAAGCCGCGTTTCTAAAGCTTATCATTTTCTTCAAAAAATTAGCTAATTGTGTGGATAGCATGCTATTTTACTGTTTTTATGACGCTTCAAGCTTCATTTCAAAATACTTCGAAAACGTTCTCATATAGAATTTGTTCAAATCCAGTCGAGCCACCTTAACATGCCTATATCTACTTTCTTTCAGAGCAATTCTCCATTTTCAGAGAAACAAATAATGCAAGTAAGTATGAAAATTTCTTGAGACTGGACAGGAGTCAAGCACATTTTTCAACATTTTGAAATTAACAGCTCATGCAGAAGTCCTCCACTAATCTACACTGTGTTGTGCTGGTTATAATTTTTATCTTGAGCAAAAGTCACGATTGAATGAAAGAATTTAGCTTAGTTTTTTTTTCTTTCTTTCTTTTGTAAGTAATAGTATAATACCAATGATTCCCTCAGTGCATATCACATGATATCATTCTACTGAGTGACCTATTGTTATGTTTCTTTGCCTATGTCTAGTGGTTTGTTCAGATGGCCATGGCTCTTCAACATATTCATTCAAAGAAAGTTCTTCACAGGTATGTGCATGAAAGCTGTATAAAATTGTCCGCTGTTTTAATTCTGTTCAGAAACAGAATATGTATTATTTCCTTATCTTGATGAGCTGTAGGTTTTCAACTGTTTTAAGATACAATGGTTCCATGATCTAGTCAAATACAATTAACCGTTTGCAGGGAGCTGGGGCTCGTTTCTATTTAAGATTGAGGTTTCAATCATGGTTTGAATAATTTTGCAGATAATATGAAACTAGCTAGATATGTAAACTAGCTTAGCTAGGATCTGCACTTTTATTCTTTAGAGTTTTATAGTTTTTATTAACATCTTAAACGATTTTGTCTTCAGAGATTTGAAGCCACAAAACGTTTTTTTGACCAAGAAGGATGTTGTCAAAATAGGTAAGAATGAATGTTTATTTGTAATGTTGCAGTTAAAATACTGGGATATTCTCTGTAGTTAATTTTGCGATTTTAACATAATACACAATCAAATAGGTAGTAATAGAAGTAATTATCATTGAGATCTATTTTTAAGGTTCCCAACTAGCAAAGTATGCACACAGAGAGCTCAAATAAAAACTTTGAGCCAGGCTTACACGATATTGTTCATTCTAGGTGACTTTGGAATCGCCAAAATGTTGGAGAACACGTTTGATGTGGCACAGACATGGTGTGGTACTCCGTGTTATCTAAGTCCAGAATTATGCCAAAATGTGCCTTACAGCTCCAAGGCAGATGTTTGGGTAAAGTCACTATGCTTGTCAGCGGAAACTACTCCCTGTTATTCTAAAAAAAAAATTCTTTTACTATAAAAAATCCTTTAATGTGATGTTAACAGAACCGCTTAATCGATGAACACTTCAGCTTTCCACCGATACATGAAGTCTGCTTTTTGAGAGTTCAAATACATGTATACAAACATTAGCTGATTAAATGAAGACTGCTTTGACCTTTGGGAATTGCGCACTGGGAAGCAATTTTTTGGCGGTCACTAAGAAAATCATTGTTAAGTGATTTCCGTATGCCCAATTGCCTCTTGTAACGTGCAGTAAGCTGTACATTCTGGCGATGAACTTAAAACTTTAAGCTTCTTGAACTAAACGCTTCGCTATGATTACTTTACCGGCCGATTGTTGTCTGTGCTCAAAGTATTTTGTAACTTTTTGTTTGTTCGGGACTGTTCTGCTAAGGCTGTTTTATTTCTTCTGTAAAGGCTGGTTCTTGTATGTCCATTTCGATCGCTGCTGAAAGCATTGCACTAACATTGTGGTAAAATGAACACTAACCTTGATAATGAGACTAAGATCATTGTCCGCAGCAATAGCTAACATGGGTCGCTGATAACACCGCGGCAAAACGTCTACACACTTTCCAGTCAGATGAAAGTGTCCCGCGCGCTCTTAGCTTCATTCTGTGTGCAGCTTGTGGTTCAGTTGTTCTGACCTGTTCTGCTTTATGCTGCTCGTGTTTTTGACTATTTTGTAGTTATTGAAATTGCCTTTATGGATAACCAGGCACAGATCACTGAAACAATTAGTCGATTAGATTCAGAAAAGGTAAGATGATAATAACTCAGTGTGTAATTTTGGCAAGAGCGTCAGGTAAACTGATTTTCATTCACGAAAATAAAGTTTTTGACTGTTATTTTTCACTTAACCTGGCTGAAACTAAGACATAAAATTAAAACGTTATCATTGCAAGCTTGTGTATTGTACAGTCCGGAATATCCCTAAATTTAAGGACAGGGCCAACTGGTCACGGGACACTTTTCAACCAATGAGAAGGCGCTTTTGTGTTTATCAACAAACAAATCAAAACATCGCCGCGGTGATCAAAACAGCGGACGGAGTTGGTCAGAATCAGTCATCGTTTCGAGGCTCTCAGGCATATTTTTAAGACTTTTCATGAGGCATACACAATTTTTTTAAGTGGACAGCGTATCGCAAGCCATATTGGAAGTGTCTCGTGAAATATTCAGCACATTTTGTGGCTTATTTCTTCTTTAAACAACGCGATATATGGGCGAGATTTTGGTCGGTTTTCAAGGTAGGTGAACAAGTATCTGTTATTTTTTCTATTCACAGATTTTTTTTACGAAGTTCTAGAACAAGTATCTGTTATTTTCTCGATTCACAGATTTTTTTTACGAAGTTCTAGATATTTTTCCACGATTGTCATATCGATTAACTTTTATCATGTTGAATGTGGGGATGGTAGACAACCTAGAATTTTGGTAGACCAAAATGAATTCCGAGGTCCAAAACACGTACGTTTTCCACTCCCGGGTTTCTCACAGAGCCGTGTTATTACTTTTTTTCGCATTAGTGCGAGCCTTTGCCTTTCTTTTCAAGGCCAAAACAACTTTATTAGTCTTATGAATATTCACGTCATACATCACGCCTCACTTTGCCGAATTTGCGGGGATGAAATTGAAGATGATAAGCGCAAGGTAGATACTAACCGCTTTGTTTCTGAAATTCACCAAATCTGGAAAGTTTTAATGTCGCTGGATTCTCCAAATGTTCATCCACCGTTAACAAACAATCAAAGAAAGAAGGCAAATTTCAAGTGTAAATGATGTATTTCGCAACTCATTGAACATGCACTAAATCTGGGATAAAATTAAAACATTGCAGGCACTATACAGCAAGCAAGGAAAGCACCAGATGCGTGAAGTCAACACGAAACAACACCAGAAAACAAACAAGAAAAATTAATAAATTTGAACTACTTTTTATTCTTGTTATGATGACTGGTTCTTTGATTCTTGTCCTGTAGAAGCTAATAGGTAGTACCGATCCTGTTTTGTATGATCTCAACAAATTTTCACACTCTCTGTAAGGCTATTTTTACACGGGACCAGTTTGCTTCTATCAAAAATCTTGCAAGCCATGCCAGTGAAGCCACGACCTCTGCGCTCAGTCCGGTTTCAGTTCAAACACCCCAATGATTCCTTGCAATGAATAATGCTCTTATTCTCCTACATGAAATGTTTTCTTTGAAATATTAAATGTGAAACCTACACGAGTACTGTAAGCTCATCTTTAATTCTGTCCGTCGACTTCGTCTGTTGTTTTGAAAATTTTTGAGCACTGGGGCGATGTTTTGATTTGTTTGTTGATAAACACAAGCACGCCTTCTCATTGGTTGAAAAGTGTCGCGTGACCAGTTGGCCCTGTCCTTAAATTTAGGGATATTCCGGACTGTTGTAGTTCTAATTTTCAGTTCTTCACTTTCTCAGTCTACATGTGTTAAAGCCGATTCAAACTTTATTTGGAAAACGACAACACACAATCGCTTTGTAGTTTTGTTTACCAGTGAGTTTTACCGTGTTTTAAAACGCAACTTTTCTGGGTTGATTGCCATGAAACATAGCTTAATTATACTGTTGAGCCGGTTGGTAGCAAGTTGACAACTCTATTTATTGATTTTTCCATTCTCAGGATCAGAGAGCGAAAGCTGGTTCAGTGGCTTTTAGAAGTCGAACTTTTCATGCCATGTATTTAGCAGCTAGAAGTTTCGTGTTTGCATGAGATGCATCCGAGCCGCACAGTCTGAAATTATTGAAGTCTTCAACAAAAGAACAACCATGTAAAAGAATTAAATAGGCATTTTCTTGAATGAAAGTCATTTATAGGCATGTTTAGTTTCCCGGTGACTGCAGTCATCAAAGTCAAAGTTGTTATTACATCCCGCCCATCTTTTGTTTTGAGTTCTTGTTTTCTCTGATAATAAAACAAATTATTGAACGGACTAAAATTTTATTTCCTGGTTTTAGTGTTTTTTATGACAATGATGACGTCTTTATTTTGGTTTTTTTCATAAGTATTGTTATTCTTTTCTTAGTTGTCGCCTTCTCCCAAATTAACTTATGCCAAACCAGTAGCATGCAAGAAAGCCAGTAAAAACAAATTCGTCTTGTCGAGCGCTCGCGACCTGCAAACTTCAAACATCATTTTCACCGTTGGTGCAAACAGATAACCATGTGGTGCAAAAGTTTGAGAATAGAAAAATATATAAGCTTTCGAATGAAGTGATTTTTTTGGCCCCCTTTTTTGTCTGTTTCGCCCTTTTTGCTTTTAAACTTGGGGCGACGGCAAAGTTATGCTTACGCTATTGGTTTATATACTAGACCGGAAATAAAAAGCTGACCGGATATTAAATTTTGTACTCATGCGCATTGCGTTTTGCCGCGGTGTTGTCGCTGATAAGCGATCGGTCATCAACCTCGTGTTGAGTAGGAGAGGAGCCTAGAAAAGCTTGGGAATGAGGCCGATCGCTTATGGAAACCAGGCTTATTTGCTTTCGTATATATTTTGCATGTAATGTTGCATTTGTTACTGGCAAAAGCAGTAACACTAGTTGTTGAGTGCCTTTGATATAATGTATTTTTTTTTATGTTCTTCAGGCTCTTGGCTGTCTTCTGTTGGAGATGTGCGTTTTGCAATACGCATTCAATGCAGGCAGCTTAATCAGCTTGTTTTGCAAGATTGTTAAAGTAGATCATGCGGTGAGAAGACGGCACTCTGGAATCACCAGCCACTTAATCAAAGAAAAATCTTTCCTTTGTTACGGCAATGCTGAGCACATATATATTTTATGTTTAACTGTACAACTTATTAACACTAACTAGTCAATATGGTTTCTAGGTCATCAAAGTACATTGTTAAAAACCTCATGTGTGTGCTGTCCTAACAATTAACTCCCACTCATCTGTCTGTCGTATTGAGTAGTTACGCGCTATCTTCCATACGTTACCTCTCTATTTATTTACGTGCGTAAAATTTACGTACGCAAGCACATAAAAATTACGCGACAGTGGAAATCCACACTTGCTGGCAAAAATCTTTCGTCCTAAATCATGTTGTTGTACATGTATTCATGTATTATCAATATCATGTTTTCTCCTCTTAAGGATGTTAAGAACTTAACTTAACTCACTGCAAGGTTCTGCCGAATTCTAATGGCCCTAATGCCCCTGTTTAAGAAACGTTTAATTGAATCTTGAAATGTCCCTGATTCTTTTCGAGATCTTGTTATGGCTCTTTCCAGGAAGTTCCGTCACAATATTCATCTTCTCTGTCGTCGCTGGTTTCCCTGTTGCTATCAAAGTCCCAGGATGAGCGTCCATCGTAAGTTGCTTCTATTCATTTTTCCCAAGAACTGTTAAAAAAGAAACCCGTTTCGAACAATTTGGTTTTTTTAATCAATTTTTTTAATCGGGTTTGAACCTGTCAAAGAACTCTTGAAGATAACAAGCGAACAGATTATAAGGTAGGACCTTAAGGTTAATTTCCGATAGGGAAAATAATTATTCTTCACTTATTATGATAACGATAATAATTGATGTTTTGTACGTTACGCCTGTTCACGTATGTGGAATTGTTTTGCTGCTAAATCAGTCTTTAATTCATTTATTCGCAGAGCTGGGGCAATTCTTAAGCTGCCTTTTGTGAAAGAGCATCTTGCCATTCTGATAAAAGAAAGGGAAGCGTTAAATGCTAAGTAAGTAAAAATGGCTTACTGCTTGCTGATAGAGAACTACTTTAATACTTTAATAGGGATACTCCTAAAACAGTGTACACTATACTAGGAGATAAAAATAAATAAATAAATAAATTATTATTATTATTATTATTGATAAAAGAAAAATTTACATATCAAGTCTAAAATAGATATCTACATTATAAAATTATTATTTACAATATTCTATCTACACTAAAATTTAATATCATAATAACCTAATCATGGAACTTATTGTGAGCAGTATACCATCAGCGGAAGGGAAAAATATCAGTAGTTACAGGTAACTTATTCCTGGCTACTATTGAACTTGGGTAGAAGGAACTGGATTGAATATGATGGAAAGGGAATGCATTGGGGGCTCGAGAAGCCCTTGTTAGTGGACATACTTCAGATGGAAGGGAGATACTAACTAAACCTTGTTGGATTTTATAAAACATTGATAATTGGTACGGAAGTCTGCGTTGTTCAAGAGTGTCCCTTACCAAGCTGTTTTAACATGGGTGTAACATGACTAAAGATTGAGTAGTCTCTAAAAAAAAAAAGCTTCTTTAGTTTGCTAAGTGCAAGTGCAATACAAACCTATCAAAGTAGCGTTTCTTTTTTCGTCACTACATTACGATTATGAGCAGAGATTCAGAACTGCGAACGACAGTGGGCCATTCGACATTGCTCCACTAAAATATCCGAAGGACTCCATGCTGGGGTCGGACATGATGTCTGGACAGCTCAAACACTTAAGACTGTAATTTTGTAGTTGAAGAAAAGTCAACACAGTTGACTCCCTCCTAACGAACACCTCAGTAAAACGGGCACTCATAGTTGGCCCCTGCCTTTCCTTACTAAGCTTTACTACCTTTATCTGACTCTCAATAAGACGGACAACTCTCTCAGATGGACCTTGGTGCAGGTTCCAAAGGTGTCCATCTTAGAGAGGATTGACTGTGTAGTGTTTGTCCAGTCCGGTTTGTCCTGTTAAAATGACGACCTGGTCGGAAATATGTCTTTCCTGAAAATAGCCTGTGCCAGGCTCTCGGTCAGTGCAGACGAGCGAAAAAATCAAGCGAGCAGTGAAATAGCGAACGAAGGAGAAACGGCAGGAAGAGAGAAGGGGAGAGTCTGTAAGCATCTTTTTACATACCTCAATCCGCCCACTACCCCGCTCACTTCCTGAAAAACCGTTTCTCGTGTCAAAATTATCAGGGAGTTTTAGCAACGACGACGGCGACGGCAGCGAGACTGTCAAAACAGCAATAGGTGTATTAAGCAAGACAGCAGGTTTGCACGTGCATCACGCTTTTCTGTACATTTCTTAGCCGTTACTGCACGACTACGACGTGAAAATGCCTAACTTTACGTTTTATGGAGGACGTAAACAAGCGACGAAAGATTCTTTCTCTTTCTTAACTTGAATGCGGTCCCCAAGAAATCAACTCTAGAGAAATTTGCCTACTTTAGACATTTTCAGTGAATTGGAATAAACGAGAAAAAGTTTGAAAAAACACCAATTCATTTAAAAAGTGACGTTTTAGCTGCCGTCGCCCTCGTCGATGCCAAAACTCCCTAATGTCAAATGTCAAACCGTCAAAAGGTGCGGTGTAGAAAGGTTTATAAACATGCTCGCCACGTTTGTTAGTCTCTGCGCACGCAGAGGCTTAAGTGTTGAAGTAAACTGTCACAATTGACCAATCATAGGATAATACCAGGAGCTGGTATACCGGAATGAGGTATTGAAAACATGCAGGCTCCACTATTTCGTCCTTCCCCAGCCCCCACGCGCTTTTCGCCCAACTTTTCTCGATCCGCTTTCCTCACTTTCTGGAAAAGGCTATCCTGAAAATAACATTTATTTCAGTGCAGGCCTGGTGATGCCCTTCCATCATCATTGCAGGCTTTTTTGTTTCTAATACTCTATACTCATTTTGTTTTCAAGTTGTTGTCCTAAAGCCCGCTTTACTTGTCTAGTAGTACGCTCTCGGGAAGTAGAGCTATTTGCCTGATGTCTCCGATAAGGATAAGGGAAATGCCCTGGGTATGGGAAAAGGTTCCGCGTAACAATGGGCACTGGGCTTGATGGTAATACTCCCTGTTCAGTGGGGGAGGGCACAGGCTAACGTGGAGAATGAGGCGTGTAACTTCTTCTATTTTAAAACCGATTTGGGAAGAGCTTGACAAGAGTATTTTCCTGTTTTTAGACTAAAGCAACTCAAAGTTATCTATCTAGTGAGCTCTCCCGGATTGGCAGGGAGACTGTATGTGTTGGGAGTCTCTATTTCGTGGACTTACAGGGATTTTTACTTCCTCCTCTCAGGCAGCTACTGAAAACAACAGGTGGAAGTAGAAACAAATCTCCCAGCTCGCACCAACGTCCCTCGTCAGCTTCCGTGATAAAATCTCTGGATAAGAAAGGACGGATGTTGAGAGGACGGTGCAAATCAGCTCAGCCAATGAATAGACGGCAGCAACAGGTTATTGTACAGGAAAAGAAAGGTTAGACGCGTGCTCTTTACTTAAAACTACATTGCTCACTCAGTCAGGAATGACAAATATTCAGGATTTGCTCGGAAACTTAGGTAGTATCTTATTGTTGCTTTTTACTATTGTTAATAAAATGTACCACCATGGCGGTAACCCCCTAGTGTGGCTTGCTTCTATTATAAGAAGAAAAATGAAAACAGTTGCGTGACAAAACTGCCCGCTAAAATTTTGTACAATATTTTACGGAAAGTATGGTATGCTCTCATCTTGTGACCTTTCTTCTTTTGTTGTTATGCTTATGACGAAAGCTTGCAAGGGTCAAAGAAAAATGAAAACTTTGATGGGGTGGGGGTGGGGGGGGGGGGGGGGGACTTTGGTAAGAGGGCGTTTCCTCAACCGTCTTGTACTCTCATTATTTCCCGCTCAGAGCTCAATCCAGATCTAACGGTAATAAGACTTTACTTTTCTAATTTAGATGTCGATCAGACAAACGTTGCGGATGACCCTGGTGAGTATTCCGACGACTTCGATGAGTTGGACGACGAAGAGTATTCGGATGAATCCGACGAAGGCTCGAACGGTGATTCGCCGAAAAAGCCGGTGTCGGCAGCAAAAAAGGAAGAAAACGGAGAGGATGAAGAAGCAGAAGTTGAATATCCTGATGATTTTGAAGATGACTCGGAAGAAGAGGTGAGATATTGCAATTAATAATATAGTCAAACGTTCCGATCGTTGACGGCTGCTTTATTTTGTCATCAGAGGTTGCGCGCTTCTTTTAATTATGTCATTTTACGTCGCAAAAAAAAAAAAAAACTATGGCCGGATTTATAATACAAACACCAATAAAATAACACATGAGCTTTCGCGCGAAAACAAGATATCCTAACACGTGAAATACACGTGAAAAGATTACCGTTGCTATGCCTGCATAATAAGTCGCGCCTTTCGCAAAAACATCAACAAAAAACATATAAAAGGAAATGGTTATTACGTATTTTATTGGTGGTTATGTAATAAATACAACATTACATATTTCGTATTTCCGCGCGGCTATGTAATGTTTAGTGCTCGGTGTATGAACGCTTCTACTTCTCCACGCTTTTGTTATGTTTATTTTAGTTGCATTTTACTCTGACTGTTGACATATTCGGCTGCGAAAAAATATGAAAGAGTTGTTTTGTATAAAGCATGGTCGCTATCGTATTGCTTAGTATAAAGCACGTACTCCCTCTGCTCCAAATCTCGGCCTATGAATGCGTAAAGGCTGCATACCCTATCCGCGCGGCCAGGTAATATTTGGTGCTGCACATAATTAATCGCGCCTTTCGCTAAAACATCAACAAAAAACATATAAAAGGAAATGGTTATTAAGTATTTTATTGGTGGTTATGCAATAAATAGAACATTACAGGACCGCTTGGATATAAAAATTTTCTCTTCTCGTGTTGAAAAGTATTTCACGAGTGGGCGCAACACTCGAAGAGAAATTTCGTGTATCCCCTTGGTCACTCTGTTAAGTTTAAGGGTGACTACTGATTATAGCCCTGAGATAAATTTCCATCTCGCTTTGGGGAAAGGAGTTGGTGTCAAAAGTAGTCACACCCCTTGGCCCAGATGCATAAAGTGATAATTTTCTGCAAGATTCCCTCTGGTTCTTGCGTGGTATCAAGGATAGCTCAGCCAAAAACCGATAAACGAGCCGTCCTATTCAAGGGAATGGTTGCTCAATCAGCATCTGTTTTAAAAACTAATAATCATCATAATCATAATCATAATAATAAATAAGAAAAGGTAAGAAAAGAAGAAAAACACTCACACTTCTTAATACATTATCTTAGAACCCCTTTCCATTTTTCTCTCAAGATTCTGGACGATATTCTCACGAACGCCAGGGCTGCTCAAGATGCTGAAGGTAATTTGGAATCTAAGTACGAATTTCAAATAACTGTTTGTACGATAACATTTCACTTCCACAATCTTCTTTTAACTTCACTTATCTCATTTGGCAGTTTTATTAACAAACCAAAGGTTAATTTCACAAGCTTCTGCGTTTGTTTGTTTTCAAGGAATCTCGAATAGTCCAGTTTCGAATTCGTCGCGGCCGCTGTATTGAGGCACTGAAGGCTCATTTGTAAATAGTTAGCCTCGATCAAAGGTAAATATATTCACAATTTCCAGTCAGAAGAAGGCCTGTGTACAACTGTATCTATTGTTTTAAACTCAAATTCCGGCACCTTCTTCTTTAGAGTCTTTAGTGCTTCTATTCAACGACGAATTCAAAACTAGACTATTGTGGTTTAAGATGACCTCAGATTCCAGTTGTGTATATAGGAGCTGCTCGTAAGGTCTCTCCTGATTGGTCGTAGAAAGCAATGACATGTCATTCTTTCAATTGTTTCAGTATTGTTTGGGGTCAGGGTTAGACACCATTGGTGACTTCTCTTCCGAGCAGCTGCTACATGACCCTCAGATTCATTGAATTGTCTTGTGCAACGTAGTGTAATTTGGAATTTGATTGAATAGTAAATGCTCCATTTCCAGACGTCAATATTGACACCTTGAGATCAGTACATCTTTTAGCTGGTGTAGAATTGTTTTCATGTCACTAATAATCATATACGGCCTCATTGCCTCAGCAGTGGAAGAAGAAATCGTGGAAGACTTGGATAGACCATTGTCCTGCAAACAGAAGCTTAAAGAGTAAGTTATTTGGAGGTATTCAGGAAACTCTTGATCAAGTAGGCAGTATTAAGTACCCGCTGCAAAAGTAAATAATAATAGGAGTACCGAACACTCCACGAACCATTTCCAGACTCACTTACTTATATAATAGGAGATAAAAAACAGACAAACATTATTAAGTGCTTGTGTCATAGAAAGTTTACAATGCGCGATATAATACAGTTAAGATCATTTCATACAAATACGTTTTTCACAAAAAAGAACAATGAAGGAAGGAAAGAGAAGGGCATATGTATCCTCCTTTGGGAAGAGCAAATGTTTGGGGACTTTCCACATTATCGTTACAACGTTAGAGAGATTTAGAATCACACTTATGACAAACTGCAAACGACAATTAACATACCATGTGACCAAATTCTCCTTTTCATTGTAGTTTACTGTTAATTATATCTACACAGAAATAAGTAGGTTCATACGAGGCTTATCCATAAGAATTATTGTGCATAGCGTTTTTCTGCTTATTTTCTACTTTGAGAAATTGTCAACTTGGAGCTGACGTATGCCGTTTGCCGTAAACGTGATTCTAACTGCCTGTTTACATGGAGGTGGGGGACCCCAGTTTGGTGAGGTAACTCGCTTATGTGGGGTAACCCGCCTGTTCATATAATCTCCTATTTTGATTTGATCACGCTTACATGTTAGGTAGGGTGACCCGCCATATGTTACCTCACCTATCTGGGGGCCCCCACCTCCATGTAATCGTTCTATTACCTTCAGTTATCTCCCCTTGCATCAATATTCCATGGTCTTTAGTCACCCTTTGGTCTTCGAGAAGGTTTTCTTACCTGTTTGCTAGATGCTTGAAATTTCTAGGAACGCCTGTAAACAATAATTACAAATGTTTAGGAATTTGATAACTTTGAGCTTTTTTGTTCTTCCGCCAGGCAAGTGATAAGTTTCATAGGCGAAAAAACGTTTGAAGAGGTGCGAGAGAGATTCGCTCGAGGAGAAATGGGCAGCGATCAAACTGAAAGGTATGGTCATCCCAGCATATTCGGAAACTGTCAAGGTTTTCTACTACTCTCGAAAACTGTAGTTCGTCTTCTCTAAAATTTCTGCTTAGTCTGGGACTGTGAGAGGTTTCATCGTCATCAAACTGAAGGTCTCCTTTTTTTCACTCAACCGCGCGCCGTACTAACGATGCCGGTCGTCTCTTAAGGGGTCCTTTATATACGACAGACACGAAAGACGTCCCCCATTACAATGATACCGAAAAAAAAATCGGTTTTAGCTAACTTAATCTTTAATCCCGCTTTAATTTAATTTTTAAGCCGATCAGTTGAGTTCTGGACGGCAATAGCAACGACGTTTGAAACGAACCTTGGATCGCACAGGAACACTTACTATTCAGGCTAGGCTCTTACTAGCCCTTTTTAACTTTGTTCTTTTATGGAGTAGCCCTTCAGTTTGGTATCAATCAATCATTTTATTAACGTTTTAATGTTGAATAGGTTTACCCCTATCTCAGCCGGAGGCTCATTTAAAAAACGAGTAACTAATAATTATTAAAAATGATCTAGCCTCGCGAGTTATCATGCTTGACTTGGCGTAGTGGTTTACCTTAGTCAACTGCGTTCACGCAATGTTTTTCGTATTTACTGCAGGCCTGAATTTGAAAAGCTAAGTGGATCGGAGATGATGGAAACATGCTATCTTGTGAACGAGTTGTTCATCGGTCCTGAAGATGACAACTAACTCACGACAAGTCGATAAAGATGGAAGGGGTTTTCATGCAAGGGTCATAAAATTGTACTGAATATCGCTGCCAAATCAGGAAAAAAATAGACATTGACAAATCATAAACGCAGACTCATGCAGATTGGTTTGGGTTGTACTTTTGATTGGTTGAAAATGGGAAGCGAAATTTCAGAATCAGTGAATATTTTGAGATACGGTCGAAAGCTGGATTGCTAAAAAATTTTAGTCCTGGAGATAAGAATTATTATAAATTCAGGAATGAACATTCATAGTCTTTGTTACCTGAATTAAGAGTTGCTTTTGTGAAAAAGCGAGTCAACATAAGTTATTGCCTCATGTATAAACAGCTTTTAGCCTGTACAATATAAGTAAATAAAATAATAGCAGTGTCTTAGGGATTTCCGGAATAAAAGCAAATGCATATAGTCATTTTTTTATAGAATCTTGTTGGAAACCCGAGATAGGACGAGCGTTTTCATTTGAAATCCATATATTTGGTAAACAGATCCAACTTCCATTAGTTTCTTAATGTATAAATTGATTGCTTTTGGTGTGAAAATGCTATTGATTTATCTGTGTTTCAAGGATTTACACTTAAAGATGTGAAAACACGATAAGCAAACTTCAAAATAGAAAACAAAATTAAAATTCCAAATGTTTTGAGTGAATTCTTTTCGAATGTACAGTAAGTGTTTTACATTGTAGTGATGTTGGTTTTTCAGAATCAGGAAATTTTATCCTAATCCTTTCTGATTTGTCGGTACTAGAGAAAAACTATGACATATGAAAATATTTTTGTACATTTCTCGCCATAATTTGGCATGATGTGTGAAAGAGTGTATTTTAGCAATAAAGGTCAGTTCCATTGAAGATGTACGATGTTGTTGTTGTTGTTTTCACATTTCGTTTCTGAATCAGAGTTCAAGAAGCACATGTATCCCAGGGCCCAGTTCCTCCGTCGAGGACCGATTAGCGCGTTAAACCGTGAGGCATGAAATTTTACCCAGCATTGCGGTTACTAATGACTGGTCTGGACCTTGGCTTGATTTCCGCTGTCTCCCTGGTCCGGTCTAGTGCGGGCTCATTTTCCCTTATTGTTTTCCCGAACACTAGTAGTTGGTATTGGAGCCTAGTTTGGACCGTACGTGTCATTAGGGGTTAACATAACTTACTGGACCTTTTATTTCAATCTCAATGAGATCCAATCACGTTTTTCTGAAAGAGAACATTTTTCTAAAAAATTTCACTCATCCCGGGACAAACTTCCAAATAACGCTTTCCAGACGTTAGACCGAGTTGAACAACCGATAAGCGCAAGCAGAAAATAACGTATAAATTAAAATAAATAACTGATCTGGTTGCTGTTAACCCAGGAGTCAAGAAAATCAGGTTTCAAACAGCTCGGCCTTAAAGTGTATATTCACTATTTCAGCGATCAGAATTTTCCCTGTAGCTTCGTTATAAAGTGGTATCCAAGCAACTTGGATTTTTCTCTGGGTGCTTTGGATACACCGTTTTGCAAAAAAGTGCAGAAGTTGTGCGAAAGTAGAAAGAAAGATTAGGGCAAATTTGTGAAAATTTACAGCCACATTAGCAACACGTTGTGAAGAAGAACAAACTGTTGGTCACGCAACTTATGAGGAAAAATCTTACTATTTGTTTTCTTCTGGGAGCAAGTGGTTTTCATTTGATCAAAGTTAGAAATGTTATACTGTTTGCGAAATTCTTAATCTACTTTTATTTACAGTGATAATGGTTGTATCCGTTTTAGACGGTGTTGCTCTGTCATCACAGTAAAATGATGGAAAAATGATAATAGATGTAAAACAAAATACAGAGAGGTCACGAAACCTTTAGCAAACCATATTGATTGTTTTCAAATTGAAAAATCATAGTGAGTGTGTCCAAAAAGGACTCAACCATGATCGTTTGATCAAATGGTTCTCGTTTTTAGTCTCTTCAGTGTCAGGAACGTAAAAATAAAATTTCTTTACCCTCAATCTCTCCATATTATTGAAGAAATTAAGTAATTTATATTCTTTTATCCTTGGACATTAGCGGTTGTAAAGAGCCACCCTTCATTTCAAAATGTTTTACTTCGTCTGCGGTACTGAATCAGTGCATTTGATCTCACCGCTAAACAAAGCTAAATTTATTTAATGCTTTATTTAATAACCTAAGTATACAGTCAAATTAATCTTAAGAATCCTTACCATTTCCTGACTAATAAAACTATAGAGAGCAAATGGGTGCCGAGTTTTTCTGCTCGATTCTGTGTAAGATGAATAGCCTTGTGTGCAATGAAAAACCGCGAGTAATCAGCTTGGTACAAGAGACTGGGTCTTTAAAAGGTAAGAACTGGGCTGCCGTCTCAGTATTTGATAACTTATAAGACTGGTGATTTTTATTTACATTTTATTCTTATGGAAATTGATCGTCTTATTCTTAAGATCAAAAGAGTGATAATTCAATTATTTTCTAAAAGCTATTAAAACCAGATTTCACACGATAACAATTGTAAATACATATTATTTTTTACGTAACAATGAGTATAAATTTACAGCCCCAAAATATATTCCTTATACTATGAGAACTGCATCGTATCTCACATAATCTTCTCAAAGACTTAAAACTGTTTGTATCACTGATAACTTGTTTTAAATGGCTGCATCTTTGCACCCGTTTCCCAGTCACAAGAAAGGTTGTTCTTACTGCATTCGCGCCATCAGAAGCTAATACTTGGTCAGTGCAATTGTTCTTCAGGCCAAGGCCACTTCATATGAATTTGATGATGGACAGCCGTATTCCAAAGGCTTAGGTAAGTTTTTCAGATAATCGGATTCGCATGGTCACAAAGCCTCAAACATTTAATATATCTTCCATAGTTACTAAAAAACAAATGACAAGTAAAGTCGGTGAAATTATAAAATAGCAAATACAATGTTAATATGGTATATTACATTTTTGATAGTGAGTGGGTTTAGAATTGTTTTTCAATTCGCCATCGTGCTGCGGGAACTTGTGAATAATCAGTGAGACAAGATAAGATAACCGGTATGATATACGTGAGCACGTTCATGTAAACACGACTTCATATTTCTAACTAGCCCACGTTCGATATATTAAATTTCTAACATGACGGCGAGGCTTTCTGATCATTTTTCTATATTTGGTTTGGTCTTCTTTGTGCTCAAATCTCTTCTGGGAATTGCGAGACAAGGGAGTCGTGAAAAATTTGCAATTTTGTCCCCAAAGCCTTAGCCTTAGCAGGCGCTTGGAAGTAGTAGGCACGAGAAAAAACGAGCGCGCGAGAAGGAAACACCGTGTGCGTGTCTCCCTCGCGCGCGCCCGTTCTCTCTTTCGCCCACTACTTCCAAGCGCCTGCTACGCAGGCTACTAAAGCCTCGTTTCATGTTAGAATTTTAATATATCTAACGTGGGCTAGCGCTATTCAACTGCGGTATTTATGAAAATTATTGAATTGATATTCTTAGGGACGGACCATTATTTTTTGGACGGGGTGGGGAGGTGGTGTTGAAAAATTTTGAAACAAATTGTTTGCAGAGGTTGTAAACACCGAAATAAATTGTTTGCAAGTAAAAAAAGTGTTTGCAGGAAGACGGAGACAAAAAAAGAATCGTTTTCAGCAGGAGCCGCATATATAAAAAAAAAATGTTTGCATGTGAAAATTTTCACAATGTCTCATGCACATGATAAGATGCCTTCAGGATGCCTTTTACTAAAATATGAGGCACGTGAACCGTATTATCACCTCAAAAACACAACAAGAATACACAAAAATGCCCTTCAAAAGTTGATAACTGTGGTTTAAAGAGGGAATAAAACATATCCGCTCTTTTTATATAGCTGGAATTTTTTTCCCAACAGCGTGCGCTCTCATTGGTTGCTTTTAGGTCACTTGGCATCTAACAATCAAACTGTTTGCCGCCAAAATCTCTGAGCGAGCAACATTGCAAAATCTATGACGTGAGAGGGTAACAGTGCACTGTTACCCGCGACTGTTGACCATCGACCGCCGTTACGGCGAGGTTTTATGGATTTCTAGCTTCAAAGTTTCCAGCAATATAGCAAATCACTTAAAGACTGCTCCCGAGGGAAACAGTTAGTTTTGTTTCCTTCGAATCTCAATGAGATTCTCGGGAAACAAAATAAACTGTTTCCCTAGGGACGAGTCTTTAATTGTTTAATATCTCGTAACTGTCGAGGAAGAGGCAAATGTTTTGAAAACGTGAATTCTACTCAGAGATAATGATTGAGGATGTCATAAGTTTGGAAACACTTTCAATGAGTAAATAAGGTCTTTTAAGTGATATGAAGAATTGCACAGATCTCACTTAGTTCCTTAATTCCAAAATTGATGTCAAGTGTGAAAATAAAAGTCCTGTTTACACCGGCATAACGAACAAAGATTTGTTAGTGTGGACTGAAAAACTTGGCACAAGTCTTTCCTCACTAAACGCTAGTATCTGTAGTATGTGTCGACCTTGATTTAAAGAAAATTGAGCTGCTTTCTCCTCTTAGTCAGAGGAGGACAGTTGTCAAGAAAAAACTTCGACGACGACTCTTGCCAACCTAAATGAGTTGACAAAGATTTTGTCATGGATAAACCTACAACCAGTGACAAAAGCAGTTGATATACTTGTCTAAATTAAAACGCCCACTTTCAGCAACAATTTCTTTGATTCATCATACAACTCTGTTTAAAGGCCGTAGTACCCCACCTCCGAATTAATGTTGTTTGTAGTTAAAAAAAAAAAAGAAAAAAAGAAAGAAAAACAGACTTCAAGGTTTAAAATACAACATTTATTTGGCGGGGAAGGAAACTTAATTTTAATGATACACTAGTGAGCAGCACACATGCATTTCCAGTGAACATTTTCAACTTGGAAGGAGGAGAAACCATGCTCCCCCGGGACAAAGGAAATTTCCATGCCCAAGGCAAGAATCGAACTCGCGACCCTCCGGTTCAGTGGTTGGAACGTCCGATAAACATGTAGCATTCGGAGGGTCGTGAGTTGAATTCTCGCCTGGGGTACGAAAATTTTCGTTGTCCCGGGCGGGCATGATTTCTCCTCCTTCCAAGTTGAAAATATTCACTGGAAGTGTATGTGTGCTGCTCACTAGTGTATCATTAAAATTAATAAAAATAAAAATAAAATTAATTTACGCAACCACGAGTTCGTGAGAAAAAAACAAAATGGCGGGTGAAAGTTAAGTGATACCGACTGATTTTATTTTTCTTTTTATAATCCGAGTTGTTTATTTTTCATGATCCGAGTTGATCCGAGTCCAATTTTATTTTATTTTTATTTTTTTATTCGATCCGAGTTGGTCCGAGTCGATCCGAGTTGATCCGGTCCGACTTTTGTACCTGCCTCATTTTGACTACTCCTGCAAGCGATGTTCATGAGCGGCTAAAAACAAACGGCACAGCGATTAAAATTGCAAAGAGACTACTAACAATCAATAATAAAAGAAAAATAATTCGGTGAAAAATATACAGAGACAACAATTTTCATTCACAAAGACAAGTATTTAATAAAGTGTCTCTGAAAATCCTTGTTTATGTTTTAAGCCGGGTTCCCGGTGTTTGCTTTTTTCAAAGGTGAACTCGAGGCAAGAAAACCGCTCAAAGCTTTCTTTTACAGCCAGAATCATAACTAAATATTCTTTGAACCGTTTTTTTTCTGAAGGCTTTTCAAAGTTCTATAAGTTTATAATCAAACCTGATACTCGGTCAGATCATTGTCTCAAATTTCACAAAGGTGAAACCAAATAGCCCCATAAAGTACGCTCGACTTCATTAAATTAGATATAAAAAACAGACATCAAATAAAACAATTACTCAGGCTTACCATTCGAGATGCGCTGAAAACTATCAAGTAAGGCCAGAATCGCTTCAGACTGTTCAACCCTCTTACGCATCAAGTAAGGTGGAAAACGAAAACGATGCCATCGGAAATCGGATTTCCGACTTTGAGAAGCGACGTATTTCTCAACCAAAAACCCAATAAACAAACTAGCCATGAATAAGAGAAGACTCTTGATAGCAGCTGAATTTCATTTTGTACATTCAGTGGGAAAAGCAGTTAAAAACATCACAAGTTGACAAAAAACTCTGTCAGCTTCAGCTGACGGAGTAAACAAGTTTCAAGATGCTGCATAAATTTTCCGCATGAACTCACCTGTCAAGTTTTGACCAATCAGAGCATAAAAATTGGACGTACAGCGTGACCAACCCGTGACCTTGGTGAGAAAAGTCAAAAGCAACTGGCATGTCCTCCCAGCCTGTAAAAACGGGCTGAATTTTAGCTTCTGAGGTCAGTTTGAAATCATTATACTACTACATGAGAAATTTGTGCAATTTGATTGGCTTAGAGCAGTGGTATTTCAGCTTAATTTGAAATACCTACATGTGAAAATTACAAACCTTTTGCTGGTAGTAGCATGATTTGTACGTGATATTTGGCATAAATACCACTCGTGATATTTCAAAATTGTCTCAAATTTACTCGCCTAATGGCTCGTGAAATTACAAATAACAATTTCGAAATGTCACTCGTGGTATTTATGCCAAATATCACTCCAAATCATGCTATTACCTATACAAATTTTAATTGTGCGGCACATATAAAACACAACATATTTCATACGAATTAAAAAAAAAAATAAACATGACCCTGCAATCATTTGAGAACTAGTAACTTGTCAGAGGATAACTTCAAAAAGATACTCGACCTCGATGGGTCGACACCTAAGCCCGCGATACGGTCAGGTGATACTGGTCAGCGAATACCTGTTTTGACAGCTCTCAATTGATCACAACATTGATGTGCAATATGTGGGCAATATCAGTCTTCCTGTGCTCCCAAACTAGCTAGAAAGTGTGAGATTTAACATTTGTTTTGCCTGTAGTGCGGACGGACGGGCGGGCAGCGGGCGGTGTACGGTCACGTGATTACCAAATTTTCTGGGATGGGTAGATTTACTTACCCATGGTGCTCCGCTATAAAAGAAAAATGCAATTGTACTTACAGAAACGTTTGAGGATCGATGCTTGCCCAGCAGTTCTTTTCCAAAATCGCGACAATTGTTTCTCTCTTCTATGCTTTCTCCCTTGCTTACACGTACACATCATAACTTTCTTTTTTTCTTCCTTCCTTCCTTCCTTTTCCCCCTTTTTTCGTCTTTTTTTTTTTCCTTTTTCACCTTTTGAATTTCATGGCCCGCCAGATAAGCAAAGCTTCTGCGGCGCCTCAAACAAAATATTTTCCTCTCTTGCTCGACCAGTCCAAATTATGTTGACTTCTTGTTTCTTGTTGTTTTTTTTTTTTTTTGGGGAAGGGGGGGAACACTCGTAGATTTTGCACTCTTTCTAATATTATCCACCACACTTGCCAGGAAAGATTACCTATCGTCACGTGATGTTATAAGTTAAAAAAGGCAAACGACGCGTATCTGAACCAGTCGCTTGATCATTTCTAATCATGTAAACATAATACTTTTGTAGACTAATTCCTACATGAAGGCCAAGCAGCTTTTCAACAGGAGCAGCACCATCTTAGCTTTCTTCCTCATTCACTGAATGAAAGGTGTCCGTACATTCGATGACTTTTCGTAAAGTAGAAGACGATTAGAAGGAACTTGGTAACGAGACTCTGATTGAAAGCGACATGCGCCAACGCAGAGTCTCGTTACGTTTTGAATATTATAATAATTATAAAATTCAAAAAGAAACTATTATTGTCCCTCGGGTAAAATAATTGTTCCTTATTCCTTTTTTCACGTGATTTTTTTTGCCATTTACATTCTAGTAAAGTCTACTTACGTTCTGCCTTATCCTATACAAGGTGAGAAATAATCCTGCTAAATTAAAATTGCAAAAATGAGCGAAGGTCAGGTGTAAACAATAAAATTTACCGTAGAACGTTGACAGTTGTTTAACAGGTGAAACGAATAACAATTGAGAGCTTGTTATCTTTTATAAACGCGCGCGTGGAACACTGAGCAATATAAATACACGCAAGATTGTATGAAAACAACTAACTGTCCACTGATACAAGTGTTAGAATAAGCCAAAGGTGAGTCGTGAAATATTTTCTTCTTCTGAAATGATAAGGTTGATCAAACAGCAAACGAAGACATTTTAAAATGAAGGTTTTAAAAACACGGTGCGCATATTTTTTGGCTTTTATATCTTTCTGGCGTTCATAAAGCCCGATACAACTTTTACGATTTTGGACAGTTTAGGAGTAAACATTTCGTAATTTCAAGCTCGGTGTTCTAAGTGCATAGAATTCTTATTATTGCATTTCAAACCGGTACAGCATCCTCAAAGAAAATAAAAATATAGACGCCATATTCTTACCGGTAACATACTTAGTTTTCAACCTAATTATCATAATCTACTGTTGATCATGTCAGCCTTCGGATACGGCGGCGCCAGGATGCGTTCATCGAATGATGCCCTATTTAAGTCTTCCTCAGCCAAACCTTCTTTTCATTTGTACATTTTCCTAAACTAACTAAATAATAAGAATGTGTCGAAATGGATCATTTATACGTTGCGATTTGACAACATATATTAATTAGCCGATTCAGCCGATTGGCTTAAAACAAGGCGGTTTTAACAAAACGTAAAACGATACCAGTTTTCGAATTCTGTGTAATATAGTCGACCATATTACCTCAGTTTTCTCAACCTTCTTAGTAGAGAGGCTTCAGATTTGTAAATTACTAGTCCATTTTAGAATGTTTTCAAATTATTTCACCTTAATGTCGAGAAAAAGTGTTACTTTTATGATACGATAATTAACTAACTCAGGGTAAAATCCCATTAGCTTTTAACGATGTAACGTTCTCAAATTCGGCAACTTTGAACGTTTATAACCCTCCTCATTTACAACTCTTTAACACTGTCTGTCCTAATGGACGATTATTCGCCTTGGTGGTGCAATATGCAAAGTCAGACGTTTACTTAGCGTAGTCTTTTTTTAGTCAAGCTAATATCCCATACATAATTGTACAGATCATGCATTAAAAATGCTTCATTTTGCAAGAGCTGTCATCACAAATTTGTCAGAGATACATACAAAACAACCATTACCGACAATCCGTTCTTTTGACAGCCTGCCACATTTCCTCAGATTTTAAGTTCAAGTAAACTCGGTTCTGTAAACTAATTTTGAATCAAAACAAAAATATCTTTTTTTGTAGCGAATTTTAAAAATCCACAATCAGTTAAACATTTTTCTGATATAAATTAATTTTGCTGCCTGTTTTGAACAGGTTTTTTTCCCGTCATAATCAAAATACAAGATGGCGAATTGAAGATGGTGGCCATTTAATTGAGGTAATAACGTAATTTCCAACCTCGTCCCCAGGGTCGTCTTCTCGCTTTCCAATATAGCGGCGGCCATTTTGGAAAGCGAGAAGACCATAGGGGACGTGGTTGCGTAATTTCTGTGGAGAACTTAGATTCTCTCATATATACCTAAAACAGTGCTCAATATCCTCGTGACAGAGCCCCTTTAAGCTCCTGCTGTAGGTCCGAGCACCTTTTGGCAGTACCAAAAATGTAGCTCATAGGTTTCATTAGATTGATCACATCAGCAGTTCCCACCTGCCAACCAAAAATTCGAATTAAAAAAAACCAAGAACAAGAAGAAAACAAAAAAACACACACACGCACACAGTGTCGTCACTAATGTGGCCTAGCCTAAGGGCAAGTTCTCCGCAAAATGGTGACTCTCGAAAACTGAGACCATTTTTTCACATGTAAAGAAATTCGATGAATCTAACTCAATTTTGAGAGTAATGTTGTTGTAGTGTTTCCATCCTCAACGACATAATTCCTGAAGGAATTTATCTTGATCTTGATTAAGAGAAGATCGGCTAAAATATGGCCAATAGTTATCAAGATTACACAAAACTGATAACTTTCAGTTACAGAGAAAACATTATCGGCGTGCGGTGAGCTGACGTGGAGTAACAGTTGCCGACCACAACATTTCTCCACTCGTTGGTAAGTTCGTATTCATTCGTGGAGGTGAAATCCTATATTTTTTTTCTGTTTAGAAGACTACAGAGGTTTATTAACAGCAGGCTCGATAAAAGTAATGACAACTTCAACGTTGCAAATTATTGCAAAGTAAAAATCTCTCTCTCGTTGTTACAATTGTGTTCAACGTAGTAATCTGTGTTGCCATCAAAATACAGCATTAGTCTAGCGAAATTTTGGCGCATTTCTCAATTTGCAACTATTGCGAAGATTTATCGCTTGCAAACCAGTCCATTCAAATAAGACACAATGCTGATTGTTTTCTTTTACCTTGAAAGCAAACACGTTCCGTGATCAGTACTGGAATCAACGGATGGGTACACTAATAAAAATGTTGATAAATCAAATTTTTAAAAAAGAAGAGTTGATGTATACAAGAAAGCGAGGCTGTGTTGATCCTTTATTTCATTCAATATTTCTGTTTATCTTAGGAAAAAATGCACACCTTTAGACGTGATTATTATTATTATTATTATTATCATTATTATCTATTTAATTAATAACTGTGGACATCCCGATGCTTGAACAGATTATCAAATATAGGCAGTGAAGCATTTTACCATTCTTTCCTGCAAAGTTACATGTATATCGTCAAATCTTTGGTATTGAAATTTAAACTAGATACACTATCAGAAGTACTAGTAGTCTTTGTCTTCAAACGCATAGACAGCTTGCTGACTGTAAAATGACCTTAATAAAAAATCAGTCCCTTTTCAGAAAAGGTACCTTTTTCTTTAAATCAAAGCCTTTTAAACCTACAGTTGCAATGACCTAAAGCAAGTAATGTTTTACTGGATAAACCGTCCGGTAAGAACATTCATGAATATAATGGGGTAATTCTCTGGCAGATGGGTGTTAACTTATGCTTATGCTTACTCAGTGAATTTTCGCGGGATCTTTCACCTGGACGCTATTGAAACCAAGCACAAAACACAAAACACGAAATGTTGTAGGAAATTAAAGGAAAGTAAAATAACTAATGATGCCTTAGCGATTCTCCGTATTAAAAAAATATCAATAGTTCAATTCATAAGTCACCAAATGGATTTTAAGAAAATATTAACTGATGTGGCGTACCTCGAGGGTTGGTTTTGGGCCCTATCATTGTTTTGCTGTGTAATAATGATATTCTTAAAAGCATAAAAATGTTTTCACGTATGCTTCTTGCCGAATATCTTAGTTAATTTATTCATGTACTTTTTATACAAAACTAGGGATTTCATAATCTTGACAGCAAGAAAAAACACTAAATTTAAGAAAGTAGACCCGTGTCTACAAGCGAATATTAAAAACAGATTAAAAGGATGTCAAAAATTGACAGCCTTTCCAAATGATTAATTAAAAATCCCTCAAGATCATTTAGCACTTTTAAGAAAAGGTCATTTGAATATCATTAACTATTTATAATTAGGCAAATTGTGTTTTAACGAGACTGTTTCAAGGTAGACCGGTTAATTTCTAATTACTTTCCTCTCCCGCTATAGAATTGATAGCCTATAGAAGTAACTTCTTCGAAATGGCAAAATCGCAGCTTCATGACAAAAAAATGCTACCATGCATTGTATTTAACGTTACAAACAAGAGAGATGTGCTTCGACTGAAATTATTGGGTTAGCAATGTTTCAAAAATTCCAATTGCAATAATCCCGTTTAAATCTTCTTTAATTGAGGTTATCCATCCTCTCCTTCTTTGTACGTATGCGTTGTGTTACAAACATTCTGTCAGTATATTTAAGTAGTTATTTTTATGGTGGCTAGCTCAACCTTTCTGAATTTTCCTAAATTTCGTGGCACCCCTTGATATTCACGGATTTTTTTCCCAATAATTTGTATTTTCGTTTTTTAAGACTAAAAATCGTATTGTTGTTTAGACCAAATTTCGCGTTTGGAGAGCATGCATAGCCTAGTAACCCAGTCCCGGAACTTCTTTAACCTGTTTTTATATGGATGTTAATATCATAGGTGACGAATTACTCCTTATTTTTGGCGCTAAATTTCAGCGTTAATTTGTAATTTCACTTGAGAAATTACAAAATTGCCATGGCAACCTTCCGTACGTCTCAGTGTCAAGGTGGCGACGAAGTTTTAAAATGCCGTGAATGAAGATGTCAGGGCACAAAAAGGCGCTTTAGAAAACCTGAACACACAAGAGAACATCAGGAAAGACTCTAACAGGTACTTTGCCGAAAAAGTCTGAAAAATTCTGAACTTTATAAGCCAAATTTAAGGTCTAAACATTCGAGAGAGTGGAGTTCTCGATCGATACGATCCAGGATAAACGTGTCAAAAATCCAAGATTACTAACGTAAATCGTCACGCATGATATTAATAGGTAATCAAATGGTATACTCGTGAAATTATTCCCTAACTTCACTCGTCACCATTTGATTACACATACTAATATCAGTTAATCACCCTGCAAAAATATTTGAGCGAGCAGCATCGATCATGCGCTAAAGAGGCCTTAAAATGGGGCTGTAGTCGGCTGTTTCGCACTGTTCAAGCAGCGTCCACGAAGATAAGCCGGGAAAAGCTACTGCCAGCTGCAAACTTCTCACGCTGAGTTTTACAAGTTAGAGTTGTCTACTTGTTTTGCAGCTTTTCAAATTTCTTGAAAATACTTCTATTTATATTCAATTGGACTTGAAACGGATCAATATTTTGAAAAAGGAACAAAAATGAAGAAATTTCTAATAAACATCTTAGTTTCCTAGTAACATGTCACTTCTATATACACCAACCTTTGATAAGATTATCACCAATTACCAATATATGGTTCAAACCTCCGCTCGATTACTTAAATAAGATTGGCAACAGACAGTTCCTCAAATATGCAAAATAATTGAAAAACCTTAAATGATAAATTACATCTTATTGTAGAATTATCGCTACATAGTGCAAACTACAGAATTTATTTGGAAAATTGAAAAGCTTCAAGGTAACTGCGATAAAGGCAAGTAAATACTCAGAACTGATGAATAAAATTATATTGTAAAAAGCGTCGCATAACAAAAAAAAAACATCAGAGGTATTTTATGTTTCCTACTTGTTTAAAGTTCGACAAAAGCACTTTGCTCCGCACTCTTGCCTCGGCAGCCGGGTTTAATCATTTTTAAGTGAGAGGTTTTCTTGGTGAGCTAAAAATATTATGTTGGGGGATGAATAGCCTCCTGTTCGTCTGAACAACGCGACTATTATGTTACATCAATATAGAGAAAGATTATATTTCTAGTGGTGTATGATATGGTTGCCACATTTACATTTTATGCTTCGGTAATTTATCGTATGTCTCCTCGGCGATAGTCATTTGTTATTGGTCGCGACGAGTGTCAATGGCCGTTCTTACACTAGAGGACGCATTATCCGTCTGGACGGGGGATGGGGAGGGACTGGTCCAGACGGATAATGCGTCCTTAGTATAAACACGGTCAAAATTTATTGCCAATGCTTTACATTTAAAAGATGCGATAAAATTCAGACTGATATGTACTAGTCATTGAGATATGTATGGTTAGCATAAATTTGGAAAAATTAGCATAACGGCAAAACAGTGAATGTTTGGCTGGTTAGTAGGCTAGGTTTTTTTAAAACTTCAACATGTTGCAGTGCATCAATCTTAATGACAGTTTCAGACATTATTATATACATCGTGAAGGTTATGTGATGAGGTGTAAAAAGAATTCTGTCGAGTCGTTTTAGAGAGATACAAGTCAAAATTTAGAATAAGGGCGCACTAAGACAGGTGTTGAGAAAACCGGTTAGTTTTCAGGATCGCAAGAAACAAAATACACCAAAATTTTCAAGCAGCGAAATTAAGCAGCATTCTGACGCTACTTAATATTAACTTGAGATTATTTAAAACGTTTTTATTAAACAATTTCTCACGGCTATTGAAAATGTAAGGTTCCTGGAGCCATTTGAGCATAATTTATGCCAAAAAAGCTCAATCAAAAGGCTATTCCAGCCCACGGTAGGGCCCATTTCAGCCCTGGGACCAAATCAGCCCTAGCTAATTGGACTGTATTGGCCCTGATTTAAGGGAGCCAAATTAGACTCAAAAATAGGACTGTATTTTACGCACCGAAACGGCCCTATTTTTAGGGCTAAAACAGATCTTTCTGATTTAGAGTGTAGTGTCGGATATAGAGAATACTTCATGGAAAGTGCTGGCGTACGGTATTTACGCACGAGTTGTTGACGTATCAGAAATCGAACGAGTGAGCGCAGCGAACGAGTAAGATTTCTGATACAAAAACAACGAGTGGTACTACAAAGATTGTGGTATTGTGTTTATTATATACATACTGAGTCATTCCTCATTTTGCGGGCCTTTTTATTTTAAATCTTTCAAAAATGCTAAAATTTGCCGCTACACACTTACCGCAAAATGACAACGAAAACGAAGTATCAGCTTTTTAGTAAAAAAACGTTTGTTAAAAACATAAATGACGGTGAGGATATGAGGTAATCCAAGAACTATAAGTAATCTTAACTGTTTGTTCTCAATGCACAATTGAAAATGAGTGAATTTAAGTAAAATGGCCGGTTTCAATATAAACTTAAGCTTAAATGAAAGGCAAAGTAGCTCCGACAAAAAGCACAACAAAAGCTTACGTCTCATTCTGTTTATCCCTTTCCGCTGTTGTTTCGCCGGCTCTCTACCGTATTTTTTTATCGACAGTGAAACAAACGAAACTATTCCACTCCATTTCCGAAATGTTTTTCACTTTTTAGCGAAAAAACTCCTTGAGTAAAACTTTTCTCGTTGAATGTGTGCGAAGCGGCGCTGCAAGCTGCAATAAAAGGCGGGAATTTTGGCGCGAAACTCGCACACCTCTGTGGCTTCTGATTGGACGTATCATTTTTCTCACACGTGAAAAAACATCGTTCGCGATTCTGATTGGACGTATCGTTTTTTTCACGTGTGAAAACCATCGTTCGCTCCTCTGATTGGCTAGAACTAATTTGCGTACGAAAATTTACGACATAGCTTTTTGGTGAGTATTTCTCAGTATGTATATAATAAATTCAGTAGCAGGTCTAGATTATATTGCGCAAAATTCGGCTTTCAGAGATTTCAGCGTTTTTTGTTAATTGTTGTGATAGTGATACTGATTATACTTAAGACTGCATTTTAACAAACTTCAATTCATAGTCAATCACTGGCGAAAACTTTATAGCGATGGGACAAGGATATGATCACCTTTAAGGAGATTGAAAAGTATGATTCGTTATGGTCTCCATAGACTGCGAGCAGATTTAGTGAGAGCAATGCACGCGCGCGGGAGCGGCGAAGCCGCGAGACGCGCGAAACGAGGGCGTCAGCCTCTCCCGTCTCGCGCCATCAGTCACGCTTGGCCATTTGCGTGTTTCGCGTTTTGCTCGATGGACTACAGAAAAAAGAGAGACTCCTCGTGGTCTATGGTCTCCAAAAAACTGTATCGAAACACCTTAAAATGTCAACATGTTGTTTCGCACTCCTTCCTCAGCAGGCTAAATCATTTTCAGAGTGAGAAGTTTTTCGGTGAGCTAAAGATATTTTGTTGCGGGAAATAGCCTCTTGTTAGTTTGAAAAACGCGACTGTTATGTTACATCTATATGGGAAAGATTATTTAAAGTGGTGTATGATATGGTTGCCACATTTATGACCCGGTAATTTATCTTATGTACTCCTGGGCGATAATCATTCTCTTATTGGTCGCGACCTTCTGCTAATGTTTATTCCCTGATAAATTATAAGGCAAGCAGTAAATGGCCGAAACTTCGTGATCACCGGCCGTTAGACAAACGATGTCGCATGTTAAAATATATCCTGCCTCATTCATACGCCGAGCGAGTGGGAAACTAACGGCTGAAACGTAACCAAATGAGATAATTTAATGGCAGGCGGTTCAGGGAGATGAATGGGAGGCAGAACCTGTCGTAACTAGAGTGTCTTAAAGGCACCGAAAGCAAGCATAGAAACGAGGAAAAGACTTTACTGACGGCGTCTGTGGATTGAATTAGATTGGAGGTTCTTTTCCGTCTCCTGCCTGATAAGGGCGGGACGAGTTTCTAGCAAGATTAGGGAAAGAAGAGTGAGAGTAGCTGGGCATTGTGTTAGACTCAAAGAGAAGGAGGCATCGAAGCTTGTGTGTGGTGGCAGCCAAACACGGACAAACCAAGAGAGGAAGAGCTAGGTCCACGTACATACAGTCACACTTTGCTTGGGGACACCGGGTTCGCCACTATTGGAGAACTCAGGCGGGAATGCTACACCAAAGCGACCGGCGAGGAAGAATCCACGTTGTCCGAGCTAGTGCTCGACCAGACTAACTTGTTTCGATATGCTTATAGGTTATGCGAAGAATCTCTGCTGGAATAAGTCATAGCCCGGAATCTATCAAAAAGAACAGTTTTGGGTTTTTCTCGCAGCACCAATTAAAAGCGGATCCAAATTTTGCGCTTGTCAGGCGGAAGTTGCATTTAAAGGCTCTCAGTGAGTCCCTCTTTTTCCACTGAAGTTTCCTCTTCTCTGTATAGGTGTTCCCAAAAACTCTATCTCTCGTCTTACCCATTAAAAATCAGTCGAGACCTTTTTATCATCAGCATATCACAGCAACAGTAAGAATAAATTTGATAAAAATATCTCTAAATTCAAGGTGTAATGCCAAAGTTTAATAAGTAAAAATAGAAATATATCTTTTTTTTATAAGAAAAAAGAACCTTTTGAAAAACAAAGCTGTGAAAACTAGGTTGCCATGGCAACGTCAAAGTTGACGCACACGTCACGACGACTTGAAAAATGTTTCGTCCAAACTTGTGGTTTTTTAACCCACTGTCTTTGCAATAGGTTTTGTAAAGGTTTTTTAAACGATATATGATATACACCAAAGGAGATGTAACTTATCAAATCACCGACTATAGTTAGATTTCTCCTGGATTTGGAGATTTTAAGGTCCCTATTGTCATAGAAAACTAGACTTTAGCACTTTTTTTCGCAATGAAACGTCCAGTGGTGTAATGATTTTAAAGTTTCCTCTCTATCGTCGAGCAAATTTTACCGACAATCATACTGACCAGGTTTTAGGACCAGTGCACAGCAAGGTTGAGGAATTTAGACAGAGCAATAAGAGGTTCATCAAAGGATGTATGATACTTTACACATTGCGCGTATTTTCAGCTCTTCAGAGCCAGTGGAACCCCACATCAATCCTTTCAAAGTTCGCTTAGCTGTAGCGTTGAAAGAGGAAGCAAATGACAGGTATTTGTGAGAGACTGTGAGCATTGAATCTTGTTGCTTTACCGCATTTGAATACTGTACTGGGCGTACACCTGTAATTCTCTGTAATTAAATCCGAAAAACAATAAAAGGTTTCGTTTAATTATATTTTGGGGGCACACCCAAAAACAAAAGGCAAGAGTTTAAATTTCGCCCGTGGGTCACTGGCGGGTGTTGGTTGTAAAATAGCACAATTTTGTTGTGTACTGTGTGTTGTTTGTCATGATGTCGACTAACATTGAAAAAAATACTGCTGTTTCAGAGGAGGGACATGTCTTGATAGCTTATCGGATTTTTTCTGGCCCTAAGCTTGGCCAGTATGCAGATCAAGAGCTCTTGAAATCCCTTTTCCAAAATAAAACTCCGGACTTAAGCTTAAAATATATATTGATCCAAGTGCATGATCAGTAGGGTCAGCAGTGAGAATAAAGAAAGCAGGTCAAAGGGGAAAAGTATTAAAAAACAAAGACTAAACAGAAAAAAAAAGAAAAAAAAAAGGTACTAAGAAACATAAAACATCGTCGCCGGGAGTGGAATCCGGTTCATCTGCATGTGCAAGCGAGTGCTTGTGCCCTGCAATACAGTGACACACATGGTTTGAAAAAATAATTTTGTTATATCAAAAACATTTTTCTCTGCCATAGACGCTGTTTGAAGCTGGTGGAGCTTTTTTTTAGCGATATCATGAATTCACATATACATTTGAGGAGAATTAGCTAAAGCGCGTATTTCAAAGTTATTCATCACATTATTTCTGCTTCAAAGAGCGGATCGATGTAGGTAATCGATCGAACTATCTTTACTGAATTTGGTGGAGAATTAGGAGATCAACAGAGGCCCACAGTCGAAAGGATTGATATGAAATTAGGCCGGTTAAATTCGCGAAAGAATAGATGAAATATAAACAAGTGTGATCTGTGAATGGAACCTCCTATTCTGGAGACTTGACCTTGCCAATGTTAAAGAAAAAAGGATCTATTAAGCTTTGATGGCCTTGCCGGTCCCGTGAAAAAGATGGCGATCCCGCAACAAGGCCCGCAAAACAAATTAACAAAATTGTACAATTACGGACACAAAATATGAAAACGGTTTACACAAGCAGATTATAGCAACACCAAAGCTCGCACGCCTTCTATCAAATTAGCGATATGTAGGGATAATTGCTAGCTTCTTAGCATTTCCTCGACCTCACTCGTCCTAATAACTGTTATACCCCTTGCTAATTTGCACAAGCGACCCGAGGCTCTTGCCCGTTACTATGTGACATCACACTGGTAGACGGAGTGGGTCAAGAAACGTAGGTGGAAAACAATAGAGTCAACTTCCCCACCCTGGTCAAATTTTATTCTAGTTTCACAAATCTCGACTTGTTTGACATTGACGCAAATTTAATACAAGAACGGTTCCCTAAAGTAAGATCTTACAAGCCCACTGAAATTTCTGTGGCACTTATTTATTGTCCCAGGCCCTTGAGAATGGAAAAAGATTTGGCAAATCTGGTAAACTAAATCAGATTTGTTAATATTAGTGATAAGAGCTTTACAGTACATGTACTTAGCGAGTTGGCTGCACGTATCGCCGCGGTAAGATCACCTGCGTTAGTGGAACATGCCATGCGCAGACGTGGATTTGCATAATGGGACTTCAGCATCTGGTTGAACCTTCCATGCAATATGCTTTTCAAGAGAACTTTTACATGTAAATATGTCATTATCAGCTACTGATTGACAGGGTAGGCAAATCGCACCTTGCTCATTGATCTGAAAGGTGTCTTCGGCAAGTGCCCACAATTTTGACCATCGACAATCAGCTCTCAAGCCACGAATTCATGTCGAATTTGACAGGTAGGATTAATAGAGAGTGTATGTTAAAAAAAAAAAAAGAATTTGATGGTGACATTTTAATAGAATTTAAACGAAAATCAGGATAAGAAAACATCGTAATTTGAGACTGTAGTATTACTTAAAATGGCCGGGCGGCCAATGCTACCAGTTCATAACATACTGTGGAACTGACACATTTCATAAACTGGTGACTTTTTTGCTTTTCATTCTAATCACAGCCTGAAAAAACTGATAAAATAATTGCCAATACCAGTATTTTTAGTTTTGAACACTGATAAGAATTGTCTTCAAGTGTAATTGACCTGATAAAGCAAAAAAAGCGAATCAGTTTATTCAAAACAAAAAGATGTTATTGCAACTAATTAATCAGACTCGCACAATAAGGGCTGGTGAAGCAAACCCTTCGGTAAAAACTTATAAACATCTTTTTTGACATCAAAAGAAAAGAGGACAAAATTACATAGAACTGCACTCTTATTAGCCGGTATTGTATTGAACCCCACAAAATAGGTATTGTAGCACGCTTTTTCTCATCTAAGCGAATAACCGTCAAATAATATTTGAGGGTCATGGCTACTAAGTTTTATTCGCTGAATTTTACTCTTGCAATCTATTATTAGTGTCGTTATTACCACAAAAAAATATTATGTATTAACTCATTTGAAAACCACCTATAGCTTTTCACCCTTGAGCAATATGATTTTATTACTTTTCAGTCCGTTTGAGTACCAAATGATTTTCCGTAGCAAGTTATTTAACAGACTAGACGATATCGTGTGATGATTTTTATTTTATAAAAAGCCGGCTTTCCGCCAGCTTTGCTTATTAGCTTTTTTTGGTCATAGTTTTAATGGACCATTTTTACAATGGAGTCGTTTTACTCAGTTTGAAAAGATCACTCCGTTATCCATTAGTTTTCATTTTTCGTTTTGCTTTTTGCTTATGTTGGAACCTTCTTGTGATGAGTAATAACCATATAGCCCTCAGTTATATGTGAAAGGGAAAACTGTGCTGCAGCTAGTATACGTCTGGTAGTCATTGATGTAGTAATAAACAATTTTTAGCTTTTCATGGAAGTGGTTTAGGATACTGACGTCGGTGGCGTTTGATCATGCATGCATGAAACAAATTTTATAAGGTCTTCAGTTTTACAATGAGTGAACTTTTTTTGAACCAACAAACTAAGATTCTATTGCAAAAGCACATTTTGTAAATGAGACGATGACAGTCACCGAGAAAGAATAAATTAAAGGATAAAATATAAATTAAAAGACTGATTGAACAAGTGATAAGCAAATCACCCTACTGGAGATCAAGCTCAACAGTGAACTGAATGATGCTTATTTTCCAAGTTTTCATTATCTTTAAGTAAATTTCAGCTTCGACACCAACTGTGAAAAAGATTAATCAAGCTTTATGTTTGACTGTTGAAATCCGTATTTGGAATCTTGCAATAATTCACAGTATCCCGTTTTAAAAGGCAGGGTTTTTCAGTACTCCCATGGCATCGCCAACAATCAGCGGGACCAATATTAACTATTTAATACATCGTCAAAACCTCACGATTATTTCAAGTCATCCCGGTGCTTCTAATTGTCATCATGTATTTCAGTTTTTACATTTACAGACACGCAGCCTAAGTCAGAAAACCGCACGATGCGCTGGTTCATGGAGGATTTCTCGTTCGCTTCAATTTAACATTGTAAGGTATTGTTTTCTTTAGTCTGTAAGGCCCAATGTAGTTGCAATTTTGAAGAAAGTACACTAGCATAACATCTATTGTGTATTGCGCGTGCGTCTTCTGAAGTGTCTCAACTTGGCTGCGAGTTGGTAAATGGCATGACGAGGATCTGTGTTCTTAGGATCATCACCTACGGCTCTCTTTCCTGATTGATAAGTGTTAAAAGGGGCTACGTCTCGCATACTTTCCGATGATTTTTCCTGTGTTCCTTAACTACGAGCTTGCAAATCAACCACAGTACAAATGGACCAAATTCGGTGCATTCACCCTTCAAGCTCCAGGGATAAGGGAAACAAAATAATTCATCCCTGAACGTCCTGTACCTGAAGGGACACACCTTCAATTAAAACAAATTGAAACAAAGTAACGTGAAATATCTCGCCGATGTTTTTCAATTTTAACTGAGTGTAGTTTGTTCTCCTTCAGATTTTTCTTATCCGATTCACCTTTTCGCTTAGTTTATTGCATATAACCCCACGGTGTTCTTGAACAGTTTCCTCACAGTTATTTTGATGTCAGCTCAATCAATTCAGTGATTTCAATTTTAAATTGCGCTCGATCTTCTGTTGATTGTTTGGCCTAATCTTGGCTTCAACGAGGTGGCGCTTTAAAAAAAAAAGATAAGGATTACACAGTCAAAATTGAAACAAAAACCAAAAAGAAAGAAAAGAAAAGCAAACCAAAACAAACAAACAAAAATAAAAAAAAATCGTCTTTCGCTTTCCGACTTTTCGCACTAGTTGCCTTGGAAAAAATTCTGTGTTGTTGAGAACTCGCTCTTGTGAACTGGGCTATACCTTCACGATCTGCAATTTCTTGCATGGCTTGTCGCGCATTTTCCGTTCTGTTACAGTTTGAAGCAAAACCCAGGAGTCCGTGAAAGAAAGATGTGTACGCGCATGGTCACTCTATGTGCCGAACCTAATACTTATTCAGGTTCGACTGTTCATTCAGACGGTCGAACTATACATGTACCGAACCTAATTCGTGGCGAAAAGAAATATCACCCGTACTGCTTAAAACAGGGAAATAAACTGAAAAAAGTAAAATTCACCAAGCCTGGAATTTCTTGTTTTGATTTTAGTGTGATTTTGTGTCAAGGAGACAGCTGAGAAGGTCGTGATCGTGATATTTGGTAGCCTGTTCCAGACTCCGAGATAGTCGGGTCCGCTGAATCGAGAAAGCGCAAACACGAAAATAAAACTGGAGGAAACTGGGGAGAGCGGGGGCGGCTCTCTCTCCCTTCCTCTTTCCTTTTTCCCGCCCCGCCGACTTTTCGCGTACCTTTTTCTTTAGCGTCTTCCCCACTATCTGAGAGCCTGGAACAGGCTAGATATTTGGACAAAATAAAGTAACGCCATAAACTTTAAAATACATTACGATTTCTTTATGGATATAAAGACAAGCAACTTTTTAGAAGACCATTTTAAGCTCTCCAGTTTCAGTCTAAAAATCGACAGCGTGAATGCTGGTAATCGTCGTTACGCTTCTATAAGTTCTGTCTGCACGGTCGCGAAAACCCACTAAATAGCCCATCAGAAGTGTGGTTATATTGAAAAATACGTTAACATAATTTATGCATTAGGTTCGGCACATGTGAAGTTGCCGTTCTGTTCGATAAGCTCAGTCGAATAGAACGGCAGAGTCGACCCAAATACAAATTAAGTGCCGTTCCTAATTGATTCATGCGTCGAACTTTACATGCGCCGAACCTAATAATTTGGTTCGGCACATGTAAAGTTCGACGTTTGAACCGGGCCTATCTCGTGGGGATTAAATTGCCTTTGATATCTCGAAAATTCTTCTCCCATTATTCTAAATAAAAAATGAGCATTAACAGTTAAAGTTCAACAATCTGAGGAATTTTTAAATTAGCATAAACAAATGAATCAGAAACAAAGACCTGGTCCTTAAAAAAAATTCAACGTTAGCATTACCACACGTTTTTGTTCCGATCTACACCTGGAGATCAGTATAAACAAAACTTTTAATGGACATCATTTTGTGTTCGGGTCGTAACATAAAAAAAATGACGTAACAAAGTAGATATATCAGCAAAACCCGACAAAGCTATTAATCCACAAAGTGTTTTTTTGAGTAAAAAGGCTTATCTGTTCCGCGATAAAAGCTCTTTACCGGCATAATTGGCTCTTTTCAAGTCAACAATAATTTACTTTCGAAAACTATGAATATAATTTCTAAGCAAAATTAACCAAATTCTACTTGTTTAGTATTAACGCAAACTTATTACGCACGTGGCTTACAACAGCCAGAGGTGTTACAAGAAGGCCGTGCTCTGATGAGTTCGTTTCAGTACCAGATGCATGGTCCACATACATTTCAGGGGCCCCCCTAGTAGACGAATTTGTTATTGGCGGTTATCGACAAATTTAGCAAACTGTGAAAGTAGATTCGATTTCGTCATCATACGCCGTTATTCAGTGGACTCGGGGCTTTCGTGATGACGGCTGCAAATACACGGATTTCATGTGCCTTAGAGGAACAGCATTTCAGCGTTTAGTTGAACCTTACATGCAAGGTTCTTTTGCATGTGAATATAAATGCCATCATCAGCCACATGATTAACGAGGTAAGCATATCGCGCCTTGCGCATGAATTTGAAGGTGTTCTTGAAGAGTGCCCAAAATCTAGACCTTCACGAATTCCTGTCGAATTTGACAGGTAAGTTAGAAAATTCAGCGGTTTCCAAAATGAGAAATCAGTAAAGAATAGTAAATATAATACATGAATTTGATGGTCATTTTTAAGTGAACACTGAAAACGAAAGTAGGTAGAAAAGGTCGTCAGTAATTTGAGATCCGCAATATCATTTAACAGCTAAATGTTCTACCTACATGCCAATTTATTAGTCGTACTTTTCATAAACTCATGTAATTTGTCCTTTAAGTATAATCATAGCCTGAAACAAATACATAAGATAATTGTCAAAACCAGTATCTTGTTCTGAACACTGATAAGAAAATCCTAAGTCTCTTTATAAAGTTTAACTCACCCGATAATAGAGTGTTCATCAGTTTAATAAAAACAAAAAGATGCGCAAGTAAAATTTGATGGTAGCGTTAGTTGCTAGATTCGTGTTCAGATTTTTGTTCGCTGAATTTTGCGCTCGTAATCCGGCTTTCAGTAGTATTGTCATCATCTCAAGCCTAATAATTAACTCAGCTGAAAACTCATTAATAGCTTTTCTCTCTGATCATGAGCTATGTGATATCACTTTTCATTCATTTTAATGCCACGCTGATTTGCGACAAAAAAAACTGAAGAGGCTGGAAGAAGGGTAATTCTTCGACGGAATATCTGATTTCCTGTGGTCAATTATATAACGTTTTATATAAACGATACTGTGTGGTATTATTATTTTCTGAAATCAAAATATTATTATAAAAGAACTCTCATCAGTTTTTGTCCTGACATAATTTTTCTGGGAGACCTATTGTAGATTATATATATAAAAAAAAAGTCGTTGAAGCTTAGTTGCAATCAGAACTCGGTCCGTTTTCAATAGACTATTAATTCAGTTTTACTCTGCCGTAAAAGTTCGTTTTTTTTTTTTTTTTACATTTTATCCTTTAAACTATAGGGCTTTAATTTTAAAGTAAAAAAAGCAATGTCTCGAGTATTCTGCCTTTATTATTAACTTTTGTGAAAATGGTTTAGGCTGCTTGCGTGGTGTTCTATTTTGCCTGCACAAAGCAGTTTTTCAATAGGCAGTCTCTTGCACATTGAGGAAACGCTCCTTCCAATAAACTTAGCTTTTATTGCACAAGCTCGGTTTGAAAATGAAGTGGCATTCAATTTCCTTTGTTCAGATTAAAATTCAGTCTCGTTGCCAACTTTGAGTAAGATTAATTAAACCTCACGTTTACTGTGGTGATAGTAATAGGTAAACGCTACTGCTAAAGGTTTGAAGTTTGCCGCCGATCACCGATAAGAATGCAAGTTACCGGCTTATATTTGTTTTTCGCTGAAAACTAGACACCCGCGCTGCTGTTTATTGTAGACGTGATGCGAATGGCGTTAAAAGTAAGCCGTCAACATGTTGACATATCCGCTAGTTCCAATCAGTAGTTTCCAGTCGAATTGTTGTTTAACTATAGTAACTGATTTGCTTTTGCTCAAGATTTCAGTGTCAGCCATCAACGGAAGTTAATGGCAATAATTGTCGCCTTGTGTTTCAGTTTGTATTAAAGATACGCCGTTTTCACGAATCAGCCCGATTCAGACAAGCACTGCAATGAAATCTTGTAGTTTGCTGTTCAAGCCAAGTTCCTTTTTTAGCCTTTTAAAAATTGTTGGCACAAACAAACGGTTGCGTGAATTGTAGCTAATTGTGAATTGGCTGTTTGCAACGCACTTCCGAGATACCGTGTCAGCCTTATTCAGGGGCACCCAACGAGGATATAGTTCAAAACCACTTAACATAGCATTGTTGAACGTATTTTAGTATTTAAACGGTAGATATAGGCATATTTTTATCCCCTAAAAACTTTTCATCTGTTTGGATTTCCTAGCTGAAAGTCTAGTGATCCGAAAATTATAGGGATCAAAACTTACCTTTTCGAAAATTTCAGCCAGGAAAAGGCTCCTGAAAATTCTAGATGGCCTTTTTTAGGGTAAATATCCGTTTAAAATGGGTAATTATACCATTTTGTAGATCTTCGAAAATCCTAGGAGAGGCAGGCAAGCAAGAAATTTTACAACAAGTGTTCCGAAAATTCTAGTTCTCAAATCGTCTTCCGAACAGATATTTTCCCGAAAATTCCCGTTGAGTGCCCCTGCTTATTATGAAAACGTGGTCTGTACGTTAGGCAACTGTGATGGGTATTGTTAATAAATGAAAAGTTATTTTCATATACAAAGATGGGCAAGGACGTTCACTTTGAAGGAAAGGCTAAGAGGAATTCGGTAAGGCCTCGTCACGATGAGGGTGTAGTGAAAAACATCAAAAGCATCAGCCAGCAGTGGTAGCAGCAGCAGTGGCATTAGCACTGCAGTAGCAGCATTAGCAGAAGTCTAGCTCATTCTCTCTTGCAGAAGTAATACAGTGGAACCCCGTTAATACGGTCACCAGTGGGTAAAAAAAAATTGGAACGCGGTGGCCGCATTAATGTTTTTTTTTTTTGTAAGAAAATGTATTCTGCCGAGCTAGGCCGAAAAAGAGTGGCTGTAATAACGAGGTGACCATATTACCGAGGTGGCCGTAAGGCCGGATTCCACTGTAAATGGCAACATGTTCAGCAGCAGCAACAGTAGTAGCAGTATTTATTTTTATTTAACCCCCAGATACAGTGTGAGATTTATTGGGTCTCCAGCAAACATCAGGTCGAATAAAACATAGTCGTGATAGGTCATTTTAGAGAGTCACGAAATGTCCCCCACGCAGCCATGAAGAAAGACACGGATCCATATCAAGTTAAAGAGTATTTTATTGACGTCATCAAAAAGCCCAGGCAGATTTCGCAATAATGTTTTAATATTTCCTTTTTGATCACTTTGATGTTTTTTAGTTAGCCTGCTTATCCATAATATTCACCGATTAGAGTAGTATTTAGTTGTGAGCCTCCATTTTGTGTTGGGAATTTTGAAGGAAAAATAAAATAATAGTCAGGGGCACTTAACGAGAATATAGTTGAAAACCATTTAAACATAGCATTGTTAAACGTATTTTAGTATTTAAACGTTAGATATAGGCATATTTTTATCCCCTAAAAATTTTTCATCTGTTCGGATTTCCTAGCTGAAAGTCTAGTGATCCGAAAATTATAGGGATCAAAACTTACCTTTTCGAAACTTTCAGCCAGAAAAAAGGCTCCCGAAAATTCTAGGTGACCTTTTAAGGATAAAAATCCGTTAAAAATGGGCAATTACAGTAGTTTTGAGATGTTCGAAAATCCTAGGAGAGGCAGGCAGGCAAGAAATTTTACAACGAATGTTCCGAAAATTCTAGATCTCAAATCGTCTTCCGAACAGATATTTCCCGAAAATTGTCGTTTGGTGCCCCTGAATAGTTTTTGATTTTGTGGTGCTGGGATTGAGGAGACAGCTGTATCTGTAAAAAACTGTAAACTAATGATTGTAGCTTTCGAGTCGGAGCAGGCGTTTCCTGTTTTAATGACGTCATTTAATTATAAATTTAAGGATTTCATCAATTCACCATTTTGCCCATAACATATAATCTTTTTAACTCTTAAAATTTTGCTTAACCAGGCCATTGTTTCCAACTTCCCCCGAACATTAAATCTCGCCTAAAGAAAATTACGAGGTAATGCCTATGTTTTTTTTAGTTTGGAAGGGGTTGGAGATGGGGGTAAAGAAGGCAAGGTGTTAGCAGCCGATTATGGAAATTTATGGGTAGTGAACATTTCGTGCGTGTCTAACATGACGTATTAAAAGTTATGTCTTCTTGAACCGATGACGTTCTAATGCAACGAGAAATTTTAAAAATGGAAAATCATCGTTCAAATTGTTGCTTTTTTAAATACCGGAAACTGCTATTACAAAATTGCTCTAGACAAAATAGCACGTAAATTGTTAGTGTTCTAAAAAAGATAGATGAGCTGCCTCTATCCACTTACATAATTTATTGTTACTTTTAATTGTTCTCAGTTCATGAGTAAAGCAGGTCCACATGGAAGCTGCGGTATCGGACCGGGTTTCCTTACGTGGTATCGGATTTCGTTGCCTCAAGTTCGTAACTCATGCATCGAGACTTAGGTGACGTCAATGACCTTTTATACCTTCTCTCGAAGTTAATCGTCACATTGTTTTTATGAAGTGTTGAGCATAAGTAGTTCAAGTCCAACCTTTGACGAATTCTGAAATTAAAAAATTAATTAAAAACGAAAACTAGCAAAGACCTTGGCCTTGGAAACATAATTTCGTAAGCGCTGTGTTATCACAAGCTTTGGCGGTCCGATTCAAATGGACGTCACGATAACATTTGGTGTTTTGTGCTCTCACGTAACATAAACAATTGCCGTGGCAAAGAAGATAAATCAGGCAAATCAAAGTACAAAGGCTTATCTTTTGGGTAAAGAATCTCTCAGCGTAATTGGCTCGTGTTAGGGAGACTTTTTCACTATCAGAAAACACTGACATCCTTATCGTATCATCCGAACGCTAAGTTGAAAGACGTGCGTAATTACTATGCATTTGAAAAATGTATTTTATTCTGCGGAAACAAGAACAGTGAAGTCGATCGCGGTTGTTTGAAAGTCTCGAAACGAGGAGTTTGGTGTTTTAACACTAATATGGGTGGTCAACAATAGGCCGGATGACATCGCAGGTTAGACGAACAACATAGAGTAAGCTAGTTATGTTACTGCACTGAAGATCAAATGGCAAATTCCTTAATAGCAACATTACACTACTCGTTGACAGCAAGTTAACGTCCGGTAAGGATTGCTGGAATTTGAGCAGTTTAGGGCAAGATGCCGAACGATTTTTTACTCCTGACATAGCACCCGACCCTATCATAGGGCAGCTTCAGCTTTCCCTTCCTCGGAATTCTCCTCAATATGATGTTACTTTTAAGGGTTTTTGCGTGGTTCAGTTCACAGCTAGAGAAGTGAATGAACCAACACGACACCTTCTATGTCCTGGTAAGTGGCCTTAGGCCCAACTCATACGTTGTGCTTTTACCGGCTTAATACAGAATTAGCCATCGTGTTAGATCGAGTCAAATTTACTTGCGCATATAGTATAAAGACTCTGCAGTGGTAATAGGAACAAAAATCACAAATCCCGCGAATCTCCGAAATTTATAATGAATTTAATTCGATACTGCGTTAACCAAGACATTTGATTCTTTGCCTTGCCAGAGTCGTGTAGCTCTAGCACTGCAGAGCTGCCTGTCGAACCAAAACAAATTGAAACCGGCGGGTTTTTTTTCAGACGCCGTGCTTCTGGCGTGGATGCCTTTGACGGTCAGCACGGCAGAAGCACATCGCTATGATCGTGAACCTGGGCCTTGTGCTCACCTCGACAAAATTTAGGCAGATTCTGCAAGTAAGTAAGTAGACTACAGAAGAAGGCTGGGTGCAGTTAGTTAAACCTCGAACAATCTTTAGAGTTTTGCCTGCATCAAAAGATATCAGGAAATTGCACTCGAACTCACTCGAATTTGCGTTTGATTTTGCCTGCATCGGTACTGAAACTCTGCACGCGATTTTGCGTGCGATTTTACGCCTGGCGAGATCTCTAAGCACAATTATTTACAATGGCAAATTACGGTGGCTAAAAACTCACATACCTCACAGCTAGCGCCTGCTAGTGACTTTAAAGTGGTTGTTAGCGGATTTGTGTTGCAACTGCTTATCTCGCACTTGACCCAAACTTGAGAACGTAAACCAGAATAGATCTGGGCTCGAGACTACATGCAGTAACGTATTGCGTTTCTGTGTAGTTGCACTGCGTTGCAAGACAGATGGGACTGCCGCAAAACTTGCAGAACTTGCGGAACCTCCCCAAAAAACTCATTTGATGAAAAAGGAAAAAAAACACGAAATAACTTTATTTCAATGCCTTGACGATTCCAAATATTCCGTTATCCCCACGTGATAAAACCTTGATACGAAGAAGTGTCTGGCTGTTTTCGGGAGCTTCTGATTCTCTCCTTATCACGCCAAACTACAAACTCGAATCACGTCCAACCGGACTAGCCTGCGAAGAATCTCTCGTCGCAAAAGGCTCCCCACCGTACTATCGCTTTGCAGGCGCCAACAATATGGGACAAAATAACTAGCCCGTCTGTATGAGCCAATAAATATATACAGCTATTTCGAGAAAGGTTGTCAAAAAAATGTGCACGCGACAATCACCGAAAGGTAATATGAGATATGCGCGATCCACTGTTCCTGACACTGTGGCTGTCGAAACCAACTTTTTTTGTTGCTTTCCCTTAGCACTCACAGACATATGTCCATGGCCTCTCCTGTCATTCTTTCAAATTTCTTTGAAAACAGTGAAGTCAAAACCACCCACAATACCTTTCAGGGTTGTCGCGTGCTCTTTATCCGACAACCTTTCTCAACATAGCTGTAAATTATCAAGAAAAGTCTCTGCTGAAGGAAAACTTCCTCTTCACGACTAACAACAGCGGCAACAACAAAAATGCCGAGTATTCTTGTGTTCGCTCAGATGTGTTTTCATTACACCCGCGTCAAATTAAAAAAAAAAGCACCAAACGTAACAAACAATTAATGCTGATGAAAATTGATTCCATTTTCCCCTTTGTATATTATTTTAATTTTGTTGTTCATAACATTGACATTCTACTTCAGTTAACCTTTAGTACATAAACCTATGATAACTTGTCCTCTAGCCGGGTCTGATAACATTGATCATGATCATTTATCTTATCAGATTTAAATACAGTTGTACTGCCCATTTCAGTTCCGGTATCTATTTAACGGCTAGGTAGCTGAGGCTCAAACTATTGGACATGCTGCCCCTTAAAAGATCCATCCCTGCCTTATTCACCATAGGGTCTTTTAATAACAAGTAACTATTAAAGATAAAATGGTCAGATCGTTGTCAAATTTGCACAGTTCCCTAGTTTTAATTAAAAAACATCAACTTGTAGGTACATGAATAAAGATGCACGATCACAGCTGTTTTTAACGGTCAAAACAATTTATCCTGGAAGACCAAATCTGTATAGTTCGACGAGACATGAGTAATTTAGTTTCGTTAATCCTGAGTTAATTGAAGCCCTATTCTCTGTATAGCGGTGATCAGTGCTATTATCCCGTGGAACAGCGCGCTGCTCTTGTACATGTTTAACAATTAAACCACATCGTCTTATTCCACTTGCCTTAAGCCAATTTAACATAAAAGAATTAGCTGGGAAATATTAAAGATGTGGTAAGCGTTTTTAATTGTTTTAAGCTCACAATTGTTTTTTTTTTAATCTTGGTGAATAAAAATTGACAATACTTTCAATAAAACAAAGCTTTTTAGTCATTCAGAAATATTGAAATAGATCACGAAGCTTTCCAAGATGGCTTGCTCGTCGTTAAAGTTAAAAATTAGTTTTGTGCTGGAAATCTCATAAAGTTGCCCCCTATGTCTTGTCTAAATTCAAAACATAATGCGACAAGCATCAACTGATTACGGTTTTCTTTTTTTAAATTTGCTTGCAATATTACTGAATTTCTGGTTTCGATATGCATCTAGCCGTTTATGCAACGTAATCTTTTTCAGCCTTCACCGGTAGATCAAATAGAATTTTGGTCGCCATTAATAATGTTATTTTCAGCGGTTTTTGAACACGAATAAACAAATTTATACAGTGAAAACCAATTAGACGGTCGATAGTTTGTCTTGCCTTGTCTTCAATTATCCATCTAATTTGCCAAAACTCCGGGCAAAACTATGAGCTTTGAGGCCAAAAAAATTAGTGTCAACAAAAAGTAAAGGGTCTTAGTGAAGTGAATGCAGCATTCCCTCCTAAATACCTTATAACATTTTGTAATCTTTATTTGTCATGTACAAATGAGCTAAAATTTAAATTTATTCATTTGCCGGCTTTTAGCAAATTTTAATTTACATTTAAATTACACATTTCGTGTGGAGAAATCGACTGGCAAAAGAATCAATGAATAATCTTTACAAACAATTGATGCGTGTAAAAAGGGTATAAGAGATTTGATTCTCCACATCGTCGTTGAACATTTTTTTCGTTCTCTACCACTGTGTTTAGCCTATTTGAAGAGTTGTTAAGTGGGTTGTGTGTCCACATGTCTTACAAGTCAATTTAGGTAACCTTATCAACCGCAAACATTGAATAACCACATGCATGTAGCCTTCGACCTGTGCTCTTCTTGTCGGGACATATTGCTCGCTTATCCTCGTTGTGAAGGCCACTCTTGCTTTATTGCGAATTGAAACTGGGCCTATGGAACACCAAATGAACTGGTCATTCGTTAAATTAGACACTCGATGCTTGAGTAGCTAGAAATACCTTTCCGTGCTAATTGTTTTTTCGCATTATTACAATCCTTGCAGGCAGAGATGTTTAAATAACGCGCCATGTACGGCATGTTACTGGAGAGCGTGGAACACTTTCTCAAGGAAAAATACGGCGAAAAGAGCTGGAATTTGATCCGCCTTCAAGCAGGAGTCAAAAACCATGTATTCGTTACGCACGAGCGTTACCCGGATAATCTCATGTTGGACATCGCTCGTGCTGCCTCAGAGGTCGTTGGAAAACAAATGAACATGACTCCGGAAGATTTTATACAGTTCTTCGGAGTTTGTTTCGTGAATTTTTTCAGCAACTATGGCTACGATAGAATTATACGAGTCAGCGGAAGACATTTTAGGGATTTTTTAAGCGGGATTGATAACTTGCATGAACACATGCGTTTCGCGTACCCAAAGCTACAGTCGCCTTCGTTTTACTGTACTGAAGAAACAAGCTCAGGATTAGTTTTGCACTACAAGTCTAAACGCAAGGGATTTGTACGCTATGTTATAGGGCAAGTCATGGAAATCGCAAGGACGTTTTACGACATAACGCTTGAGGTTAAAGTGCTCGAAAATCTTTCTTCAGACGCTGGATGTCACATTATATACCAACTTTACTTCAATAACTCCGCTTTTAGAAAGCCCCTTAGCGCGGACTTGTTGTCTTTTAGAGAAAGACGTGAACTGTCTTGTGAAACTTTTTTTAATATCATGCCTTTTAGCTTCGTCGTGTCATCTAACATGGAAATTTTAATGGCTGGAGCAGCCTTACTGTCCACGCTTGGAAACGTCTTGATTGGCAATCGCGTAGACACTGTTTTTTCCTTAAGACGACCACGAAGGGAATTTTCATGGGAAAACGTAAGTGCTCTGACTAGAAGGATACATCTGCTTGCGGAGTGTGTTAAAAAAATTAAATGCTTTTAAATATGTAATTGCCGTCAGTGGATGAATGGACACGCTAATGGTTTTTGTGTCAGTTTGTCAAAGTCCTTGAGCGAGATTAGTTCTTAAGTATCCATTTCTGTGCAAAATAAATTTAAAAAATGGGGAACAAAACTGAAAATGCAACAGTGAAAACGGCAGCATTTATAAACAACGAAAACCGCAATAACAAAAACATTTTTTTAAAAAAAATGGCGGCGCTGTTAAGCTACTCGAAACTATTAGTAACTTCACTTGGAGAAGAAAATGAAAGGTCTGAATCGATTGTTTAAATAAAATCGCCTAGTTTCAGTCATCTTGCTACGGTTCACCCCGCATGAACATAAATTTACCAAAAAAAGAGGAAATTTTGTTGTCCTTCGCACGTCATCAGGATGTCTTGATTTTTTATTCTTTTTGGTCAAGAGAAATGCTTGTTATCTTTTCGTAGTTAGCTAGACCATAACAAGAATATAAAGGCATCGCAAGATGTTTTTAACCAATATATAAACAACTTTGTCAGATGAAAAATCTTATTTTACAAAATAATTACAGTCCTTCTCTCTTTTTGTTGGTCGCAAAAGGTATCCTCAGCGCATGTAAAGGATATTGATTTGACTACAATTTGCTGTAATCACAAAAACTGTGCTAATCAATAGTGACCTTTTTTAAATTGTCTATCTCAAAAAGTAATAATTCAAGGGCTTTAGTTCACGGGTTAAATTACCGCAAGAGAGCCTTTCTTGATTACGGGAAAGCATAGCACTTTGACGATTCAATTTCATGGGGTCCCTTGCTTTTTTACTTATTTATTTATTCTTTTATTTATGTATGTTATTATATTTTTTCATCGAAAAACAAGAAATTGGCTTGGTCCGCGTACGTTCCGTCCATTAGATTTTTATTTAAAAGAAAAAACGAAACTTTAACATTAAGAAATTAAATATATCAATTTTCAATGTCTAAATTCGAGAACTTGAAAAATTGAAATAGATTTTCGGCTTTAAAAATCAAAATTTTGCAAAATTGCCAGTGAGTCTTTAATTCCAAAAAAGGAAAAGAAAAATGAAAGTCGTCTTATATTTTGACTTTTTTTTTAGCCTGTTAACGGGACAAAACTGTATGTTTATTCCCCTCTTGTTTCCGGCTATTTTGTCATTGTTAAAGTACGACCATGGATAAACATGCTATTGCGCATGACCAGTACCAAGTGACTGTTCATTTCTCTCTCGCGTGCAGTCCTTCAGCTATGCGGTGAGTTGTTAAGCTGTTTCGCCCAGTCGCGACTACCGAGTACATTTTGATCGCATTTAGCCGTTTCAGTAATCCTAGAATCTCGTTTTTTCGCCTTACAGTTCTCCAATCGACCTGCTTTGACTGAGCGGGAAGCAAAATATGTAATTTGTTTCTACTTTCTGCTCAAATTTACTCTTTATATTCAAACCACTTGGGGCTGTGACTACATTTTTATTCTGAAAACTATCATGAGTTGGTTAAGCACAGAATTCGGACTGACGACCGAAAACAGAAATTCATGCAAGTAATTAATTTTCTCTTAGCACGATAATTGCTATATGTTTCGGTTATGCAAGTTAAAAACAAGTGCGAACATTCTTCGACATAACAAAGAACCAATCAGAGCGTCTTAAAAACTGTCAAAGTTAGTCTCCCTCAGGCATTGACAATTCTTAATAAGGCGGCTTCAGGGATAGAAGGATGTTGTTGGTAGAGATGTTAATGTTCATGAAGATATTGACGAATTGCTATCAGGAAACAGTTTGAAAATAGCTGTCTTTTATGACAAAACTTTGAGGACCACAAAATGAAGAATAAACCAAAAAAACGTCTGATGGTCTACAAAATGTTTTGAAGCTTTTGTTGACATCGTCGTCTCTGTTGTCTCAAGGAGAGTCTTCTCCGCCATCCATGACGTCAATGATTTTCCGTAAATTTAAAACAGTGGAGTAGAAATCAAGAAGTCTTTTCCTTGTTCTTCAGCGTGTCTTCCGCCGAAAGACAGTGAGATTAGTTCAACTATTAAAAGAATTTTCTTTGTTTTTTTTTTGTTTTTTTTTTCTTTCTGTTTTTATTTTACGTTCAATATGTTTAAAGTGTGTATTGTGGCGCAGTGGAGAGAGCACTCGTTCCTCAGTTCCACCAATGTGCGCTAGGTTTAAAACTTCAAATCCCGTTGGCCACGACGTGACGTCGACATCTCTTAAGTCCTGATTATTAGCGGGACTCGATAGAAATAATGTTGCTGTTTGCATTCAAGATAAAGAGGCTTAATTCAATAGTTTTGCTGATAACATGGCATCCATCTAAGAGATTGCTTCCCGCCATCGTAATCATTTCGCATGTGGAGGAAAAACAATCATGACATCGTTGAAAGAGTTAAAAGGAATAGACACTTTCTTTGTGAGCGAATGGTTGAGGCAGAAAGGCCTTGAAAAACTCAGCGAGATAGTTGAAAGCAAATAAAAGATGAAAGCTTCGTATTTTGTGTGATCAAAGCGACGATTGATACGTTGAGGGAACGGTTCCATCGTCATGATGAGAAAATACTCATGTTAAGCTCGTGGGTTGTTTGTTTATCATTCAAAATTTTAAATACCTTCGAAAATGAGAAAGGTATTGTTAAAATTCTCGTTAATAGTTTTGTCATTGATATTTATCAGATCGATATGATCTTTTTTGCAGTAATTACAACTAGAGGCTCGGGAGCGATGCGCGAAGGGTGCTTTACGCGTTTTATTACATATTTATTTTACATTATAACAAATTTCCTATAAATACGACATTTGTAGCTTATTTATTTATGAAAACAAAAAACAAAAAAAAAGAACAATTGCCCGACAAATGCCCGGGGGGAGGCCACGCTCAGTGGAATTGACTGAGCCATTAGATTTTGATTTGAATATTTGATTTTAGACCCGAAAAATTACCTGGACCTACAAGAAACCAGTCTGACAGGTTTTTTTTCCGGCTTCCAGACCAACATTGCCAATAACTGGAGCTTCTAGTGGTATTTTTCGTTTGAAACACATGGAAGCCTCGAAATCCAATATGGCGAAACACAACACGATCGAGTTTCCCTTCCCGTCGTTGACTCGGTTGCCTACCACCAAGCCGTTCCATTACATTTTGAAATATTTCGTTCTGTTCGGAGGTTCTCTTTTAATACCCTCGGCTCTAGTCTCATAGTCACATATTGCGAGCCGTTTTACTGAAATTCATCCCCGCACGAACCACACTTTAAAGACCCGAAAAATAGAAATTGTGCGACAGCTGTTAAACTGCTCATCATAATGCCAATGGGCTTTTAAAACTGCATTCTATCAAATAGTAAGCGTCGATCGATAAGAGGTATATGTAAATTTTTAGCAGAGCCCCATAGCTAAGGAAATGTGGTAATCTACCCATCCCAGAAAATTTGGTAATCACGTGACCGTACACCGAGCGAGCGAGCGTGCGACCGTCCGTCTGCACCACAGGCATACCATTGTAAAATAACTCATCAACAGGTATGGCAACCCAAATGCAACTCAAGGTTTTATTTGGAAGGAAATCACATGGCCGCCCGGACGTTTAGAAAGAAAAACCAACAACAAAGTCGTATCTATTTCGGCGTCATTTTTTATGCTTACACTAACGTGGATAACAGAAAAAGAGCTAGAGGGAGTTATTGAAAACAAAGGAGACGAATTTCGTGGGGAGAAAAACATGGAAATTCAAAGCAACGGTGAGGAAATGAGAAATGCTAGCGGCAAGAAAGGTGAAAATGAGCGGCGGTGGAAAATAAAAGCGAACATGAACACAGGAAACAAAATGATGTGTAACTAGACGTTTGACGTTTTAGTTGTACAAAACAGTGTTGTACTCGTGCAAAACAACGGCAAGGGAGGGGAGAGACAAAAAAGCGTGCTGCACGTGGAAAGTTGCTTTTTGCTAATTAGAAGAAAAAGTGTGCCGCACGTGCAATTTGGTTTTTTGCTAATTAGATCTATTACTCTTGAAGCCATTTTCATTGTCGTCTCCGTTTAGCATTACACGATTTAATATTTTTGTTTATAAGTATTATTAACCAGAGCTTCGCTTTTAGCCCTGGCTAAATCTATGTATTATGGGTATCCATGCTTACGTACGTACGTACATAGTATACCTAGAAACGGTCATTTGGCTTGCTATTAATATTAGTTTTTCGATTCATTTCTCACTTGTATATTTTGTTTTCCGTGTTTAGTGAACGTGATGTAACCTGCTTCTTCTCTCTTTAGATCAAAACTTGGAATGTAATTTGCGAGCTTGTTGCGAAAATTTCCTGTGTAAGGACCTACAGAGTCAAAAAGCCGCTATTGAGGTCTGTCAAATCTATGGACAGAGATGAATTGACTTCGTCACTTACGCAATCGACAGAAAGTAATCTCGAAGCAACCTCAACAACTAGCTCACAAATTTGTAAGTCAACGAATTGCAAGAGAATTTATCCAGATATTATTGAAGAATTTGGACACCCCAGCAAAGCAGAATATCAATACAAGCACGTGACTAGACGGAACAGCGCGGATGTATCACGGAATGGAGTGTTGACGTCCAGGTTGCGCGACAAAGATTATTCCGCGAAAATTTTGAAGCACTTACATTTGAAAGGTCATGTAAAATATCTCAAGAAGGAGGACGTTGTTCTGTTTGTCTGCTCACCTATGTAAGTAGTGGAATAATAAGCATCTGAAACTCTTGCCTTGGTTTCGCAAGTTTTAAATTATCGTATTTACCCAATTAAACTCCTCAGAAAGAAACTGGATTACCAATAAACACTGCATCCAATCATAAGAATGCGGCGTTTATTAGAGGGTTGTAAGAAAATATATTCGATACAACTAGACATTCTACATAATGAAGACAATTACGATTCTGCCCCAGCAAAAAAGAGAGACTTATGAACTATAAACACTTTTCTGTTTTACATAATATTTAAATGTGATTTACTGTTCCTAACTGTAATTTTTGTGATTTTGAAATAAACCCCGCCCTTGAACAAAAGACGCATCAGAAACAATTAAAATTTAATAAACGCTGTGGTGTTTAATCGAATCAATACGTTAGATAATAATAACTATTATAGTAACAACTTAATCTAATGTAAAGAGGAATTCTCACCTATAAGTCTTCATGGCTCCTTGAGACTTTCTCGCCTTTTGAGATTCTTTTCTTTCGATATGAGTATATTACGTGTAATTTAATGTTTTTCCCCCTTCATTTATATGTAAAAAGGGAAAAAAATCAATCAATGAGTACTCTGGTTTGAACCTGGGCTACCGGTCGAATATGTTACCATTACCATTACCACTTTGGCTAAGAGTAGTTCTAAAAAAGACTTTTGATCTGATTGCATTATCTTCCAGGATAGCAGGTGTGGATGAAATGGCTAGGAGTGGAATGTACATGAGTGACCTCGGAATGTATGATTCATCTCAAGAAATGGTTCTTTCAGGAATACAACCCCTGCCACAGCTTGAATATGCACGTGATCAGGTATGAATGAAGCCGACTTTTAAAGTTGCCTGCAAACGCAAGCGCCTCTCACTGATCGCTTCCCGTCGAAGTCGCTGGAGAGCCAGGAGAGGCGACGGGCTCTGAAAATGTCTGAAAGCAGGAGGTGCATGCAATTGAACTAATTTTGATCTGAGCCTTAATAAAAGACAAATAATATGATTACCTGAAACAATTTTGAGCTCCACAAGAATGCACTTAGCACTAGAAAGTACACTCACTTGAATTTATGAATTCAAGTGCAGTCTTACGGGTTGTTGACGTCAAACATGAAGATTGCCTTCGATTCCTTTCAGTTTACAAACCTGTGTCATGCTGAAATCGATAAGATTGGACGAAAATGTGTCGAAAAAAGCCACTTTGAATAACAGAAAATGTTTAACAAATGGATAACACAACGCCTAGCAAATTTAATTAATGGCAAGGACCAGCGAAATGGACTGCTCAGTCGAATCAAGTCAAGGGAGTTGCAGACCAGGCTTCTGAAAAAAATCGAAAAGAGAAGAAAAGTGTACTTTTACGAAAAAATTGCGTAAGTTGGAACTGAACTGAACTACTACACTTGAAGTCATAACTTCAAGTGAGTGTGCTTTCTAGAGCTAACTGAAACTGATGCCTCAACGTGGTAATTACACCCCTGCCGATGAAAACTCGCCAACTAATAGTTTGTATTTGCCAGGCAGCTTTAATTGCTTTCAAACCATATCTAGATACATAAATTGACGAAAATTTCTTTCTCTCTTTTTCTTTTAAATCAAAGCTGTTGGAAAGAGGAAAAACACTTGAGGAGAACTTACGGAAACTAGAGGAGGAACGGCAGAGGAGCGAGCAACTGCTACATCGCATGATGCCAAAAGCCGTTGCTGATAGACTAAGAGATGGACAGAAAGCAATTGACACTTGTGAGGTACAGTCTGTGGTTCTTTTTTCCGTGTTTGGGTGCGGAATTTCATCAGTGGAACAGATGGCAAAATAAATAAGTAACGTGTATCTATTAATTGAATCTGCTATTTTTGCAAGTGATGGTCATCTAGCATGCTCTATACTTCTACGATGCACTGGTCGATTTCAGAGGATTCAATAAAAGGGGGGTCTTTGCATACTGTCTATATAATAGCTTGTGCACTCTGACTGCTTTTAACATTTCCCAATGTTAGTGTTCAAATCGTCTTCAATCAAAAGTACATAGTCTTAAGTTTACTGGAAGCCTCAATTAATGTCCGAATCTGTAGTGCTTCATCAATTGTCCCATAGGTTCAGTGCGTTAGGGAGGAGGGTATTGAGACATCAGGGTGTTTGTATCAAAGCGAACGTTTTAAGAAGGCGTTCTCTTTTAGCTATGGTCTTTTTCGAGGCCATTAAAGCAATTTTATTTTGCGGTGCGAGCACTATTATCACAGTAGTTTTAAAAACGTGTGTGGGAGTACCACTGACTATGAAACGGCTCTACACTTGATTGGTGTTCCGATTGCCTCCATTTTCTTCTGCTGTCTGCATGGGATTAAGAATGAACACAAGCTTAAAGCCTGTTACTTTGTTAGTATTTTGATAGCGTCACCATCATGTTCAGCTACTTAGATGCCTTTGATCACATTTGCTCCAAAGTTACTCCAATGGAGGTCGTCACATTGGTTAACAGAATGTTTTTGACCTTTGACAAACTGAGCGAGAAACACGACGTTTACAAGGTAAAACACTGGACGCAAAAAACGGATTTGTACAATTTTGCTCCTTGCAAATTTGTCGAAAACATGTAAAAACTGAGGAGAGTAAAGCTGGGGCAAAGATGGTGAATGCCACTTTTACCAAAAAACAGGGGGTGTTTATGGGGTGTCAAGAGAGAATGATCTTGGGTGGTGTTTACCATTTTTGCCTCAGATTTACTCTTCAGCTTTCACAATTTTGCGACATATTTGCAGGAAGCAAATTTGTACAAATCCATTTTTTCGTCCAGCGAAAGGCTGTGTTCCTCAGAATTCGAAACTGAAAAAGAAGTTCAATGTCTTAAAAAGACATGGTAAAAATTACTGGATTTAGTGCAAGCTTAAAACTATAAATTTTACTGAGAATGCCAAATTACAACTAAGCTGAACAGTGAAAGATGAAAGTCACCGACAGGACCTTATTTACTTGCCATCGTCGAACTTTCACTCAGTTTTATTTCTGGCTGATATCCTTGGGGTAGAAATAATTGAAAGCCTATATATAGCTTTGCTTGTAGCTTGGTAGACCGTCTTACTTAGCAATTCAATGAACATTGGATATTTCCTTTAATGGTCATTTACTTAGCACACTTTTCACAGTGCCCTATTTTCTCCTGATTCTTTTTTTTGCCGTGAGGTCGTCGAGATCGAGCACTGGCATCCCCTTGGCTACACTCGGTACAGCTGGCCTCAATCGTATCAGTAGCCGCTCAATCTTGACGATCGATCTACGGAAAAAAGGGGACTTTGGAAAGCCCATCATTCACATAACCACTTAACAAGACAATAATTATAAGCCATTTATAGACCAAAATACTTTGGAATTCTTTAGTTTGAGACCCTTGGAGACGCTCAATACATGGTAGTTAACGGTGTACCAGTAAGAAAGGACCACCATACTGAGTCTGTGGCTGCAATGGCTTTAGACATTCTCCAATCGGTAAAAGAACTGAAGGATCCTTCTACAGAGGAGCAATTGACTGTAACTATAGGTGAGAGAGTTGACGGGTGCCACATGCTTACTTTTGTGTGTTCATTTTTACACTTGATCGAGCTTCTTCTACATTTTAAAGCTAGGCTAGGGGCTCAAACTAAAATAATATTTAGCCGATGAGATATGAAAGAAAATGTCAAATCTCAAATTAATATCTCTTATAGCAGATAGTGATAAACACTTTCATGGAGTCACACTCAATGCTAAAAATTAAACAAGCTTTTCGAGTGTCGATTCTTCCGTTTCCACTAAACTTTTTTTTTATATGGTGTCTTTCCATGTGGTAATACCAATTTTCTATGGTGCAAAGCCCGCACAATCTGTTTGTTTGTAGCCGATTGTTATTATAGCAAATGTTCTGGATTTACCGTTTGCCTCACCTATAGCGATATGTCGCTAACTGGACCATAATTTTTGGCACTTAATTTATGCAAAGACACATTTAAGCCTCTCAAAGAACAAAATATAGTATAAAAAGGTCTATTTTGTCAATGATAAATAAACGTTGAATTTTTACACTTGATCGAGCTGTAGGTATAAACTAAAATAATATTTAGCCGATGAGATATGAAGCTCATGGAGTCACACTCAGCTAAAAATTAAGCTTTTCGAGTGTCGATTCTTCCGTTTCCTAAACTTTTTTTTTTCTTTCCATGTGTAATACCACAGGGAGCCCGCACAATCTGTTTGTGTAGCCGATTGTTATTATAGCAAATGTTCTGGATTTACCGTTTGCGTCCTTTATATCAAAATGATAAATAAACGTTTTTGAGCGATTTTGAGCGATTTTGAAGGAGTTTGAATTCGCCGTTGACTGTTCCTTATAATAGAAGGACGAAATCAAACTGCTTCAAAATCGCTCAAAAAACCGCTTTTGAGGTAAAACGACGACTATATAAACAGATTGTGTGGGCTCCCTGTGGTAATACAGCCATAAACCATTAAAACTCGTTAGCACTAAATACTCTGTGATTATGTTTGTCAGTTAAAATTTTTTCATGATGTCGCTTTCCGGTAGCTCAGTCTTGCAACAATAGAGGTACACTAAGTAAATGTTGAGTACGATTAGCATGACTTCAATTCAATCTAAGAGAGATTACAAGTTATTATCATCTAAAAGGAGTACCTAGAACCTTTGGTACTTTTGAGCCGTTAGTTTGTTGGAAGAATCTTATTTATTACTAGTGATTATGGCCAAGTTTCAATTAATTGTTGGACTACAAGGTCAAAAACTAATTTTGTCCGAATTTAATTCCTTGCGGTGTTTCTTTAGCGTAATTAAATTTTGTTCTCGTTTTCTGTGTTACTCCGCAGGGATACATTTAGGTCCAGTGGCGGCAGGTCTTGTCGGGGAAAAGATGCCACAATACTGTTTATTTGGCGACAGTGTAAACATTGCAGCCAGACTTAGAACAACTTCGTTGGTAGGTATTCTCAATCTTTCAGTGACAGAATATATATACATGAGTGTGTACTTCTGCAAAGATAAGTATTATTAATAGGCCATTTCCATGTTTCAAAATCTCTCACTTTCAAACAGAGGCCAAATGCAAAACCTTTCTTGTGAAAATGAATTTATTTTCACGAGAATAAAAAATCATATTCAGGTCAATGGCTTTGCACTTAGCTTCGCTTTGAAACAGAGACTTGGGGATACTTGGGCCTATACGCAACTTGCACACCTCCCATAATGCACGTTATTTGCCCCCAAAATTTTGCGCAAGCATTGTTTTCAATTTCTCTTAGGGCGGCTGTAATACCCAGGAGAAATGAAAGACAAAGGTTATACATTAACTTTTGGGGGGCAAATAAGGTGAATTATGGGAGATGTGCAAGTGGCCGCGAATTGAAATTGGTTGAAATGAAAGGTGGATGGCAAGAGTTTGCATTACTAAAACCGTGTGCTTACTAAAACCAATACTCTATTAAGTTTCCGACCATTGAACTAAAAAGGGGGCTATTTTGAGCTGGTGATGTGCAGTTGGGCCATTTAGTCTCAAGAGCGAGGCAGTCTCCAGCAATCCTCACGCGTAGTAAGATGCTCCCAGTCCCGAACCCTCAAACTTACAAACAGTGAGTCCCTGTCCGTTATATAAACGTCAGTGAAAATGACACCATCTACTCAGCCTCGGTATATAGATATTTTCACTAGACTGTCGCATAGAAACACCCCTAAACTGTGTAAAATCCAACATGATCTGGCTGTTAGGACACAGCACAACGGCCGTATCCAGAACTGTATGTTTCCATTTACACCACGCCTCAAAAGCCAACCTTCATTTCCATGGAACGTCAACTGGAGCTATACTCTTTGCTTGCACTGATGTGTCCTTTCCTGAGACGGCGATGCCGCTTTTCAGCCTAAACGCCATTGAAACCCATCTAAACACCACCCCCTTAAAACTGTGCGTATTGCCCTGGACATGCAGTGTCTGTTTTCCACCAGCGTCGCTGTTCTTTGGATGCTGGTGGTAGTCAAAGATATTGGGTCGCAGCTTGACACAGTAAAAGCAGTTACCATGTCGATCTCCTCCAAAGCAGAAAGACCAGCCTTCCTCAGGTCTCCACAACACACTTTTTATTGGTAAACCGGCGGAGTGGGCTGACACCCATTCTAAAATAATCCTTATCTTAACTTACTTGCATACATGGAAATTACCATTTATCTCTGGTCCCAGGTTGAAAGTTATTTCTCCACGGATAGCTCTCAAAGGAAATATCAACTTAGCTTTTGCCTTGATTGTTGAGCCCCAAGCCGTGAGGTTTCCATTTCATCTCAGTACTTACACATGTTTAAGTCAAAAGATAATGTTTCTGACCTGCAACAACGGAGCATTTGCAATTAACTGACGGATCGGACCCCCTAATTGGACAGCGCGTCGGTCTCGGTGTATTTTCTTTGATTATCGTAGGAGAGCAATCGTTAGATCATTGATCAAGATTGCATCAAGAGCAACATAAAATATTGTTAATATTTCATTATTTGGTGAACTGTGGTATTTTTTTTTTTTCAGCCCATGAGGATTCATATAAGTGAAAGCTGTAACGAGTCTTTGAGAGGGACAGATTTTGAAACAGAGTTCCGTGGATTGACAGAACTTAAGGTTTAGTTTCCTACTGTACATTGTTTAGTTGCCTCTTCTTAATCGGTCGGGGTAGTAGAAACGTTTAACCACAAAACGCCACCGGCCCTTTTGTGTCTTTGTAATTGTAACCAGGAGCCATGATGGTCCCATTGTGGCTCTTTTTGTAACCCATTTGCACATTCGCAAAGAAGTTTCTTGAATGTTGGACTAAAGAACTTCAATGACGAAATTACCCAAGCAATGTTTTGTGCAATAAAACCTTGTCACAATGCGTAACACAAAATTTGTTTTTTTTAACAGGGAAGAGGGAAAACGAGAACCTACTGGCTGACAGGAAGAAAAACACGCAATCCAGCAGAAACTCCGCCGAAAGGATCAACGGATAATAACATGAATCTAAATAGCTCTTGACAGTAAATGACTTGGATGTGCCTAACTTTTAGCAAAGCTAAGTAAGAGCGATAGCTGATATGGGTGCAGATCCATAGCCATGTTTTTCCTGTTGCATGTTTCCTATTATATAACGAAAATAGGTTTGATACAATATAGGAAAGCCGAAATTCGTTTTTTTGTCGGGGTTACATAAGTTATGGTTTTTGTAATATATGCATTTGGCATCGTATTTATTATCTTTTAATTTAATCACTTTTTTAATGTGAAAAGACCGAAGAAATGTTATCGGTTATTATTTTAAGAGAAACATTGAGAAGTGTTCTACTGGTTATTTTATTGTTAGAATGTAAATACAGTGTAAATACAAAGGGCAAGTCTATTATGTACCTGAAGTAATTAGGTATAAGGTTGATACATTTTGAACAGTCCCGCTTAATAAACATTTGTTGGTGGTTTTATTCAAAGCCTTTCAAAATTGTGGGTGGGGGGAGGAATGCTTTTGTTTTGTGCTTGACATCCCAACCCCCAGTCGAAATAAACTTCAATAGATAAGAGAAGTGATGAAAACTAGACTCATTTTGCGAAATTATGGAATAGGTTGGCATTTCTAGATTGAGCAAGTTGAAAAACGCCCACTTACTGAGCCTGTTGGTGCAAACTGCTGAGGAGTTATAAGCACCGGATGTTGTATGGAGTCAACAGAGCAAAACGGTGCTTCCTTCCCACCAATGTACACTAACAAGCTGATTTTATCCAAGTGGACATTTTTCATCTTCCTCTTTCAGATCCGCTTCATGTGCCAACCAATCCCATAATTTCACATAACGTTTCTTTGTGACTTCACAATTCTCTACTCTTACGGAACACATGCTACCACACAAAATCAAATCAGAAATTCTGCTTCAGTTATCAATTGGCATGGGATAAGTAAACTTCCCACCGCGCGTAAAATACTGAAATGTTGAAGTTTCGAGCGCTGGCACTTAGTTCTTCGTTACATCAGTGGTGAAGACTGTCCCTCGATCCCTTAAAAACTCAGAGCAGTGGATGTCGATTGCGTAATTCTTCATGCATCGAGGACTTTGAATCAAAACTAAAAGTTATAGACAATTCTGGACACTTGTACATGTAATTTCCTTATAGCGGACCTTTTTTAGTATACGCTACTGCCTATTCAGTGTTCATTCTATGGTAATGAGGCTATTTTTTAATTGTAATTAGAAAACCGACCAACAACATTTTAAACGATGGGAAGTATAAGTTGGCGTTTTTGGGCCCTAGACTACAGCGCCGCTTTGCAGCCAGTGGTGGTACACGTAGACACTTCACAGCCTTGCTTTTTGGTACAAGCTCTTTGGATCAATAAAAACCCTTTCTCATTTACGCAGTTACGCGAAAATATGGTTTTTGAAACGACCGTGCCGTTAACACGAAGCGCCATGCAACGGCTTGCTTTGGGGCATTTTGTCATGGAGAGCTTTTTGTCGCACTCCTCAGGGGACTTACAGATTGGGCAAGTGGGGCATTCAAATGAGGAATCCTCTGGAGCCTTCTCAGCTGTCACTTTAGGGATCTCGTTTGTGTCTGCTCTGCAACCTGGTTTGTCGCACCATGTTACCAGGTAATGTCTCTTTCCATTGCATTCTCGCATTTTGTCACCAACATGTTTGCAACCTTTGGAGATGAGGTCCAGGAATGATTTGTTGACGCATTTTCGAGCAAAAATGTTTTTATCCTGTATTGCCATGCAAAATTCGGCCTTGGGGCAAGTGGTGTTGGTCAACGACGCATCGCAAGATTTTAGGGTAGAATTTTGACAAGTTGGACACCAGAAATCAGTTGCTGTTTTGCTTACTTTAGCTTTGCAACCTGATTGGGCACACCAAGAAACGTGGTATTTCCGCTTGCGACTACATGCCTTTTCATTGGAACTGACCTTCTTGCATCCTTTTGTGAAGAGTTCCAGCATTTTTTCGTTGACGCATTTTCGAGCAAAAATGTTTTTGTCCTGTATTGCCATGCAAAATTCGGCCTTAGGGCAAGTGGTGTTGGTCAACGACGCATCGCAAGATTTTAGGGTAGAATTTTGACAAGTTGGACACCAGAAATCACTTGCTGTTTTGCTTACTTTAGCTTTGCAACCTGATTGGGCACACCAAGAAACGTGGTATTTCCGCTTGCGACTGCATGCCTTTTCGTTGGAATTGACCTTCTTGCAACCTCTTGTGAAAAGTTCCAGCATTTTTTCGTTGACGCATTTCCGAACAAAAATGTTCTCATCCCACAAAGCCATGCAAAGTTCTGCTTTAGGACAAGTTGTGTTGGTCAACGATGAATCGCAGGTCTCTTGTGTGGTGTTTTGGCAAGTTGGGCACCAGTAATAGCGCTTCATCGGTTTGCCTAAAACGTAGAATAGTTGTCTTAAGTTAGTAACCACTTAGGTTTTGCTAATCAGCCGTATTTACATTGTAATATCATGCTGTGTATATAATTACATATCGGATAATTTGACTTTTAGTTGATGTCTCTGTGTTGCAATAATGTAGCCTGTCCCATGCTCTCAGTTAGTAGGGAGGTCACCAGGAAACAAGCCAAGCGAAAATAAGATGCAATTAATCTGGAGAGGGAAGCGGTGCCTTCTCTCTCCTCATGCTTTTTCTCTCGAATCAGTTTTCAAGATCTCTGCAAATTACTACCTTGGAGCATTAATTAGTGGAAAAGGATAACGTTAACCCTTTCAATCCCAGAAGTGACCAATGTCAAAATTCAACAAAACTTCCAAATGTCATTTTCTAAAATGCTGAAAAACAAATAGCACCTTTTAAAAGTACTGCCAAAAAGGATTTATTTGAATGGTCTCACCAAACTTTTTCGCCAACAGACTCAAAAGTTAGAACCACCGCACAAGACTCATTATGCATTCTGGGAGTTTAAGTCATTAACGTACAGTGAATTTTTTTCCTGGCCCCACTTTCTGCGGCCAACAGGAACACAGGGCTCCGGAATCATGGAAGTCAGGGTATTCTTATGAAAAAGAATATCATTATCGTCTTGTGGCTGAAAGGCCTTGGTCAGTTTTCGTTATCATGCTTTTAAGTTCCATTGCCTGAAACCTCAGTCACTTTCTCTTGTAAAAGTTTTTCCTTTTTGCGTTTCCGAATTTGACTAAAAGCGGTACAGCAATCGGCAATCATAAAGTGGGAGTAGGACGGGTAGGAAGACTTGAACAGTGGAACTTCGATGTAACGATCCTCTAAATAAGGAAGTCATAGGTATAACCAACGATTTTTTTACCCCAGGAGTACTACTGAGAATATATGGGAAAGAACCTCGATATAAGGAAACCTCGTTATAGCCAACAAATTTGGCCAGTCCCTTGACCCTTTTTTATACCGAGGTTCCACTGTAAGACCTGTAATGATCACATTCAGTTCATCCTTAAGAAAGACCCGGCGCTTTTTTCATTGGAAACGAAAGAACGAGATAGAAAAAAAAAATTACTTGGATCAAAATTCAAGGCCCACTGAAACAATGTCTGAATTAACACATTTTCAAGTGATTGTGCATAAAAAGGTTAAACTACTAAAAATTCTACAGTTTTACCCCGTTACTACTTCAGTTTTTATTAAAAGAGAGGTATTTACTTACGTTTTTCTAGACTTCTTTTAGCACTTACTGGTGACGTGTCAGTCCCAAAAATCAACGCCATAGCAGTAATTAGAAGGAAGGTGTAGAAAGACGTCATGTTTCAACCTGCCATTAAGAAATTGTAAATAAGTCAGAAATGAAATAATTCGTTACAAAACAACTAAAAACAAGAGGAACAAACAAAGAAAGAAAACCACTCTATTTAAAATGACGTCATTAGAAAAATTTTGTAATGCTCGTTACTCTTTAAATCCATTTCAGTTGCTTTGCGAATTTGCACATCTTGGAAGTGACAAATGATTTGAACTTGAACCTGAGGTGAAACTACTGAAAAACCCTGATTAACACAAGTTAACGGCGCCAAATATACCCAAGCTAACGTTTTCTTTTCCTCTTTATGTGTCTCAAAATTCTAACAAGTGCGGTCCTCTGCTAGCCCGCCCCCTAACCCTCCACCCCGCTTCTCCCCAAGGGCCTTTTTCTTACATAACAATGAAAGCCCTTATTAACCATGCATCTAACCTTAGACGTGTTTCGTCAAAGCGTTTCAGTTTACAGATCTGCCGCTGCAGACAAACGAGCCAGGATAACAACAAATTGAATGAATGCATAAATCAATATTTATCCAAATACGCTACTCTGCCGATAAGTGATAATTCATTTTTAAATGTTCCTGGGTTAGTTACCTCTTGAAATTAGAGAATTTGTTCTCTGTTAATGACGTTAATGGATGAGGATAAATAAGAATGACTGATATTAAATTTCTGCGATGAGCAACATTCCTAGCCTATTTCGTTAAAAGGGAATTACTTTGAACGCAAATTGGGCTGTTAGGTAGTTAAATATTTTCTTGGTTATAACTTCATCCCTCTCATAAAATACTTTCATCAGAGTATCAAAGATAACTGACGAAAGTGAACCAATTCCTTTCTGAATGACACGATCTTTAAATAGTCCGAGGCGTTGCGGCTACAAAATGAATGTCACCATCTATGATCATCTATTTCATCTGCAGGAACACACAATGCTACGCTGTTCGTGTCTTTGCTTGGGGGCTCACTGATAGAAAATTCGATGTCTTTAGGGCTTGGATGTCGTCCACAGTTATAGAAGCACATACTTATAATATCGATAAGAACTTGAAATAAGTCGAAACTCTAGTAACGTAAAATTGCGAAAAGTTTAGCGTACGTTTCGGCTTGTTCAAACTAAATAGCCTCTTAGCATGCCTTGCGACTTTTGCTGTGAAACAAAAAACTTCTCGAACGTTTCATCATTCACTTTGAAAAGATTAAAGATTTAATGATGATAGGGGGGAAATAACAAACAGTGAGAGCCAATGACAGAAAAGTTAACAAAACTTACTTATAAGATGTCGCCTTCTTTATTCCTCGTCCACTGCGAAAGATATGTCGGCAGTGTGTTTGAACTATTGAGCAGTGAGAGAAAACTTAAAGTTCGTCTTTTTGGAGATTGAAATGAAATGTAATCGCTTATTGGATAAAATCCAGGAACAACTTAAATTGTTTGTAGTAAGTTGACTCGTTTCATCATTCAATAACAAGTTAATTGGGCTAAAAGGTTTAAAAGTCTGGTTCCGTGAGCGACTGCGTGAACAAAAACTGAATTGTTTTAGAGGTATAACTTGAACCGTATAGCCGGATTGTTGCCTATCTCATGGAGTAACAGTGTGTTTCTTTCAAATACTGAGTTCAATTATACATGTTCTTGTAGAATAAATTTCAACTATCCACCTTTCAATAAGTCAGGGATAGGTCTGACCCGTATGGTCAAAACATAACTTTTTCCCACTCCTACTTACCATATTTGGCTGAAATCGGACTGACCGTAAGTTATGGGGCTGTCCTTAAGTTCGATTTCCTAGTTTTAGGGACAGGAACACCTACAGATCTTTTTTTCCCCCTCCTTTGTTTTGCTTGCTTTTTTTGTTGTTTTTTGTTTTTATCCAAACCCTGAGTTGTCTGTCAATGCCATTTAACTCTTGGGGATAACTCATGGGTGCTAAATGAATGCTGTATCCGCCACTTACGTCTTGTAGAAATTCAATCGCGTTACTCTGTATCTCGTTGACACTAGAAGAAAGAAAATGAATCGGGCGGATATCTCAAGTAAAGATGGTCCCTAGAGTGACTGAATCAGCTAGAGAGCCCACCTATCTAACCTTTTCATTTACTCTGATCGGAAGGGTTAACCAGCGCTTGTAATGGGAGTATATTTAATTGAATACCTTTACCTTTAAGCTGGGCACTTCAGTAACCTCCTATTACAGTCGGTAGTTTGTAGTAGAGAAGAATTTCAGTGACGTTAATGTTAATCTTGTCAGTATCTTGTTCTTATGGACGATCTCGTTATAGCCGATCTTTTGCGGCCAAACGTCTTTTCAGGAGAGAGCGTAATAAAGCCACAACAACAATAAACAAAACTGTAAAAAACGGGGTACAGTGTAACGGAACTTAACATCGAGGATCGTCGATGCAATCAATGCAACTAGACAAACAGATTCAAATATTCCGAAAAAAACTTACGAGAGTCCTTAATAAAGTAAAAGAAAAAATGGCAAGTGAACAGGCTAACCTTCTGGCAGTGTTATATTTGATTAGCCTTTTAGTGTCAGATCAGGGTGGTCTGCACCATGTGACCCACAATTCTAAAGGTACCGTGTTTGATTGCGCTCCGCTTCCACCACTAGCTGGATTCTAGGTAGCCTGTTCCAGGACATCGGATATTGGAGTTGGGGCGCGAAGTAAGAGAGAAAAAAATATGAAGGAATCTCTTTGCGCTGTCCCCACGATCTGAACGCCGGGAACAGACTAGACTCTAGGAGGCTTAAGCACTAGGAAGCCATTTAACTATCTTCGTTATTTTTCCCTAAAAAATTGATGGGTTTATTTCAACTCTCCTAAAGGTTAATGTCAAATTTAGGTGTATTCATCTTGGAGTGGTTTACCGATTCACCAGACACATCCCATTGGGGACTGTAACCGTGGCAGTCGTGCGCTTAGAGTCAGTAACGGCAAAAAATGCAAAAAGATCAGAGTCTGATGCCACAAAGGCAGAGTTTTTTTTGCTTGAACCAACTGACTTGTTTGAAGTCTTTGTTACGGTCGTTGTTGTCTCTACTGAGAGTCCTACTTGGTTCATTTTTATCAATAGCCTACTAGTTGCCTCCTGCCACTTGGAATGGCTTGTATATGTTCAAGTTTGGTTACATAACGTAAACTAGCCGGAAAATCCAAGCGCTCTTTCGCCTAGGCCCTTGCAATCCCCGGGATGCAATTTCACTCCTGGCCTTTTTTTTTTTTCACAGACAGTTGTGGAAGTTGAGATTGCCTCCTCGGTGCTCTCATTTCTTTATTGCTTCATCAGTGTCTAGTCGTCTGTATCTTTGCAATCATTTTGTCACTGATGTTTAAGAGTTGACGAACATTTAAAACACAGCGAGATAAAAGAGCACTTTGTTGTAACACATTCTGGACTTTGGATTTGCACGTGCACTTATGAGAAGATAATTCTACCCGCCGGAACTTTATAGTTTGGCTCATGTCATGATCTAGAATTTTCTGCACAGCAGGGATTAAGTTAATCAAGCCACATATTACAGAAACGGTTGTTTTCTGACGCTAAAACTTACATACATACGTATTTATTAACGTTAACATGAGAATTACTTTTTTCTCCGGATTACAAACCTGCCTCATGCTGAATTTGGTAAATTCTACAATTTTATATGGAAAATGGCTTCTTTCAGACAATTTGGTAAAGCCCATTTAACCCTTTGCCAGTCAGCCAATTTCTTTTTTTTGGGAAAAATATCGCATTTTGGACCAAATCCTTCTTTTTGAACCATGGCTTAAAAAGAGATTTCCAACACTCAGGGCCCAGTCAGGTTCGAAGGCCGATTAGCGAACCCGTGCTTTTGAGTTAAAACTCAATAGCAGCTCGGATGCCGTATATACGAGCCAAATTCAAAAACTGAAGTAGCTGATTAACTTAAGCAATTTGTGCAATTTTCAGCTCTTTGCAAGCAATATTGAAGGAAATATCAGCCATCGAATACTGCCAAATTCCTGGGAGTAAAGAGTTAATGAGCTATACATTCCTTGTAAAATTCTGAAATTTTAAAAGCTAATTTGTCCGAAACCATTCGTTATATCGGGCTCGAGTTTTCCGAGATTACTAATATTGCTATGCTTATAAATATTCAGAGAGAGTATTTTAATGACCGGTATTTTGATTGCTCTATAAGAAAATGAAAAGCATATGCAAGAGGAAAAAAAACGTAAAGAAAGATTCGCCTAATTGTGATGACCCCCACCGTGAGAAGTTTCGAAGAAGAAGTTTCCGGTCAGTTTCCTTTGAAACAAGGTGTTCCTCCAGGTTGTTTTTCAGTATCTACACGCGCAAACTGTTTCAGATAGTTGAACGCCACCTCCCACAAGTCCACTGCTACTCGGATGATACACATTTGTATGTATCATTCAGCACTAATCGATCTGCGGATGCTGATATTGCCAGCAAGTCAATGACTGACTGCATCAGTAATATTAGGAGTTGGATGACTTCAGATAATCTTATGTTAAACGATAATCGATAAAACAGAATCTTTAATTATAGGTACTAGGCAGCAGCTGGCAAAGGTTAACAACAATTGCATTAGGGCTGGGTCGACTAATGTTTGTCCTATAACAGTAGCTAGAAACCTAGGCCGGCTCAAGGTTTGATGAGCGGCTCACTGTTACAACTCATATTAGCAAGTTATGTGGTGTTGCCTTTTACCATTTGCATAATGTCTCGAGAATCAACGGAAATGCTTGTCCATGCATTTATTACATCTCGTGTTGATTGTTGTAACAGTCTGTTGTATGGGCTGCCCAACAACCAGCTTAACAAATTGCAGAGAGTTTTGAACGCCTCAGCAAGGCTAGTTTGTAATGCGCCTGGGTTTTGCCACGTCTCACTCCTTCTGCGTGGTCTGCATTGGCTACCTGTTAAAGCCAGAGGATGCAATTTAACATACTGCTTATAGCAATTCACGGCCTTGCCCCTAAATATCTATGCGATTTACTAACATTTAAATCGTCTTTATATAACCTTAGATCTTCAGGTAGTATTTTACTTTCTATGCCAGCTGTTCGATTGAAGACCACGTTAGGTGACAGAGCTTTTATGGTAGCAGCGCCAACGCTCTGGGACTCTCTTCCTAAAGAACTTCCTGCGATCTAATGTGCACAGTTTTAAGGCGCATATTAAGACTTATCTTTTTAGAACTGTATATTGGTGATCAATTTTATATTCAGTTTCTTACTTGCATGCATATATATTCTTTTTATTATTATTTTTTTAAATGCATTATCTTTTGTAAGTCAGATGCAGTTGTAATGCCAGGGGCACCCAACGACCGTTTTCTGGGAAATATCTGTTCGGAGCCCTCTAGAATGGCTAAAATTTTCGAAAGCCCAAGAACAGCTAAAAATTTCGAAAAAGTTTCGTGGTGACTGGTTGTTGGGCTCCGATTTTCGGGATTTGTGTGGTTTGTTCACCTAAGAATTTCGGATTTTGTAGTAATCTCTAGATTCTGATTTAAGAACCTAGAAATTTCGTAGCTTTCGTAAACTAAGAATAGTAAAAAACCCTGCTAATCAGTCAGTGCCATGCCGTATTTCAGATTTTTCAGTAAGTGCCGTGCGAATTGAGTTCGGCAGGGTACAAGATGTTTGAAACTGGCATTAAAATCACTTACATGCCTTTTGTATTGTCCTTATTTTTGTTCTTCTTATTTTTTATTATAGTTATTCTTATTATTACACCTAGAATTTTCTATACATTCTACGTCGCCCTAGAAAATTCGAAGACATTCCCACAAGAGATAGAGTTTTCGGAAAAAAATTGAAAGGACCCCTAAAAATTTCGGCTAAGGGAAAAGCTCGTCTGGTAATCTTACGTTTTCGGAAAGCTTTCACTGTAGGCTGTTATTTTCGGGAAAGGCGAAAAACAGCCCTAAAAAATTCGAGAGGTTCAAACCACTCCTAGGACGACCGAACAGATCAAATTTTTTTAGCGATGCGAATTATTGATTTATATCGCTTTTAAAGCACTCCAGGATGCATAACGAGCCATTTCAGGTCATTTCCCAGAAAACGGTCGTTAGGTGCCCCTGTAATGCGCAGCTGATCATTCTCATGCTACTGGTTGCGCACAATAATTTCATAAATTATTATTATTATTATTATTATTATTAGAAGCTGATCAGAAAATGTCAATAAACTGTCATTAAAAAAAATTGTTTTTAGCATTTTCACATTCATAGTGAAGTGCACATAACCATTTGATGTGCATTCCGTAATAAAATGCATCTGTTATCTGGTGGCGCGCGAGCGTGTTATTTTTTTTGTGTGTTTTGTTTTATTTTTATTTGTTTTGGAATAATAAAACAAAAGGGATTTACTTGAGGCTGGGGGATGAATGATGTGTTTCTTTTGTTTTACCACAGCAATGCACTCTATTCGCGGGCTGAAAGTGTTCATTGGAGGGCACTGGGCACAAAGGAATGACAGCGGTATTGTCAAGTAATGTCAGCGGTGTTGCTAGTAAACAAACATGGCGGCCGTAGAGGATGTAACTGCGAACCTTCCTTCGCTCCAGTTTGAAGCTGCCCTAACACACCAGGAGAAGTATGCTTTATTTCGTAAGACTGCATGCTACTTTCTCAAGACTTTGTTTGAGCTAGTTGTCTTGATTTTGTTCGTAGGGAGCTGTTGTACTTGCGAGGGAGAAGTCATGCTTTGACCGTTTCTGCGTGTGCCCAAGCGTAAGTCTCCTTATATCAGCTGAGTTTAGGGCTGGTTTCCATACGATGGCAACGATAGATGCAATCGCTAGGTTTGCTGAGAAACAACGTTAGGCGATCAAGTGCGGCTTGGTGGCTCGGTGGTCACTGATGAGCCACTGAGCCACCGGGCCAGCCATTAAAACATAATAGTCCTTTCTCGTACAGTGTGTTTTGAGACTTTAACCTCTACTGGCGAGCCATCGAGCCGCCGAGCCACAAAAATATATACCTTTCTCGTTCTTTAAGACGCTAACTTCCACTGATGAGCCATCGAGCCACTAAAAGATACGCACGCTGTGGCTATATGGTCAGTAACCGGTCAAGGTTTTCAAAACACTACATGACCGGCACTCCTATATATTCTCAGTAAATTTCACAAATCGAAAAAACAAGCTAATCTAAGCTATCATATATCGATAAAGAAAAGTCAAGCGATCCTGTTCCAATGCTTTGCTCAAGTTTAGTGTTTGGTTTACACTGGACTCAGAAAACGAAACCATGTTTTGTGACACTTAGAGATCTATAATGCATTTCAGGATATCTTGACTTTTCTTAATCAACATATGATAGTTTAGATTAGCCGTTTTTTCGATTTGTGAAATTTACTGAGAATATAGGACTGCCAGTCATGTAGTTTTTGAAAAAAAAAAAATAGTGGTCGATGAATGATTTAGTGCATGGATTTTATAGTAAAAGAAAATCTATCCAGCTGCAGAAAATCTTACCTGCTTGGGTAGCGAATCACAACACATGTTCCTCTTCATCTTGCTTGCTGGCTGGGCCAGCAATAATTGTAATGGAAGTAAATAAAAACGGAACTAAGGTCACACAGTATTTGTTTGTGAGAAATAATACACGTACATGGAAGTACTGTATGCAAATTAATTACTGACTATTGAACCAAAAGCATAATACAAACAATCTTGCTTGTGCAAAGAAAAGAGGAAAGATTCTGGCTCAGCCCTAACCATTTATTATTCAAAAGTGCTTTTTTTGACTAAAAAGAATAATATTTATTTATTTGTTGCAGGGCATTTTTGGTAGCTGTTTTAAATGATGCAAGACAGAAAATTGTGGAGATTAAGTTTCCAGTAAAAAAGCGGGTAAAGCATCTGCAATTGTAATATTGTTCCTCTAATTATTGTGCTTATGCAGAAGATATTTGATTTTATATTTTTTTTTATAGGAAATAGCAAATGGTAACATGGCAAGAATATAAGTAGAGTTCTTTCTTTTGCTGTAGGATGTTTCTTTTTTAACTTGGCTGACATTAGTTTTTGTGTTCTGCATCAATATAAAATTTATAGTATCTTGGGCGCTTTCGGCTTTTTTTGTCAGAACTGACTGGCCAGACCATTCCTGTTGTATGAGAATTTCACTTTAAATCATAACTATTCAGGCAGTTCAGCCAAATCCTAAATACAGCAGTCTGCAAGAAGGTGATGGTTTTTCAATTAAAACTCTTGGACAGCGCCTATTAAATTTTTAAACGGATTTGCCCTGGCTGGCAATGGTATGGCCAGCAAGTTGTGACAAATGGAAAGTGCCTATAGGAATTATTAGGTCTCACATGATCAACAATTCAATTTTTGATAAGTGAATTTTTCTTAATGATACAAACTGGTTTTAAAGAAGAAAAGCACTGTGATGTATATTAACTGAAAAAAAATAATAGTAACAAAGATAAAACTTGAAATAACATTAATAATGAATATGCTAAGAGTCATTGGAAATGTGGACAATGGAATGGTGCAGAGAGGTTGCAGTGTTAAACAACTGTTGATTATTAAATAATTGCACTTCTTCTACACTTGCCAACACAATGAATGCGTCTTCCATTTTTTGCTTGATTCCGAAAGTTAGTTAATGTTTGTTTGTAGTCATCCAAGCTTTTACAAGAGGCACCTAAGAGAGATCCCCTGTTGGTAGGAATCATTGGTTGTGGCCGTTTGGGAAAACAGCTTGCAAATACCCTGCTAACTTTCTGTGAGTAAGCTCAACAACACTCAGGACTTGATTATATCTACACTGTAGAAGTTAAAAGTGTACAAAAGTCTATTTACTTGCTTGTTCCTATAACCAGTGAATACAGCCTTCTCTCCTGACACCTTGCTGCTTGAGACGTTTCACAGGAGAGGCATTCTGTGATTTATCCCCAAAAATGCAATCTGTCTGGAAAAGGGTCAGCGGTCAGTGCTAAATGTAATGAATCTTCTCAACAACAGTCATTTGTCATGGAGAACTGCTGTATTTGCATGAGGATCAGTTCTATACAGCTCTACCTTTCTCAGCTTCTATTGCTGTTGGCCAGAACCTCTTCAGAACCTCTAATTTGATAGGTCCTTGTTGGCCCGAAGCTCTATTGTTTCAGAGTTGGGGTTCATTGTTAGTTTTGTTTTGGTTAGGGCTATTTATTGTTTTCTAAACCAATCCTGTGAACTGTTCTTAGAGCGTCCGACCCACCCTTCAGTTGTACCATTTAGAGGTAGCTTGGCCAAGTGTTCAGAGTACTGGACATGCAATCAGGTGGCAGCAAGTTAATTCCTGATCTGACCTGAACTGAATTTGTTTCTTTTTTGGTATATTCCTGAGCTCAATTCCTCAGTCTCACTATTATTATAAAATTGTTGTCGTTGTTTATGGAAATGGTCAACTCAAAAGCCACTGGCATCTGTACATGTAATGCATGTACCTATGTGGTCATAGATTAATTACTTTCTTTCTAAACATTGTCTTGGTTAGTTCATGAACCGTGTAGTGTGCGGTACATGTAACAAAAAGTGAGTTGAAATTTGGCCAAAGTGATAATTCATTTACAACATATTCTCATTGAGTATAGAGTTTCTGATAAAACAAACTTGAATAGGATTGTGAATTAACTTGATTAATTGATTTATAAGATTATTATTAGATGTTAAAGTAGAATCCTGAATTGGAAGCATGGGGCTCATATGGGGCCCAGGCTCCTGTCGGGATCAGTTTAAGTAGACAGAACATTAGAGAAAAGACGCAAAATAAATTTAGAAATTAACTGTAGTTTGCTTTCCGTATTATATTATTCAATTCACAGTGGACATACAGCAAATTGCTGTAGCTCAAAATATCTAAAATTCGTAACTGTTCATAAGTAGGATGGCTGAAAAGTGTGCATATTATTATATTGTTAATACTATGTTCCTCTTGTGCTAGTTTTGCTTTGAACGTTTCAGCGGATGTTCACCCTGAAGAGTTATTTCTGTCAACAAGGAGGCCTGAAACATTGTCCTCTTTACAGGCAAAAGGAGTCCACTGTGGTTTTGATAACATCAAGGTCTGTAGCTATTGTTGAGGGAAATTAGGTACCACTTAGTAAGTGAGAGTGAGGTCATTAGTGGGAAATCTCAGACAGAGGCCGTGTGGTCTCTAATCACCAAACGAACAAAGGTTAATGAGTTATAATATTATATGACCTTTTCATTTTGAACCAGAGCCTGCGATCAATAATTTAAAACCAATAACTGGTCACCAGATAACTTAAAAAAAACACGTCACGTCAATGAGTCGTACACTTGAGCCCACAATATAGTCATGTGACACTGGTCAGCGGATACCCTTTTTGATAGCTGTCAATTGATCATAACATGGATGTCCATTAGGATGTCCATTATCAAGTTCACCACAGATGGTATATGCCTTGGACACCTACATTTACATGTAGCTACTGTAGTAATGCCCGGTCATTACAAAAAAATAATGCCCGCGGCAGCCAATCAGAGCACGCGTACTGTTATAGCCATTAAGTCTGTCTTTACATCACTTTGTTTGCTAATCATCAGTTATAGGCCTCTTCCATTAGTTGATCAATGACATGTGATCAGCTTTCGGTAAAACGAAAACAGTTCCCTTTTGAAAAATTTTGTTAGCTCGAGCTGAAAGAGCATATTAAAATTAGGTAACCTGTCAATTTTCAGCCGTATATCTCAAAAGTAGCGAATGGAACGGCCGCCAAAAATTAGAAGGATTTGTATGAGAAAAACAGCTTTTGCCACCCAGTCACTCTTGAATGGTTTTCCATACAAATCCTTGTAAATTTCGAAATTCCAGACTGTCGTGAAATATTTCCTTAAGCGTTTACGAGCTTCAAATCTCCTTTTACTTTATAACAGGCAATTTGAACACTTAAATGCGTAAGAGAAAGATTTAACGACAGTTTAAAAATTTCAGAATTTAAAAGGACTTCTTGGAAAACCACTCAAGAGTGACTGGGTGGCTAGAGTTGTTTTCCTCATACAAAGCCTTCTAATTTTCGGCGGCCGTTGCAATCGCTACTTTTGAGATGTACGCCTGAAAATTTTCGGGTTACCTAATTTTAATATACTCTTTCAGCTCGTGCTAACAAAATTTTTCAAAAGCGCACTGTTTTCGTGTTTACCGAAAGTTGATCACGTGATCAACTAATGCGAAAGGCCTATTTAGGCCCCGAAACCGACATTTCGGAACAGTGTATCAGCTAGTAAAGGGTTATTTTATTTTCATTTATTTTTATCGATAAACTTTCTTTTTTTCAGTGTAAAAGTATTAGGATGTGTCCTGTTAATCATATTCAGGAATAAGAATATGAAAGTTTTATGCAAGTCTGGTGCCGTGATTTTTAGACCGCTTGAACGGTACATACTTGTACATTGCCTTTTTTATACATATATCAAGCAGATTTCTAGATATTGCAATGCAATGAACGCCAAAATAAGTGATTACTATAGTTTATTTCATTTATTCTTATTCAGTAAAAGGGTCAATTGAACAAACCCCTTAAGATCTTCAAGACCTTTAGTTAATCTAATACAATGTAGCATTCTAATTGATAGATTTGTCATTACGTGGCCCTCTTTCAGGTGTGCAGTACGGTACACATCCTTTTTATCTGCTGTCTGCCCTCTCAGTTACCAACAGTGGCCAAGGTATGTTCAAATTGCTATTTATCGCCCTGAAAGAAGGCATTCACAGATGTTTCGTTTAAGGGCCAGTGGCTTTACTTTAGAAAGAGAATAATACATAGTGTTAAGCGTTTTGATGTCACTCAAGCAGGTTGAACTATTAAACTAGAGCAGTTAATGAAGATTTCCTGTTTCTTATTGCGGGAAAAAGCTGATCTTGTTAAACTTCCAAGTAAAGAAGATGGAGTAATATTAAATTAAACATAAAAGAAGAATGAAATGAAAGGGAATTAAAGCAGATCTTTTCATTATTGCTTTCTGTACATGCTTGTACAAGTTTGTTGATAACATTCGCTGTAAAGTACCAGTTTGGAAATAGCCTGTTCACAGACCCTCTTTTTTCTCGTCAAAGTCCTTCGAGCTAGCCTGCGAACAGCAGACGCATTTCCGGTCGTCGCTTCTCTCCCTGACCGGAAATGCGTCTGCTGTTCGCAGGCTACCGTAGAGCGAGCCGTGATAAAAAGTAAAAACCGCGGGGGATTTATTGACCGCCAGCGCAAGGGGGGTAGTGGTGGGAGAAAAAGAAAATATATTTCTTTCTCGCGCGCTCGCGAATGTTTTCGAAAAGAACAAAAAGAAAAATAAAGCAACGTCTGTGTACATCCTAGTTTGGAAATAGACTGAATTGTTTCTTTTTTGGTAAGCAGTGACAGGTACAAAAGAGAAAAAAAAAAAAAGAAGAAGAAATAAAGGAGAAAGAAATATGACATAGAATATCAAAAACCATTCAACACACCCATCTCATGCGCGTTTTGATACACCCTTTTTTAAAGCGCGCACATTCAAAAAAGGTGCAGCTCTCTGGACTGCGAGTGTCGCTTGCCTTTAAACTGTAAAATAAGTCTAGTACCTCGGCTTACCTGTAACTCATGGGTCTGGTGTGGCGTGACATTTAGTGTAATAGTTTCGTTTTTTTCTTTCCCCCCTAGGAAATCAAGGGACACTTAACCTGTCCAGTATATGTTTTAGTTGGAGGTTTGTGCATTGATTTTCCAACTTAATTGCACAAGGCTGGCAGGGAAGCTAGGCAGGGAGGCTTCATATAATGATCTAAATTAATCTAGTAATTCACACAAATACACTTTTAAGACAGTGACAAAAAATAAATCGAGACCTTAAACATTCCGCATTCTTTCACTGAACAGTTCTTACTGACTTAAAGTCAATGTAATTACTCGTATTTTTAAACCAGGGACTCCGCTATCGAGAATCCGTCAGTTACTCGAATACGACCAGATTATTAAACCTGAATTTGTATCCTTTACAAGTATCATCATGTTGTTCCTTTTTCTTAACCCTTTAAGCCTCATTAGTGACCAACATCAATTTTCCCCTAACAATATCAATGCATTATCAAGAGAAAAAGGTGTGAGAATTAATAAAATGATCACCAAAGGAAAAATGATTTGATCTTTTATCAAATTCTTCTAACTAATTCTTTAAGGAAATGTATGGAGATCAGTATGGAGAATTTGTATGTTGATAAAAATGCTTTGATCTTTTATCAAATTCTTATAACCAATTCTTTAAGGAAATGTATGGAGATCACTATGGAGAATTTGCATGTTGATATTGGGACTTAAAGGTTTAAAGGGGCTATGTCAATAGGATATTGCTGTTTTAGGTCAATGTTGTGCTGAAAATAATATTACTTAGTTCCTTTACCCATATACAAAATGCCCTTGTACTGTACAGTTATAAAGCAGATAAAAAGATCTCTACTTTCCCCTGCCCCAAGAGTCTGTGCGGACTACTTTCCACTACCCACAGCGTCCGTACGGACGTACGGTGACGTCATAACCAAATTTTCTTACCCATGGTGCTCTGCTGGCGCGAGGGAGCTCCGCTATTAAATAAAGTTTACTTACGAGCAATAACGTAACCATGATAATAACTTTGCCGTCTGTAGCCACAGACGAGTTTAAACTGTTTCAATGCCTAAATTTATTGTTATTAAAATGACAAAACTTGGCTATAGTTTTAGGAATTCAATTGATGCGAAGACACGTTCTATCTTTTTAAAAAGATTGTAAAGAGCGTGGTGTAGTTCTTTTTAGGGCCTCTTAACATGAGCCCGTTTACTGGGATGAATTTCGCCTTGGGTTCATTTGAGAAATTTCAGCGCGGTTTCCGAGATGAGAAAAGGCTAAAGATCCTTGGGACGAGTTCTGGCGCCAAATTCGAGAAACAAAGCAAACATGACGAAACACAAAAAATTTAACTCTTGCGCCGTTCATAGCTTCGGCAACTGTTAGAGCTGGATCACTGCTGTTAAATGGGATGCTTATGATGTGGAAAATACGGCAGGCAACGCAAGACGATGCCATCCGGACCTCCAGAATTCATCCCACTTTCATCCCGAGAGTTAAGTCGAGATCTCGGAAACCGGGCTCATGTGAAGAGGCCTTAAAGTGCCAATAGACCGCAAAGATAATTCATTGTGATTGTCAACTAAGGTACTCAGCAAGGTAGTTTCACTACTAAATTGTCGCGCAAATTTCGAGTTAAGAAGTACAGTGAGGTTTAACATTTTTTTTTATCATAGTGCTTGTATAAATTGTCATTTGCCTTAACTACATTTAAGTCTTGGAAAATCCCAGACCCAGCAGACAAGTCTGGTAACGACTGGAACATTGGTAAAGAAGTGAGTGAAATCCTCAGTTTTCTGATATTTAATACACTAAAGCCAGTCGAGTCAGGCAGTGTGGGGACGCTTCATGATGTCTCCCTTTTTTAGTCGGGCCTAGGGCCTAGACCGGGGACAGTACACAGCTCCTTAGAACCTCTTATTTCATTGGTTCTCCATAACACGCAGCTCCATTGTTTTAGGGACAGAGTCATTGCTATATTTGTCTGTTGTTTTCACAGCCAATCATGTGAGTTCTTGTAAAGACCTAGACCGACTTTTACTCGCCGTTCACTCGTATCCGTTTTTGTTTGAAAACGGAGATTTTTTTCCTCCGGTTTGGCTTACCGTCCACTTGTATTCGGTGAAAGCGGTCACCGAAAACTCATCTTTTAAAAAACTCTCTCTCTAGAGTGAAGATTTTTGAGAGCGCCGTTTTGCTGTACTAGTGTGGGTGGAAGAAAACGGTGGTTTATGGAAACGATTACGTGACGGTGTTAGATCCAGCTCAGATACCAGCTGAGTAAATGCTCATGCTTCCGTCAAAAATGGTATCGTTTTCACACACTATTGCGTTTTCGTACGAATGCGGATTGTTTTTTTTTGAAAACGTTATCTCCGTTTTTAGCGAAACAAAAACGAGTACGTGGGATCACGGCCGTTAATTTAACACGAGACTCAATTTTACAGTGACGAAGAAAATGCCCGTCCATCATGTTCAATAAAATAATTAACAATTAATGAATGCGGCTTTCGTAGGATATGAAGAATTAAGCAGATCGAGGAGGGTGCTATCGACTTCCGCCTTTGACCTCGGTGGATAACACCCTCCGAGATCTGCTTAATTCTTCATATCCTACGAAAGCCGAATTCATTAATTGCTTTATTATTCATTCAAAATAGTTCCTAGTTTAAAAACATAGCTAAAACATGCTTACCTGCATCGATGTTAAGTTTATCTTCGATAGTGTACGGTGAGATTTGTCCAGCTCCGTAAATATTCTCCAAATAGCAGATGCCGCCCTCCGAGTTGTCTTCTTGCTGTTTTTATGTTTTTAGCCATTATTTCGCCTAGTTCCAGCTGTAGTTCTTACTCTTGAAACGATTGACGTGTCCGCCATTTTAGCTTTCACAACGAAAACAACTCAACCTCGTTCCCAGGTCTTCTCGGTTAACGGTGCATTAACCTGTAGGGGACTGCATTTTTGACGTCATTTTCTCGTTAAACACAAAATTCTTCCAAATTTGGTCATCATTAACTGGTTATGGTGAATTATGCGTGTGCTTTTAGCCAATCAGAATTGGGGAAATATTTTGCATGAATAATAACGTTACTTAAAGAATTCTAAAGCGCATTCGGCACCATTTTTAAGCGCTTCCTTAATATCGACAGAACAACTTATATCCTATAGCCTCTTGTTCTTCTCCATTGCACACTAACAATTTGATAGGCTGAGAAAACAGCCGACTTTTCGCGCCGCCACCGGTGGTTGGCCCGCAAAATGACGTTTAAGAACATGCCTTGAGTAGTGGCACGTCATGTATGGAATTTCCGCGTTCGTTTTTCTAACGTCATTTCGCTGGAAAACCACCTGTGGCGTCGGGAAGTGTCGGCTGTTCTCTCAGGCTAACAAACTGAAAGTCTTGCACTGCCTTTTGATCTTAGAGTTTTTTGTCCTAGATAAACGAAATCCTTCGCGAAGATCCTTTGAGTTGTGACGTCACATGTCCGCTGAACCTGAACAAAGAAAGTAAGTTGCCAAGAGTTATTTACAGTTGATTTTATAATTTAGCAATTGTTTCGTTTTTCATTACGCTTTTTGTTCGCTAAACGAAAGAGAGTTAGTCTCACGCCGGCGACGGCAACGAAAACGTAAAAAGAGTGGATCAATTTAGGTTTCTGTTAAACTGCCAACCTACCCCTCCCCTAAGCCATCATTTTGCCCTACATGAGAAGTAAGTGTTAATGTTAGCTTAGCGGAGGAGTAGTTGGGCAGTTTCCCAAAAACCTAGATTGATCCAAAAGAGCAATAGTTTGAGGCCCCGTTTACACGGGTCCGGACAAATTTTTGAACGGACAAAACCTTGCGCATATCCGCCTTTTGTTTACTGTAGGTTGACCGATTAAACCATTATGCGATCGAATGCGTCGCCCTTCGGGCGACGTTCGTTTTCACCAAGCATTAGGTAATATTTACCGGATTTGTAACACGATCGCATGGCGATTTGATTAGTAATGGTCTAGATATTTTCTGGAACTACATAATAGTACTTGGCTATTCACCTCCGAGCTAGCCAATCGGCATGCGCGAAAAGTACTCATATGCCTCCTTAGTACCTGTGCTAACATAGAGGGTGGCTCTCTCCAAAATGTTCTACAATTGGTATAGGTTTTAATGGAGCCAAAACCAATTGTGGAATTGCACAGATTTAGTCATCAAACTGGAGAACAGTTACGACTAATAGTTATTTCGAGCAACAACAATTTCCAGTCTCTCCCCTTTGAAACACTTGCGTAGTACAATACTAACTGGCGTATTTAGTCTAGCGCGCTTAGCACAGGCCCCATAAGATTTTGTTTATCTCTTGCTTAGTACTGAAGCCAGGTCAATAATTTCTTTTTTACAGCTGCTGTTGTGCAAACGGGAGAGGAATGGGCCGAGCTGGCAGTGCTTACTTTCCTTAACATGTGTACTGACAAAGAACTGGGCAAAGGGGAAGCAGTAAGGTACAGTTTCACTACCGCAATAAGTTAAGGCTTGGAGGCGGAGTGAGAATCGGAGTCGTAATCAGATACTGAACCAATCGCAAATCGTGGGAACGAGCATTGTGAGTGGCTGATCCTTCCGCTTCTGCTTTAGCCTGAGTAGCTGGCGGTTTTGTTTGTTGAGCTCGCAAATGAGCGGTGAAGGCTCGAAGAGAATGGGCGGAAACAAGGAGGAATCCTAGCGCTCGCTGCGCCTGCGTTCTCGCAGACTCTAAAACCAAACAAAACGCCAGCTACGCAGGCCGTTACTTCTACTTCCGACCGTGACAATCTGGTTTTAACATGATCGTCAGCGATGGAGTCATATAGCGGGCTCGGAAGAAAATGGAAACTTGCTGACTCTGCTTACTCCGATTTCGCCGCGTTTATCATGGCAATCAGGGTAGACTGATTTTTGATTCTTCCTCATCGTGTTTTCTCCCATCAAACTGGTTCGTTCGAGTGCAAGCATTAATTTATTGATAAACTGATGGTCATAACCGATCCTGCTGTAGGAAGCGCACGGCTATTAGACCTGGTTGGAAACTATATCCTAGCAACATGCCGCTCATGTTCAACAAAGATCTTACTCAATTGATGCCAATCTCGTCCTCAGAGCCTGCGTTACCCTTATCCCGTAGAACGGACAATGTAAGTTTTCCTTGGTGCTGATCAAAAGGATCGCAGCCTCTGGGAACGAGATTGCAATTGATGCCGTCTTTTTCTTTATAGCAAGCGAAAGAAAGGCTCTGCTGGCAGGGTCTATCACAAAGGGAATGATAAAAAAAGTTACAAGTAAAAGTAATTCATTATTATTTTATTCATAGCTTAGGGTTATGTTCGCCATCTGAACGATCGTAGCGATCGTAACGTTGACAACCAGGCAAAATGATGACAAAACGAACTTGTTTTTCTTTCCCACAGCTTGTGTAACACAATTATGTTCGGCGTGGGTCCTGCTGATGATCCTCGTGATGGTGTATTGCTAGATGAGGTAATCCAAGAAGAGAGAAAATTAGCAGTATCAAGTGATCCCGTGGATAAACAGTAAGACATCGCTCTACCTCTAAAGCAGACGCAATTGGCTGAGGGTTATTTATGCTGTATCAAGTGCAGTTACAATATCTTTACCTTGTTAGCGGTCTGATTGGTTGATCACTCTGACATAAAGTATCCCGGGTAACAGAGACTTTCCATGCGTGGTTTCCGGTTTCGGTCAGTTCTTGATATCGCAGCGGTCGAAGATGTGCCGGCGTAAAGCCGACGCCGAGACATTCTGCTGCGCACGAGAGGTACCCAAGGTATGAAATAGAAAGAAACGGAAAAACTGCTTACCCTGCCCAGTTTTGCGCAAAGTTAGTGGTCAAACGTGAGTACAAAAGCGACGGTCCGTCTATACATGTTTAAGTTTTCCATCCCAAAATTTCTGTGAAAAATGCATTTGCTAATTGCTAACTTGGTAGCTAACTTGAAATGAAAATCGCTTGTTTAAGCTCCCAAATTTTCAACGAGAGCGTTTTGCACGCTCAATATGTCGGTGCATACATCTGCTCCAGCCATTTTTTTTCCACTGGAGTCCTGTTATTCCCATGAAATTAGGAAGCTTGATCAATGACGGCGGCGACGCAAATTTCCCCGTCGTAAACGGCCGCTGCCAGTTGTTGAGTGTTTCTGTTAAAAAGAAATAAAATAGCAGTCTAGGGTCGAACCCGGACATTTCTATTCTAATCTCTCTCCCTAACCATAAAAAATCACACTACCACACTGACCCTCCAAAATTCCAATCGATCGGTCTGTTGTCACAGTTAAACAGTCGTTTATTGTTAGTCAAATTTTAGTTTTAAATCTTTCAAAATAGGATCCGAGTGAGCATCAAAAGTTGAGTTAGAGATAATTCTGACGACTCGCTTTTGTTTTTGTTTTGCACTTTTATCACGCGTTTTTGTACACTTCTTTGCTGTTGTTTCACGATTTCTTGTTTTATGGAAGACGTCAACGCAAGACAACAATTTTCTATTTTTTTCTGAACTTAGACACAGTCCTTAAGAATCAGCTCCAGAAAAATTCCCCAACACTTGACAAGTTGAATGAAAAAGAATGAGAGTTATGAAGTTTGGGGCAGAGCGAATTCAATTTTCAAGTGACGTTTTCTTTTCGTCTTCTTTTCTTGTTTTGAGTCAAGATTGATGATGATAAGCCCTTCTTTCCATTTAAGTTTAACTGACTCGAAGGGGAGAAGAAAAGGAAGAAAAATGAATAAAATTTGAAATTTCGTCTGGATTTATTGTTTTACCATCGGCCATAGTTTTACCGCTGAAAGATGTGAATTTAACGAAGTTCATCTTCTAGAACTGTTGGCTGTTTAGCTGCCCCCAATACTGGGGAATTACTGTGGACTTCATGAAAAAAAAAAGTCGCTACAGCTGGAAAGAATCTAAGGCTACTTCCAGACGATCCGGGTATTTTTGAAACCGCAATCGGCCACACGAAACCAGTGAATCCTGACACCGAAACTGCACTCAAGAACGGTTTTAGGCCCCGTCCACACGGATCTGGATAGAAAATATACGGTTTCATTACTGTCCTGATTCGTGAGAACAGGACCTAAACTTCCCAACCTTTCCCTATATGACAATAAAATAATTTAGCAGTTATATAATAATATAAGTGCTATATATGTTTTGGTCGACACTGGTACAATGTATGTATGCTGTCAACCGAAACATTTCATCCGGGCAAACCCTGTGGATGCGTATTTTACACAACAAAGCACTTTAAAGTAGTCTCTGTTCAGGGGAGACGTGTTTATGAGGGCAGTTTTAGTTTTACTTGCCTGAGGGAAAACTTCACGATATATTTTACTGACTTAAATTGAGTTACTGGTGTAATCCAGAGAAGCCTATTTAGTCACCCTTCCTGTCCCCCCTCCGCTATGAGGTTAAAGGCTAACAAGTATTGACAGTGACAGTCAGTTCAAATGATGCAATACACGTGGTGACTTTGAACAAAAGTCTGCAGTTATCTGAAATATATCCTTTGTATTCAACTGAAAGTAAGTTAAGGACAGATCGTCCGGACAACTCGGCCTGCTTACACATATAAACTAAGAGGCAAGTGAAGAGACAATTATTAACTTGAATTGTTTCACTCTCTGCGGGCTAAAAAAGAAAGGATTTTATCATGGTATTTTCTGCTTCAGGTATTTCCCGCATTTCGATCTCGCCAAGCCTCCAGTTATCCAGAGCAAATTAGGAGAACGTTTCATGGATTGTAATGGGAGTCTCAGAAGACTGTTTATTAAGAGATACAGAGCCGTGTTTGACAAGTAAGATAGACGTAATTATTAACCTTCTCACTGACACAACGAGGTTTGTCTTTCCTAGTTTCTACCAATCGGGCTTTGAAAGGCCACAAGGCACATGATGATGATGTTCGGAGACCACTTTATTTTTAAGCTGCTAGGGCTGAGATGTGACCAGAACCTCACTGCTTCTCACGACATGATTGGGCAATCTTATATAACAAACTAGCTAACTAACCTGATAAATAAATGCATCACAATCGAATTTTACCGACGCAATCGAACTTTACTAACTCTGGATTTGTAACCCAAATAATCTAGCTTAACCCCGTTGTTTTGACACCTTAGTTCAAAGGCTATGTAAAAGACTTTTCACGGGCGCAGTGGTGTTTTATTGTTTTGAACGAGTGAACTCCTAAAAAGCATTCACGCTCCATATTGTGTCTTTTTTCAGATTTCAGTACTGGAAAGGAGTTCCAACAAGTATGCCTTAGTCAGGAAAGAGTTAAGTTGTGTAGATAAACATCATTTGTACAAAATGTCTTCTGTTTGCAGTAGTTCACTTAAACTTCATCGGAGAAAAGGAATACCAACTATCGATCGTTTCACTTCCATGATATTTGTCTGTCTTTAAAAATTAATGAAGAAGAGGTTGGCTGTACTCGCAGAATGCTTGCTAATTGAAGAAACGTGTGAGCAAAAGTTGTAGAAAATAGGCGAGACAATACTTGCACCTGTTGCTAACTGAATATGGGCATCCACTCTGCTACTTTTTGCTAACTGTGTGTGTTTAAAATGTTTTTGGGTCAAGAGGTGCTTGGTATTGACTTTATTCTCGCCGGTGCGAAGTTTTATTCATTTTAACTGTATTTATGGCCATGGTAATATATATTTTCGATTTATAACCTTTCTTGACGCTGGTTCATCCACTAGCATTTTGATGTAAATCTTAAATAAAATATCTTCCGTTTCATGTTTAGGTGATGTTGAATACCTTTGTCATTTGAACTAAAACATGAAATGTCAATAAACGCCATAAAGTAAATTGTGTTAGATATTTTGTAACTGGGAAAGTGTAAAAATTGGCTGTTGTTAGAGACATGTTTAGGGACGGGGATAGGAAACATGTGGAGTATGTCTGAGGTAAGTATTGAGAAGAGGTTTTTTTTCTTTTCAAATTCTTGCACGGACAGTCCCTTACTCTAAAGCAGAACCTTTTTTACAAGGTGACCCGCTTGATGTGTTTAATGCTAATGGCTTAAAAGCTGATACATTATTATGTTTTTCCTTTTGCGTCGCCCGAACAAGGTCTTAACACGTACCGAAAAGAAATTTCACCTAGTTTACGTAAGTCAATTCCTCTTGCTGTGCTTCAGTTGAAAAAGAAAAAGAAAAAAGAAAAATCTGAAAGAAAAGAATAACTAAAATCGCCAAAAATTTGTCCGTTATGTAAACATATAATCAACCTTTAATAAGCCATTTTGTATTCTGCGAAGCAGTTTGAAAATGACCGTCATTAAATTGTGGACTCTTAAGAACCGTTTAAAGCTTCTTACAATTTACCTTTTCATGGGTTCATTTTTATACCTCTGGTCTATTTCTTTCATGTAGCAACATAAAGAGATAAATCCTTGTATGCCCTTTTACCTGTTGTACCTGTTCACCGACATTTGAAATGACGGGTGCCTTGTAAGGAGTCTGTGTTTCAAATTCTTCATGATCTGTATTGTTGGAAATGTGTTCCGAATAGAACTGTCCTTTTTTAGGTTACTGTTAAACGTTTTTCAACCTTGGAAAACCTTACTCGGTCCAAATAAGCCTGAAAAGGTTATGTTTGTATCGAAGTTGTTTCTCTTTTGGATCGAAACTCACCAACCATGAGCGAGGTCCTTACCATGGTGGTACAAATAGTTTAGTCAGTAAATCGACACTTTCGCCCCGATGAAGACTTGCAGTACGCTGTCGAAACGTCGTGAACAATATCTATATGACAATATGACAATCGTGAGACAAACGATTAACGAAACCCTTTATACACATTACCCACGATGAACAATATCTTTCATGACATTGTTTCTCTTTGTATCACCTTTCTAAGATGTACTTGTTTATCGGCTAGTTTCTAAAGAGGTGGCTCTGCAAATGGCCTTTTTTTCCTTGTTTTTGCTAGCAAGTAATTAATGGTCAAGATAATGCCTCGTTTGCACTAACTTTTTGTTTCTCTGTAGAATCGACGTCAACCAAGCGATTTGGTATAGAAACGAAGGTTATCTTAATTTTATGTTTTAGCATTCAGTTATTGTACTTTAAAGACATGGGTGATATGTGAATACGCGGGAATATCGGTAATCGAAAAGTATGCATTCAACAAGCAACGCTAAGCTGAAGCGTAATGATATAGAAAAGAAAACATATTAAAGCACTTGAAATTAAGGAAATTGCAGTTTTCAAGTGCTCAAAGTAGAAACAGTTGGATTTGAAAAAAAATACTATATTCTTCAATATATCCTTATTGTTACAGCAATGGTGCTTTAATTTTAATTACAGTGAAGTAAGTTGTATCAAATAGCAAAACATCATGCTTAAAGGAATGACTTTTGTTGTAATACCATTCCAAAAGGGGTGATATTATTTGTATGTTCGAAAACAGGCAATATATTTTATTACCTAAAATAATGCTAAGAGTTCGGATTAGTTCCACTTTGGCGCGTCTTGCACAACCTGACAAGAAACGTCTGTATCACCCGACTATGTCAGTTTTATTTAGATGATAACATTTCGACGAGTAACTTTTTGAAGTGTTAAAGCCCTTTATGGGTAGGAGATCGATACGTCCCATTTTCAATTTGCGTTGGGTTGATATTCAGGTATAATCTGCAAAATGCGCTATTGTGCTGGTTCTTTTCTCTGTTTCTGGCTTTATTTTATTTTATTTTTGTTGTTATATTAGTATTCCAAGTGATACAATTCATTGGTTAACCCACGCCTGAACGTGGTGAATTTTTACTTGATTTTCCTTCCGAGGTTGCATTTTTCCCATAATCTGTTCCAAAATAATGAGGGAAAACTAAACTATAAAAACACAAGCACATAAATGTAAGTCAGTTACATTTACCTTTAACAATTTGCGATTCGCTTGGAATTCCTTACTGTTGATGTTCACTTTTCCTTGCGAATTTAATTCCTCGGTTCCCTTTGCTTAAAAGCAAGAATGAAACCTTAAGTCTCATTTTTCTTGCTAAAGAAACAATCAAACTATAGAAGGAGTTTGGTTCATGTTGAAAATCGTGTGTTTAAGGGCATCAGTACTATGTTTTAAATATTTGAAATTCCATGTTATTTATTGCCTCAATAGTTCCTATCCAACATTTTCAGGTCCTGTCTATTTAACTATAGTTGTTTTGTAATCATGCGGCTACAGCGTATGTTAAGTCTTAGTTGTAAAATCCGTCTTTGCTAGCAGAGATATATTTTTATCTGCTTTTCAGGATACACTTTCCGTACATCTAGGCTCCATGTACAAGAGAATCGGGTCGAGTCATAAAACGCTCCTTTTTTTCAGGAGAAACTTTCGCTTCTCATCAATTGATACATCTTGATTAAGAACTAGTGGCATTGTGATTTTCAAACACGTTTGGGCCTCTAAAATCTTTGTCAAAAATAAGCGAATAACGGAAATGTATATCACAATATAGAAAAAGCAAGATTGAGGTTTTTTTCAAACAAAAACGCTGCTCTTTAAATTAATTTAAAAGAAACAGTTCGCCACCACCTAGAAAATAATCTTCAATCAGGACAAAACAATATTCGTTTGAGTGTGACGGTTAACACTTAGTATTTTTCATGTCGCAAAGGCATAACCGTAAGGAGCTCTTTTAACTCTAAAACCGGCTTAGATTGATACGCTGACATTCATCATGCAATACAGACCAGTGAATGTGTTAACCGAATCCCGCCGTAGTATGAGCATTCAAATGAACCTACTATAAAGATAAAGAAAAGGTATTGAAAAAGGTCTTGAACTTTGATTTTTGACTATCTCGAAGTTTAATAGAAAAGCTGCAATGTTAATGGATGACGATAGTCGAAGCAACTCAGGTAGCCTGAGCTGTCTCCACAACCTCCCTCCCCCCCCCCAAACTTTTCTTTATTAAATACTATGGACTCGAAGAGCAGAATGATATTCTTTGTTGTTGCTGCTGCTGTTGCTTAGTAGTAAACACAAAAAGCCTTTTTTTTCTATGAATGACGTCCTTTAACTTAAATTGCGAAAATTCCAACTGACCAGACAAAAAAAAAAACACTTGGAGTCGCTTAAGAAGTTTCGTTTAAGTGGACGGACTAAAGCACCAAGCCAGAACTGCACGCCAATTTCTTCTCATAACTCAATCTGGGAGGAAAGGTATAAGGTCACCAGTAGCACCAAGATTGCTGATAGGTAATTAGTAATGATGCTAAATTTTACTGGCGCGGACATATCTTAAGAAAAAAATATAATAAAATAGTAATAATAAAATAAACACTATCCTTTTAATTTTCCATTCGATTTTAGAGAAGCGAGTTTTCCTGAAATAAAACAATTACTTGAAAAATGAAAAGAAACCTTGAATATGCAATACTTTACCAGTTATATTTTGAGGGTATGTAACAACTAATTAGTAGCACAAGGAACACGACTTCTATTAGGCAACTAATCATTTAATAAAATGCCACCATCTCTACAACCGCAAACAAATTGCAATTAGCAACTTGAAAACTTTCCAAAGTCTATTCACTTGAGGTTTATATGAATGCCAAATTTGAAAACTGATATTGTAGATTTTTTTGATAAAAGGTACGTCAAAAGGAATATGATAAATATAAGGAATTGCATGAAAATCATATCATATAGACACAAGCAACCGTTGCTAATCATAATTTTAAAAGACGACGAAAGCTTTAAATGGGTGCATTTTAGAAAGAAAAAAGCGACTGAATATATTGTCGAAAGTTTATTGATAAAATAATATATTTTTTATTTCGCTTTTTCTCTGTGATTAATGGATTTTCTACATTTCAATTAGATAAGCATTTTCAAGATTTCTTTATGCTGTCCTAAATGCCAATGTAATTCAAATAGAGATACACCTTATTGAAAGTTATGCAGTTGCGAAGACTTTTCAGTTGACAAAAATACTGTGTACACTTTCTAAGAAATTATCTGCTCTGAATTAAAGGCAGTGAAATATATTAGAGGTTAAAAGAAGGAATCGATAGCTGCATCAGTTACAGATAACCTGCGTTCACGCCATACTTTTAGAATAAGGTGTCTTACATCTTATTCATAAACTCAACGGGAAACTATTCTAGAATGAAAATGCAAGTCAAGAAATTGAATGTTTTAAAAAGAGAGCACTCTCCATTACCACTATTACAAGAGCAATACATATTTAGTAAAAATCCACACTTGTATTATTTCAACATCTCACACTGTCTACTGATATTAAGAGTCTCACAAAGGGTTATCGATTTAAGTTACCAAGTTACAGTAATTAAAGTCTATGTGGCTTTTCATTGTGTCATTCTTGAAAATAATTCTAGTTTTCAATTTAGATACAAGGTACACTGGACCGGACCCGCGAAAAATGATCTTTGATGAAAGGAAAAACTAGTTTACTAAGTGATTTTTACAAAGCATGCGTATAAACGGTGGAGTTAACATTAGTCAACAGAAGCTTCGTTGCTTTATTACTTTTTTCTCCCTTCAGAACCCATGTTTAGAAGCCTGTTTCCGTTTTTCATGGCGTTGGAAAAAGCATGTATTTTTTTTTTTTTTTCATGTTATTGTGTTAAGCTGAAACGAAATCCTTTCTCTCCAGAGTGTGTCAAAAAGCATATTAACAACAACTACCGCAAGAAGCGAAGATATAAAAATCAGTTTTACTCCTGCCGGTAAATATACCAGGTGTTTCCAAACTTTCCCAAATAAATTTAACCACCTGATATTTTTAAACACTTATAAATTCATGAAAGAAAACCATTTCCCCTGTATTCCTCGAGGAACAACAAGTAAGAATCTTACCATAAATTGCCACAATAAAATGGTTATTTTATGCTGAATTGGTTTACCTGCCCGTATGAAAGGCAGAGGGCTTCGTGCGCCAATGCATTTTTAGAATGTGAAGAACGCAAACGTTCGTTTTTAATTTAAAGATATCAACAGTTAATTTTTGAAGTCAAGCCTTGTGAGCGAATGGTTGCTTCTATTATTTTGATATCTTTTGTTAATATTTTGTGTTATATGATACTGCCGCCCTGTACTTTTCTTTCAGGTAAACAATATAGCTTAAGGCGTAAAAGAATAATACATTATTTTGTTTTCGTCCGTCAACCATTTAAGCCGATTCAACGCTTCCGATATGATGCGATAGCTATAACTTGAAAAGTAAAAACTGTTATTTGACAAGAGATGGAAACTGTTGCAATTAAAATACGAACTAGTAATAGGTTACTTGTATAGAAATGAAGATAAATGCTATAAATGCATTGTTTCTTTATTCATTTTTTAGTTCGTATTAGACAACATGCCAACAGACATATCACCAACAGTTTCAGTCAATAAAAATATTGCATTTTTACAAGAACTTTTCAGGTGAGATTGTACTTGAACAATTCTTGGCTGGCGTATTCATACTGAGAGATTTCGCTTAGTAATTTTCGATTAAAGGTTTATTCAGTGTTAATTTGCGAATGTGCTCCTTGTGAAGTCATTGCTGAAATTAAAGTTGGAACGTTTCTCTGAGCGCCATCTGACTCGCTTTCCTTATTTCCCTCCCCAAAAAAATTAAGCAAAAACCTCAAAACGTCGTTATATGAATCACGTTTTCTTTTATCAAGGTTTCTTGTGATTAAAAGGCCTGAAAATCGCTCATCCTTCATTCTAATAAAATAAGAAAATTTCATAACTGTTTCACTTGCCTTCGAGTGACGCTGTCCAACTCGTTTTAAAATTTCTTATTGTGAGATTGCGCTTTGAGGCTCCTACAATGTTCTGTTCCCTCAATTTATCTCAACCAAAGTTTTCGCCATGAGTGGATTACTCCCGTTAAAACTGAAATCAACCTCTGGCTTAAGATTTCACAGTGACCTCAACACTCAATTTGTGAATAGCGAAGTGTTGGTTGTTGTATTGTTGTGTCATGACATTAATTCTGGTATCTGTTCTCTCTGAGACAGGTAGGAGATTTGTTCGCTAGATCACCTTTATTACCCTTTTGATAAATTGCAACTTTGCTTACACCACAGGAGTGCTGACTATCCTCAAATTAACAGTGTAGGTAACAGTTTACTCGCAAAATGTCTATTTAACAGTGAAAATTGATGTAATGTGACATTCTAATGTTTGACGAAGTAGTACTTGTCAAATTTATCATGCAACAGTGCTGTGAAATTCACCTATTTACCTTTTTCTGGAGGCAATAAAACACGTACGGGTGCTTCAAAGTTATATGAAATTTATAAATAGAATACACTGCGAATATATTTTTTTGTACATAACATCTTCGTTAATTCCTGAAGGAATGTCCTTGATAGGCATATCAATTTAAGATAAAGCTGAGTGATACAAAGACATATTTTTTACAATAAAAATTTGCACAGATGAAATTAGTCTTTAAAAGCAGTGTTCATCTTTCGTTGTGCATCTATTTCTTTAATGGGGTATGTTTGGCCCCAGCTGACTTTGTGAAGCCATAGGGCACTGTCCGTATCCATAATAAGACTTGTAATACGAAGTTTGAAACGCAGAAAGCATTGGTGTCTTCTCGGGGACTCGTTCGGGCAATGTGTGCGCTTGATAGCCAGGATTTTGTGGAACACGGGTCACTGGAACATGGCTATGATGGTACTCGCCGGGTGAGACGTGAGGGTCTTGCCCATGGCTGGAAAGAGCATATCCAGTTGGAACATATGGACGTTTAGGTGCACCTGCAGTCGAAGCTCCTACAATTGGCACCACAAATGTTTCGCTGTACGGTGGAGGAACGTGTGGGCTGAGATAATGGTGCACTGGGTAGCTGTAGCTAGGCGAAATGGCGTCAAAGTTAGAGCTATACCCAAACGTAGCATATGTATCTTTGCTACGGGCACTTTTGTTCTTCCTTCGACGAGGTTTGTAAGAATAGTCAGGGTACTTTTGGCTGTGAATCGATCGCAGTCGCTTGGCTTCCATGATGAAGGGCTTCTTTTCTTCGTCGCTCAACCGGCTCCATTCGGCACCAAGGAGTTTGCTTATTTCACAGTTAAGCATGTTCGGGTACTTTAGCGCGAGTTTGCGACGTTCAGTACGTGACCACACCATGAACGCATTCATTGGGCGTTTGATATGCTCGTCTGATTCTGCCATGTTGATTTACGTCTGCGGAGCCGGGCTAGTCGGTGCTTAGTTCTTGGGCGTTAGCTAATGACTTCAGCAACAATCACTTCTGATAGAGTGACTTGAAGGAAATGCACGTCTTAATGAATAACCAATCTAACAGTAAAACCTTGCTCTGACCTACAAGGCGTTATGTAAGGGCGTAGTTAATTTCGTACCTCGGCCTTTCAGGTTCGCGTGTCGGTCAGTGGACAACACTGAAGCACAATCCATCTAATGCCACTTCGAATTTTTGGTACTTGATATAGGAGAGGCTAAACAATAAATTCAATGAGGTTTTGAATAATTTATATCTTTCTGCGCGGGGAGGCAAGCGCGCGGGGATCAGCTGCATGGATATGAAATACAGCTGGCTTGTGCTATACAATAGCTTTTTAATGGGCATAAATTTTCTTCAAAATAACAATTTAAATACCCAAACTGTTGTACAAATTGTAAAACTGCTAATTTTAAAGTAATCGTCATCGTCATCACGATAAGTGATATCGGATATGGCGTTAAGAAGTGAATTTGGTTATTCGAAAGGACATCTCCGAGTATGTAACAGTCAGTAACCATAAACGATGGAGTCGAATGCGAAGTATTTAAAACAAAAAAAGCGATATACTTGTAAAGGTACTATTTACCTTTTGTCAGTACCTTTAACTATTCCTGATACATTTCATTTTCATCTTTTGTGTTTTGGTATTCAATAAACGAATGACAGCACCATATCAAACTTTGGGTTGCCATTTTTGTTTGACAATAGAACAGCTTTTTCGCTCCTTTTACGGCCTTTTTAATTGTTTTAACGGATTAGGCTTCATTGTTCGTAAAACGATGGTTAAAAAACTCCTCAACAGGGGTTGAAAACTTCCCTGGGATCTGACATAAAAGCTTTTTTGTCAAAAAAGAGAAAAACGCAGAAATTGAACTGTAACAATAGACAAAGTGTACGCGGCGTCGGTCAAGAAATACAGTGTTTGAAGAATAAGTGAGAATAAAATAAACACAAGCAGAGACAAAGGGACTTAAAGTTCACTAACATATGTCATGAAGATAAATCATGAAATTCTCAATTGTAAATTAAAAATGAAGCCGGTAAATGTTACTTTTTAGGAGATCGAAGAAATAAGTAATTTTAAAAACTTAACGCCTTTTGCCCTGATGCTAAAATTTACCTAAATTTTAAGGAGGTATCATTTAAGAGCGTACCCGTCGTTAAATTTTTACCCCTCATCCAAGGCGATGGGATGGCTGTTTATGTATGGAAATCAATTTATGGACCTCCACGATTCAAATTGAAATGGACTGCCTTGAATCACATCAAACTGTGAGGTAAATTTGCCCTGATATTTTCAATAAAAAGTCTTCTTTTGGAGGAGGATACAGATATGCAAGATTTACAAATATGACCGATGTAAGGCTGACAGCAAATCAAGGAGGTTCGTCCCTCGTTGAAAGGCAAATTATCAAGAATTCATTGTTGTCAGTGGTACCTGCTTGCCGTCTTTTCATTTAACGAGCGTGTACAAAGGCTAAATAAGCATAATTAATAAGCAACGAGACAGCACTGTCGAGATGCTTTCTTAAACAAGATTTATCAGTCCCTACTAGGGAAACGTGAAAGACGTTTGCACGCCATTTTTGAACAAAAATTTTGCGTAAGACTGGCGAATTTCACGGCAGATCCATAGTTTTTCGGCTATTTCGCAATGACTAACTGCGAAATAAGTTTATTTTATAGAACAGTTGTTAATTACACGTGATTAAACAAGGAATCACTTTTTTGCTAATTTGAATCTCATTTCAAGACAAAGTTGTTTTCATCTCCAGTTTCCATTATCGTGTACACAAAGACATCACCTACACAAAGGCAAGCCTCTAGGGCAATATCATTTCCTGTATTACTTGTTTAAACATTTCAGAATTTTGTGTATGTCTATTTTCTTTGGCACGAGGATACATGAGAACATTTTTCTTTACAAATATAGTAATAGAGTATACAATTTTAACTTTCTTGTGGGCTAAGCCATCGATACAATTAAATTCTTCGTAAATCTCGAAATAGCAGAAAAATTGCATTTTTTAAACTTTGCCCACGTGCTTGGTTCATGAAGCAGGTATACAGATTGATTGTCAGTCAGTTGTTGTAGAATTTTTATCTTCTTGTTTTCACCTACATTTGGAAGAGTAAACATGTTTTTGAAAGGCCTTTCTTGACTTATCCGGCCTAAAGTTTCAAATAATTGTGTCAAGCGATGCGTGCCTTAATGTTAAATGGTTCGTTGAACAGTATTGAATACTTTGATTTGTTGAGAAAATCTTAAGTGAAGTCAACGTTAATGCTTTAAGTGCCTTAAGTTGACAATTGGCACAAAAATGTGTGTGACTGGAATTCTACAGCTTAAACCGCTTTAAAGTTAGGACTTGTTGGAATATTGTATTTAACCCTATTTCAGTTTTACCAGGTTGTTGCAAAGTTAAATAATAAATTGACACCAACAATGTGTGGCTATAAACACCATATTAGCGCACGCCCTTTGTGCCAACTTAAAGGCTCCCGTTTAGTAGAAAATCAATATAACCATGGAAAGCTTTGAAGGGAGCAATTTAAAAACTATGCTTACCCAACAGGCAGGTTGAAGTTATAAGTTCGAGTTTCATGCGACTAAGAAGAAACGTGCTGTTTGGACCCATTACAAAGACATATGGAAAAATATGTTTTAGGGAAAGTGATAATGGACGGTTCAAGGTTTGAGTTGTTTGTGGTTCTGTTTTTCAAGTAATATTTTCTTCATTGGTTTATCGTTTTTATGGCTAAAGGCTCTGACCGCACCGTAATTCGCGATTAATTTAGCTTGAAGGCTCATTTCATGTCATTTAAATTCGATATTTTCAACACTGTCAGTTATATTTGTTTTTGCATCCTATGTGAGTTTTTGATCCACTGTCTTTTAGTATCTTATATGTTTTATTACCATTTTAATTATCGGTTACTCTTATTAAATATCTGGCTGTGCTATTCGTTGCTTTTGGCAACCATGGCATTCATTCATTTTTTACTAAAGCTACTTGCAAAGTTAATGTAGCGTTTTAAAAGTTCACGGTCAGAAATTGGACTACAGCCGAGATCTTGATTTCCCTTATTTTCTTTAAGATTTTCTTTGCGTATCCCCTCGAATTGTACTAATGACATCATTTTAGCGCCTCCAATTCAATTTAGTGAGAAGACTTTGAGGTGGTATAAACTAAGGTAATTTTAACGATTCGTGTTAAAGTGGTCACTTAGCGATCACTAGCTACTCAAAAAATCTATACAAAATCAAAGTTTTAATAAGTTCGCCTTCCTCGGTTAATTAAAATGCGATAGTATCTTTTTATTTGTGAAGATTTTAATTCAAACAGGCTCTATTTGATTTGTCTTTGTACACATGCCCTTGCCAAACCCTGTTGATATTTTGTGAGTGAATCAAGTTGTTTGAAAGCTGTGCTTTGTCACCATTTATCTTCTCTCGATCGCTTATTTTTTCACGTAAAATCTGCATGGGTCATATAAATTAAACCAGGACTTTTAAAAAATGGCGTCTACATTGTGATCGCCAGTTGTAGTTACCGGTTTACATGCCACTTTTCATGAGGCTTGTAGCGATCTTTACTTACGTGCATAGTTCTTGGGATTTAATATTTAGGTTTCCTTCATTGATATGGTAAAGAATTGTATACACAGCCATATGATATACTCTTTATCTGACTTATTCATTTGTAATTGCTAATAGCGTGCTGAAAAAAAAAACATAAAAGCAACAGAAGATTTTGCTTTGAACAAAAGTAAAGAGCAGATGGAATTGAAAACCAGACAAAAGGCGAAAGCCTCTGTTAATGCGCAAAAGCTCTTTCCTAAAGAGAGTCATTTTATGCATCACATATGTGGCTTCATGAGAAAAGGACAATCTAGCTTTGAGTGTTTGTGCGAGCGGCTGTCAATTGAATAGCATGGATTCTTCAAAGGGCAAACCGTTGGCTAGAATTTATAGGTTGGCAGAGAAACCAAATTTCGATCAAAATGGTGTCAGAATAATATACTTTAATTTAAAAGTTAACTGACTATGAAAGGTTAATGATTTGTATTGCTATTGAACTGTAAACGATTTGTTAACTTTGAATTTCTTAGGTCGTTTGAATGACTCGGGCAATTTCCATCTTGTCTTTTCTTTACGGGGAAAGATGTACTGATTGGCTGGAAATGTAGGACATTTTAAAGTTTTCTTGGCGCGCTTTCGATTACTGGTGCCTTGCGAGAGCAAACAACACAAACTAACTTCTCGCAAGCTTTAGTTTTACGTTTCTCTGTAAACGTCACAATTATTATCTTTATTTTTCCACATGTTTGTTGGGCCTCTACGAAAATTTAAGCTTTTTGTCAAGTTCAATGCTGGGAATTTACTTCTTCACTCATCGTTACTGACAATGACTCGCTAAAGAATATTAATGTAATATAAGCGAGTGGATGAGATTGCTTTGTCAGTGGCTACTTTCCGAAGTAATTCTGATTTTTCATTGTGTCTGAAAGAATTCCCAGCCAGTGTAAAAAATAAACAAAAACGAAGAAAAAACAAGCGTATTGTTATAGAGAACTCCATTCTACTCTTCCAACACATTAGATTTCAATACAGTTTCTCAGCTATGATTCCTTACATTTATTTTCTTTTAGTCAGCATTGATTCTTTTATTCTTACTTTGCGCTGAAGCGTATTACAAGTTCAACCTGACCGCCGCGTTACACTTAACGGGTACATGGGCGGGACGAAAGTGTAAAGAAAACTTTTTGCTCTTGTTCTTGGGCTTTGTATAGTTGTACCTTCGTGACAAAGGGCAGGTTTTTACGCAAAAATGTCAAGAACTTCCGAAGTGCCTGAAATACAGGTTGCCTCTCGAACACTGCAATATACGCGACACACGTGGGCCACCATGAATATAGTGAATGACTCGTGGCATTATTTTCTTCGCGTTCACGGGGCGGTGTTTGTTTATGTCTGAGCTTAGTAAAGGGATTTAAAATTAATTAAAGCTTCGATAAACATTCTTTTCTTTTACCCACGCGTTTGCCCGCAGTAGGGATAGTGAAACACAAACAAGAGCAAAAATACTTAAAATTATGTGTTCGATTACAATTTCACTCAACCCCATTTGTTTAGGTTTCAACACGTGGACCACTAACAGGTCGCAGACAGTAATCTTGGGTAGCTGGAAGTTTTCATTTTAAAATTGTTCCCTTTATCCCAAAGTAGACCACCTTTTTGCGAAGCTGGTATACTCAGTTTCTTTTGTCATATTCCACGAGGATACAAGCATCCAAGTAAGTTTTTATTCTGTGTCATTCACGGATTATATTGGGAAGATTTTAATATGACTCAGAGTGCTTTCTTACCAATCTAACAACAATGCTCGGTCATGTTACTAGCTCCAAATTATTTTGGACGGTTTGCAAAGAAAATAAAAACATTTCTTTATTTCTTTCATGAGATTCATTTTAAGCCGTCATGACCGCGAGGAAACTAACTTATGAGGCCCACTATATAGCTAGGGAAAACTAAAAGTTCATTTATATTAAAATCAGCTGAATTGCTCTGTCTTATACTGAACTTTGTTTTGTTTTTCCGGGAAAAAAATATATACTTTTTGGCTTTTTGGGCCTTTTTTTGCTGCTAAGCCGAAACAAAAATGCCAAAAAGCGGTATTTTCAACTCTTTTGTGTTTTACATCGTAAAGGCATGTTTATCCGGCCACCCAAGTCTTACTGCTTTAGTTATGGTGGTATATTAATGGTTGCTTGTTATTGAGCAACTTGGCTTTTATTTAGGTCAGAAAGATACAACAGCTATAGTACAATTCATGTAGTTGTGAGGCGGGCGTGAACAAACTGCATTGAATAGTCCGTGAACTTCGCCAAAGTTTATTTTTTAATCTCATAACCAGGGATCTTTTAATGTAGGGACAAAGAAATAACTTAAGTGTGATCTGTTTTCATTGTTCTGTATTCATGAGTACGCAACACAGCGAAGTATGAATCAGCACGAGTCATAGTCAAGTCTCCGCCTAATCCTTCAATAATTGCTCCCTCTTGTCTCCGGCGCGACAACAACACCGGTCTAACTTTTTTCTTGGTTAAGCAATGTATTTTTCTCTTTGAAGAGACATGGGCGTTAATTTTGTTGTCTTTGTACTGCGCTGTCTACACTCACTGCTTTATACTCGAACGGACACATGCTCATGCCATGCTCTTAATAAAGTCACTAAAATGTCGAGCTTAACTTCATGCTTAACATGTAAATGAATTTAATCGGAAAATTATTTATATAGCAAAGCCAAACGAGATAATTGCTCTCTCTTTTGAAAATTGTATCACTTAAAAGTGTAGCCATTTTGGATTACAGCACGGATTGTTGTAACTTGATGTTTTGAGTGGAGGTGAAAGTTAGGTGAATTTTATCATTTGACTTTCCACAAAAAAATTAAAACCTGATAGCCGTTTAAGTTTATTCAACCAACTGTACCAAGGGTTCGTGGTCCCCGCACAAAAAGTTAGATGATGCAGATAAATAAGTCAAAACAACTTGTACCTTTGAGATATGGCAATGGTGAGCTTTCAGTTTCAAGGACTAAGCTTTAAGAACGTTTATAAAGGGGCAAATGGGTCGACCTCTAGCTACTGAACTGATTGAGTGTTTACTTGTATAGGCGGCCTCCTCCGGCGGAGAGAAAGGAGAGACAAAATAAAACTAATGCAATTCCAAACCTCTTTTCTTGAGTGTTTATCAGAGGTGGTTACTTTTGGCCGTCGTCTTAGGCCACTCATTTTCCTAACATGATGTCTTCTTTACTACTAATAAGATAAAACGCTTTGTCTTAAATCTGCCTTAAAAGAAAAAAAAAATGAACCAGAGCGTTTCGTATTGCCTGGCTACTGGGCGGACCGACTCATTGATGCTACCGAGTTCAAAGAAATATTTTTTTTTGTCTGTGTGTTTCAATGGAACAAGTTTTCTTGGCAAATTTTGATTTCAGATCGACTTATTACGTGCTGAGACAAATTTCCGCATAGTGGATCAAGAAACTGCGTAATAACCTCGTTTCAACTGGCAAATGATATATATATATATACATAGAACCTAAAAGATCAGATGTGGACCAAACGGAAGCAACTTGAATTGGCAAAATCAGTAATAAAACCATACAGGGAGCAAGAATAGCAAAGTACCATAGAGAGGAAAGGTATTTTCTCTTATATATTCGTCACGGTGATAAGGTTGCTCAAATAGTCACATCGGTTTCCAGGTGATTTGGCTGTTGCCCTTAACCATCATCATGATCGTTCGGACTCGCTCACACTTTTCGAGTTTGGGCTAGATTTTTCTAACTAGTAAATTTTTATTTTCTCACAGATTCGTCACCACTACCTAAGAAGATTACTAACAGGAAAAAAAATCAAAGGGAAAAAATCAATCAGTTTCAAGTGGAGTAACTATACATTGAGAGACTCCAAGGGCTATGGGTTTGCACTAGAGAAAACGTCAGAAGTTAATTGCTAAATTTGTATCATTTAGTTAAGATTAAATTTTACTTACTTCACTTTACTTTTTATCATTGTAGCGAAATAGGGGCCTGCCAAAACTAAGTATCATACCGTACATGCCCGAGTGCTGATCATGATACAGTGGAATCCCAATTTTTGGACCCTCCAAGGGAAATGGAACTTTGTTCGAAAACTCGAAGATGGCATCGAATCACAGCTTTTTTACCATGATATTGTCTTATAAAACGGCCGCAGACAACAACAGTACAGCAGTCTTGCTTGTCAATTTACGTAAATATTAAAAGATCTAAGTCAACTTAGCAAAACAAACCAGTTCTGTATTGATATACAGTATGTGTTAATTTTGCGCGGACTTGGGCTGTATTTCCTCCCATTTACTTTAACAGAAGCCCACAGTGAAAAAAAAAACTACAGTAAAAAAAATACAGTTGTTAAGTTCACTCATCTAAACTGAATAAAGGGTGATAAACTCTTGCTTCTTTTCAACTCTTACAATCTTCTCTGTGGTTTCTTAAATGATTTTCGATTATGTAACAATTAATGGCGTTGTAGCCTTTTTGGGACTAAGTGAGAGATTTGTCAGTTGCTCTGTAATAAAAAAGTGCACGAAAACACTTTCCTCGAAATGTGCTGAACTCTTATCAGGAGTGCATGAGGCTAAAATGGTTTTTGTTGGTTTCCGAATTTTGAAGAGTTCGACAAATTGAAATAAGATTTTTGAAAGGAAGCAGAATAATATTAGTTTTAAACTGATCGGGAGTTTCGGATAATCGACGGTTTGAAAAATTGGTGGTAAAAATAGCAGTAACTGACCGAAGCAAATCCAAAAGGAAATAACCTTTGGTTCTATAAATCGGGAGTTTCGAAAAATCAATGATTCCACTGGCTATATATTTTTTACCTGATGTTTTTTATTACTTTCAGTAGAAGCCGGGTGTCTTATGTACAGAGTGGCTTACAGGAGGATAGATAGTGGGCTGGATGAGGAGGTTGTTGTATTTCAAAGGAAAAAATCACATTTCGATCAAATGGGAGGAAACTGGGAAGAGAGAATTCAAAAAGAAACAACGGTTCTACTGGACCAATTTCAATCCATCGGTTCTCATAAGTCTTATATCATTTACACAATTGCCGCAATTGAAATTCAAAATAAGCATCAAGAATAATTAATGTACACGTAGTTTTGAAATACTAAAAAGATATATTAATAAGTGAAAGTCCTGCGAAAAAGGTCATCTTTGAAGTGTTACGCCAAAAGATTTCATTCACCCAGAAGCTACAGTTACATAGACATGTCTCAATAATTTACTGTGGAAGTGAAGAAGTGACTGAGAAATACACAAAGTTGTCCTGATCGCTTGAAATAGAACGTTATTATCTTAGCTAGTCCATGCATTGTTTTCATCACTGTTTATTGATCTTTGACAGTATACTAAAAAAGAAACAAATGTTAATAGAGAGTTAAGGTAGCGCATCGAGTATTCTTAAAGATCAATGTTACACGTTTTATTAAATATATTTTATGAACAAATGCTTCAGTTTGAAGAGATATAACATATCGCTCGGTAAGTTTTAAGGGTGGGTTAAGTATTGGGTAGGAACTATGGCAATCTAAATAACCAGAGTTTCCCTTTTAGGATGTGAAACTGAAACAAGAATAGACTAATTTGCATTTTTATTCTTCCTCTTTCCACCCACAATATTACATCATTCGCCTCAGCAACACAGAATCTCAAGCAAGCTAATTTAGATGTTTGTAAGACTCCTTTTAATATAAATAAAGTTGCTCTTTAAACTTCTTTATACCTCCTTAATGGGAATGACCACGCCCATCACCCCTTTTGACTCTTTGGGCTCGGTAAATTTTGCCTCAGCAACCAACAACTTCAGACTTTAAGTGCTTTTTGTTAATAAGTGCTTACTCGTTTGATTAAAGTGTGTTGACTGTTACTATTTATTAATCTAGCACAGAAGAGAGAAAATGTGTTGTTAACTCGTCATGCCGAAGGGGAAAATAAACAGTTTAGCAAGTGTTGGCTAGTGGAACCATGACCCCCTTAGCACTGCTTTTTAACTATTAATCTTTTTTAATGCAGGTATAATTAGAATCCATTCATGTTTACTCCACCTGATGTTTATAAACAAAGCTGGCTAAGCGAAAAAATAAAACAAAAAAACATTTTAACCAAAACGTATATAATTTACCAGCAGCTAGAAAATGATGCCACATGTTGTGGACATTAAAGGCTTTGTGCCTTTACCTTCGGCTTTAAATTAAACGGAAATCTAACTGACATCCCTTGTCAAAAGAAGACAATCATTACATAGCTGGCCTCTGCTTGAAAACCAACGGGTTGCTCTAAATCGGGGGAACATACGTCCATCTGGCGCATGACCTTTGTTGGCGCTCATCACGTACACAAACTGAAAGAAGTAGTTAAAAAATTCATACTGCGTTTGTTATTTTTTGCCTTTTTAGTTAAGTACGGATGCATCCTCAGTGAAGTCAAAACAAGTTTTTCACCTGGTTCATCTGCAATTATGATAGACAACAGCACTACAGCTGCGGTCAGCCGATAACCCACTGGACACACCCGAACCTAACGCACTTGATCCTCAGCTGAAAAATTCTGTTTTTAGCTCAATATTAGCTTATTTGTCTCAGTTATTTTTAGTTCTGTTAGTTTAGTTTTTTTTGCTCGTTTATAACTCGTGAAACCAGTTGTTGACTGTCCTGTGCATCTATTCACTTTTCGATCACAGTATGCACTATAAATATGACTCGAAAAATCAATATATCTGGTGAATGATTGCTCCTTTTGAAATAACAAAGGTTCGTCATTTCTTGACCAAGGAAAAGCTCATTCACACCTTTCCTGAATGACTTATAATTGAGAAACCATTAAAGAAAATAAAAAGGGTTTACTTTTGGCGCACTGTGCGAGTACTTGAAGAGAAGCTGGACTTTGCTTCAGTTTTATTTACTATTATGAATTACATATTTCTTTTGTTATGCTAAATTACCCACTTGCCACTTTCAGAGAGCGTTAAGCTTCGCAGTCTTGCTTGAGCCTCAACTTAACATGAGAAAACTCGCACCGGAGCGAGTTTCATACTGGGATGACTTTTTTATCTCGTATCGTGTTTACCTGACTGGGTCATTTCATATCTCTTTACTTGAAGGTACACTTCATGTTGATAAAATACACGTAAGATTCAAAATCGCAAACATTACGCATGCGCTATTCGTTCCGGTCTACCAGCAGACCGATTTCACACCGAAACGTTTGGTCGTTTCGCGCTTACATAATACCGTTGCCAGATTTCGTACAGGAGTGAAATTCTCGCCCCGATACAACAACCGGGGTGAACTCACGCCGGGGTGAGTCGCTCCGGCATGAAATTTTGTTGTGGTATCGTGTAAACAAATGTAGAGCCACGAGAGGGAACCGGAGTGAATTCACTCCGGAGCGAAAGTTGCCCCGGTGTCATGTAAACACCCCCGAAAAGACCGGTTTAGACGCCGAACTTTTCATGAGCCGAACCTCATTCGAATTAAGGCCGACCCAAACTATTTAGACCGCCTGAATTGATTGAGACGTCGATCTTAATTCCAGGCGAACTAAATATGCTCATTTTGGCCAAACTGCTTGCAAAATACGTTATTATATGCAATAGGTTTGGTACGTGAAAAGTTCGGCGTCTGAATCAAAGCTGTTCCAAAGTCGTTCCACAGTCGAAATTCCCGGGCGGGCTAGGGGTGAAGAACGGCCGAGCCGTTCCAAAATGAAATAGGCGTTCCTAATTCGATTCAGCCGCCGAACCTTTAATGTACTTAATTCAATGTATTAGGTTCGGCTCAATGAAAAGATCGGCGTCTGAACCAGGCCTTAATCTCGCAGTCTAAGTTTCTCATCAACTTAGACTGCGTTCGAGGGGCTGTTTCACGGCTGAATATTTTCATTTTTCACTCAATCTGGTGACATATCTCTCACTGTCTGAATTTCGATAAATGTTTTTACACAGCTCCTTTAATTTGTCCCATTCCTGCCGTATTGCCCTAATGTTTGGGTATAGTTTATTTAACATTTAAACTTTTCAAGCATTAAACTTATTAATGTGTATATTCAATAAAATTATTTGAAAATAAAGAAAATGATAGTAAAGATTTCCTATATTCACCTTCCTCAGTATTTATAGCTGAAAGGACAATGGTAACGGTCAAGTGACTGAAAGAAATAAAAACGTAATTTACATGAAGCAGTATTAAAACCAAAATTACCAGGGGAAACTCAGTTGATCATTCACGAACGTGACTAAAGGTTTTTACTCAGAATTCCAGGTGACAAATTTATCGGTTTGTCTGCACGGGACTAATCTCGGGGCCTCGAATTTCAATATTAGTGGTCGGACCACTCGGCCACCCTTCCTCAAGATTTTCTGGGTGTAAGTAGCCCCCCACCCGGTTAACTAACCCCCTCCCCCTTTCCCCATTTCCACCCACCCTAGGCCTGCGGCTTGATTTTTCTTTCAGAGAATTCTTATTCTTACATAATCAATGGCCACACAAATTGTACTAGGTAAAATAAAGTTGTTGGGGCAAAATTTTTAAAAGGAAACGAGTGACAGAAACTTTTAGTCTTTTTAAATTAAATAAAACTCATTTACTTATATTCAAAGACCCCAGCATACAACGGGCCGGTCTCTCGCTTGGGTTTTCAAAAGTATTTACGAGGATGCGTTCTCTGCAGCTCCCTCTTACACCAAGGTAGTCTGCGAGCAGGATAACACCATGGTAGCCTGCGTAGGCGTTTTTTTTTTTTTTTCGCCTTTTATTTGTTTGTGTTGTCTCGTAAAGGAAGGGATACAGCCGGCGAAAGCTGGACGGATATTAAAAGAAAAAACGATGGGGTAGTGGGCGAGGGAAAGAAGACGACGCTCTAAATCAGAAAGATCTGTTTTAGCCCTAAAATAGGGCCGTTTCGGTGAGTAAAATACAGTCCTATTTTTGAGTGTAATTTGGCTCCCTTAAGTCAGGGCCAATACAGTCCAATTAGCTAGGGCTGATTTGGCTGGAATAGCCTTTTGATAAAGCTTTTTTGGCCTAGCTAAATTAAGGCCATTTCACTATAAAAAAATCCATTTTTTCCTTTCAAATTGCAATATAACAAACAGTTTGGTTTCTGACGAAGTCAAGGTG